CGGGATTTTCAGACTAAGTGGGTGAATGTAATGTATCTTTTATTAGGAGTCTCTTTTTCATCAGATTTCTCTGCTCTGCTCTTCTCAGTCTGGTCTGAGCAAATTTTTGGTCATTTGAAAATACTTCTTCAAGAGATGGCATGTACATTTTTAAGTGTAAAAATCTGCACCTGGTTCACTTAGACCTACGCCGACATGCTGGAGACTTTGGTGCAGCAGGGTTTTTTCTCATGTATAAATCTATGAGTGGGTGTAATCGCAGACTCATCAATACGTGTGTGTGTAGTCTTATAATAAACATCGCACAAAGGATCCTGTTACCATGGAATATACTGTAGAAAATAAACTTAACATTCTTAGTTGCACCAACTTTAATCCTGTATACTATTGTGTACTAAATTCAAAATGTTCCTATCCTATTGTGATTTTTTTGTATACTGTAAATTGTCTATATAATTGACAAAATATATACACACACACACACACACACCTTTTTTTCCAATTTCTTTCAAGTGAAAAGATAAGATAAAGTTAAATGGTTTATATAAAAAATGTACATCCACATTTTAAACCAGGACTCAATCTGACTAAACTTGTAATGAAATGCAGGGACCAGCCCCTCAGGAGTGTACAGAGATTAAAGCAGGAAACGGTGAAGTGACCTGATTTGATCCCCCCAAAGAGACTGAAGAGGATTATTAAGACTTTTAGGTGGAAAGACTTTTCAAACTATATCAAAGGGACAAAATAAAAACAGGACGTGTGAGGTCAAAGCAAATCTGTTTATCAGTGTTTTACACTACAAATGTAGGTTAATATTTTAATTGTTTTAACTGGTTATGAAATAGTTAAATCAATACTGATGATGCTTCCATGTTTTATTCTAGAAAAGGAAACCAAGACCATCAAGAAGACATATATAGGATCTTTTAATATCTGATATAGACCTGAAATTCTTTTGTAAATATTTTTCCCCGAGAAGTTTTTATCGTCAGTCATGTGAAAAAGATGCAAGAATGTAATTTTTGTTCAATAAAACTTTTTTTCTTCTCTGTACAGGATGAGATCAGCCAAAAGAAATGATTACTTGCTTTGTCCACAAGCTGAGGGGACAGGATATCAGTACCAGCTATGAGAGGCAAATCCTGCAGCACAGACTTTTAACAAAGTCACTTATGTAGTACGTCTGACTTAACTGTGTTAGGATGCAAATATATTGTCTTTCTATAAAGCGAGTTTTTTTATTTCACATTAGCGGTTCCATTTAATTTCTCTTTATACTTCTATTTATCTTGGGTCTCCAAAATAGCTCACAACAAAACTTACTGTTATATACTCACTGCTGAATGACCAATCAAATTTCAATCAATATGGCAGTAAATTATATTAATTATTTTTTGGTTTGTTTGTTTACGGGGTAAGCACATTTGTCACGTCATTGCAGCTCTGTCAGTCTGATTTAAAATCCAATTCATTTTGTCATTATTGTAAAAGTTTGATTAGTTTTAATCAAGGAAGAAAAACGTAAAAAGAGCAAATTTATTCTAGGTCAAGGTTATATCATCAGGAAATACTTTTCATTGCTACGCAGATGATACTTCCTGTCTTCCTGTCTTAGCCCAAGCCTCAGGGGCTCCTTTGACCTTCAGAGATTCAAGGTAGGCAGGTGAAGCCCTCTAAGAGTAGCCGCAAGTCGAGCATGATTACCCTGACACACAAGATAATGCAGTGAGCTCCTTTTTGGTTACATGAGATGAAACAAGGTCAGTCAGTTAGTATTAATAGATGTAATCACTTAATCATACTTCAGAGAAAAGACAGCGTACATGTCTCTGAACTGCACATCACTCAGACAGGTTGTGATTCTTTTTTTTCACCCAGTAACCTATGCAATGACAGCAAACGGGAGACACATTGTAAAACATTCATATGACCTCTGTTTTATTCATCCTCTTTGGCGTGACGACTTTTCCTACATACAGTCGCAGATGCCTGCAGCTGATGGGTGTCCTATATAGGTTACAAGCCCATTACACAGTACCTACTGCATGGCTGCACATTCTTCCCCTCCAGAAACAATTACACAGAACACCGTACCATCTCTGCTTTTCTCATTCCTGCATAATCACAGTGAACACATATCACTGGTGCCTAATGGAGATTATATATGTGTTAACCCCACACATTTTCTGTTGAATTGGAAATTACGGCTGAACTGTTGTGCAAAAAAAAAAATGTTGGAAAATTTTGGGACGTGCAACTATTCTTTTTTGCAGAGGGTTAAACAGCAGATATAGCGATACCACTTTTGTATCTTTTTGGTTCATATGCACTTTATAGTGAGCCGGCATAAATTAGCATTAAAGGGATATTCTGTTGTAAAATTAATTTAGGGTCAAACACACCATAACACCAAGTCGGACACCCCCTCAAGAGATGAATGTTGCCGACTGCTGGCCTCCTAGTTATACCAACTTTAGTTACGACCACACAATAGCAATACACAGCAGTGTGAGGAGCCATAAACAGACCTCAACCAAAACGCCACTCTATAGCCACAAATAATGCTCAGAACAGCACCTAACTTCATCAACAGTACATATAGGGTCCCAATCATAGCACTAGCCACCAAACATCATTTTAGCTTTGTCTGATTTCTTTGGCAAAGAGACTAAACACATCTCACCTACTCTCTTCCAGCAGCCGCTTGTTTGTAGCGAGACATTGGGCCAGTCCATTACGGACTACAGCGGGGTGACGCAGCTCAAAGAAGAACATCTATGATCATTACTTCATGGAAATGCAATCGGACTGAGATACTAAGGCAGAAGAACTACCGCGTCCGCAGTGCAAAATGATTAATATGGTGATTATTACCTCAAGGAAATGATAAAGTAATAATGATAAATGTTCTTCCTTGAGCTGCGTCACCCCGCTGCAGTCCATAATGGACTGGCCTGAGGTCTTGCTACAAACAAGCAGCTGCTGGAAGAGAGTAGGTGAGATGTGTTTAGTCACTTTGCTAAAGAAATCAGGCAAAGCTAAAAAGATGTTTGGTGGCTAGTACTATGGCTAGGACCCTATAGGTACTGTTTTTTTTTTTTTTTTACACCAGACTATCCCTTTAAGCTGACTGGGGTAGAGGGGTATCATAACCAGTATCTTTAAATTCATTATTTGTTTTTCAGTTTCTTGGTTGGTAGTGACTTTCTTGAGTCTATTTTGGTTATCTCAAAAATGTCTTCGCTTCATTAACATTTGAATTCTTGTATACAGTAAACTGGCAAAAAGAAAAAAAACAACAACAGGTATCATGTAAACAGTAAGTTTTACAAACCCTGCTAAGTAGATTTTACAATATTTGACCTTTCACAGAACAAGGACAGCCAGCTCTTTCTGCCTTCAGCTAACTGCTGCTAGCAATGACGGAGCAAAGGCTCACAGAAGAGCCATTTTCCACATCTGTAAGGAGTCAGGTTTGGACTGCAGATAAAAACTTTACATAAGTGTACCATAAATGATGATATTTCTCCTAAATATATCTTCAAATGTGACGCCTTAGCATAAAAGAAACATGCTAGCTGTTTAACTCTGGCTGTAAGCTAGCAACGGCAGGCGGCAGCTAGTTTACAGAAGTAAGAGCTTGACTCACGAAGAGAGTAGAAGGTGTTTTTCTCTAAATGACTTTTTATTTTATTTTAAGATTGCTATCAAAACCACCAGAAAAATATTTGATGCTCAAGTCTGAAATCATGTTCCTTGTAAACTCCCATGAGGCTAATGGGTCTGTGGTGCTATAACAGGCTTATAAATTTAACACAGACGAGGGATATCAATTAAACATGAATGAACAGATGTTACTTTGCACATGTTAATCGTAAAGCATGTTATTTTTAGAGCCTGTCCCTCCATCCTCCTTACTGCATGGAAAATAATCACAGTTCGTGTTTTTGAGAGTTGTCACGGTAAAAGCTTCGGTGTTTTCACTGGTCAGGGCAATCTTTCACAGGAACATCCTCCCTCCACAAATTATTCATGTTTGTTTCTTTCAAGAGACAGAAGAGGGGAAACTGAGTGCACGGTGCATTCACCATAATGCACAACCGACGGGTGCTAAAGTGAGTCAGTTACATAATCCCATTTCTAGAGGTACACAGAAATCCTGACCTTTAAAAGGTCTCTGTGGAGGGGAATGAATGGAAGCCTCATGGCAAAGTTGCCTATTGTCACTTGAGCTCTTCTGCTTTATCTAGACATCTGCAAAAGTACAAACATTTAGAGTTTCCAGGTCAGATTGTATCCAATGACATGCACAAACAAACACGTTTTGGCCTGAATATCCTTTATTTCTTAGTCTTAAATAGCATTTTTTTTGGTTATTGCCTCCAGGTGCCATATTATGCAGAATAACAGCTGATGGAGATCAAGATTTGTCAAAATACTTGAGCTCAGAGGACTTTATATGGGGAAGGGATGTGTTTGCAGCCAAGTCAAGCTTTACCATCCTAAAGGCAGCAAGACTTTGACTTTGCTGTCTGGAACATTTGGAGCCAAACCTTGTAAGGTCATCCCCACTAATCACATCTGCTCTGACTCAATGATAATAATAATAATAATAATAATAATAATAAGGAGTTGAAGTCTTAGAAATAAGAGGTAGTACTCACATTAAATTGTGCAAGCTCCCAAAAACTTTGTTCTTGTTTTCACGTCCATGAGAAGTATCCCACTACAGAACCAGAGTGCCACTTTTTTACACTGTAAAAGTGCTTTGGTATTTTTCACTGTTAGAAAATGGGTGCATTTTAGTGAAGCATTTCTCTTTCCTATGTGTAAACTTTGATACTTCATGGCTACATGTTTGACATGAGGGGTAAATCCACTTTTGAAAGTGTTTTTCCTGTCTAAAAGTGTCTCTAGATGTGCATAATCTTCTCCTTCTTGGCAGTCTTGTGTATCTGACCCCACACGCGGGTTTGAAGTTAAATACCCTCACACACTTATATCGGTATCTGCGTCAGTTTGTTTTTGTCCTTACTCTCCTCAGTGTCTATCACCTGCTCCGGGTTCGTCCCTCTGTGATACAGCACAGTCACCGTGGTGTTCCCACTGTCATCACTCCCTCTAGTTTGTAAGGCACAGGACACGTTCATTTTCACGATCAGCGGGCTCTCGGGCCTCAGTTGGCCGGCCTCATTGCTCGCCATCACGGTCTCCACCGCTGCGCTCACCGCTGCGCAGCAGCCTCGTCCACGGCAACGCAACAGGCGCAGGAACGCGTCCCTGAAGTCTGCGTTAAACGCGTAGATGATCGGATTGAGGGACGAGTTGCTCCAACCAATCCACACAAAGACATCAAAGGTTTTTTCACTGACACAGTAGGGGCCTCGCTGGGCCCCCGGGGCCTCTGGTCCGGGACAGAAGGGCAGTGCGCAGTTCAGGACAAAGAATGGTAACCAGCAGCAGACAAACACCCCCATGATGATGCTCAGAGTTTTCAGAACTTTGGTCTCCTTCCCGATCGTCACCCTGAGCTCTCTGTGTGACTGACTGGAGCGCTGAGAATCAGTGTGAAGACGAAGTTGGGACTGATAGGAGTTTGCACCGATTCCCGTGCACAGGTGAGGAAATTGTTCATGTACCTCCGAGCGGCGACTCTGCGCGCGCTCTGCCGCTCGCTCCAACGAGGAAATCATCCGGATCTGCATCTGGGCTATCTGGTAGATGCGCGTGTATGTGACGATCATTATGGCCACGGGGATGTAGAAGCTGATGAGAGAGGATGAGATGGCGTATGTTCGGCTCAGGCTGGAGTCACAGCTCCCATCTGAAGACGTGCCGTGAAGCGTCAGATCCTCCCCTGCTGGATCCCCGAACTCTGCCCTGTGCCAGTTCAGCTGCACGGGGACGAAAGAGATGACCACAGACACTGTCCAGGTCACCCCGATCATCACAGAGGCCACCCTCTTGTTCATACTCCTCTCATAACGGAACGGGCTGGAGATGGCCCAGTATCGGTCCACACTAATGACGCACAGGTTGAGGATGGAGGCTGTGGAGCACATGATGTCGCAGGCCAGCCAGGTCTTACAAAACCCCCCAAACGGCCAGAAACCGGCCACTTCAGCCACAGCTTTCCACGGCATCACCAGTACGCCAACCAAGAGGTCCGACAGAGCCAAAGACACAATAAAGATATTTGTTATCTTGGCGCGCAAGTGCCGGTAGCGGTAAACAGCTGCGCAAACGGTGAAGTTTCCCAAAAGCGTCCAAATGATGAGCACTGCTAGAACACATCCCGTCAGAGCTCGGTGCGCCGGTAACTCCTCCACTCTCCCGGCTCCTATCACTGCCAAGCTGGTCGTAGTATTCATTTCCCGTGTCCACACTTGGCCATTTCAAACTGCAAGAGTAAGAATATCAACCATCCGGATCATTGCAAACAAAAAAATCAAGAGGCTGAACAGTCGCTCAGAGTGGGGAGGGAGCGCGCGTCCTGCTCCGGTCTGACTGATGTGTGTGTTGCTGCTCTGAGCGCACAGATTTGCTAGAAACCGTCTGCAGCGTTAGCAGGTTCAACCCCTGCTGTCACTGACAGGCAGAGCAGCAGGAGGAAGTTTGTGGAGAGCAAGCTTAAGATCAAGGATCTCCTTAATTTATCGCCAAACACTTTACTTAACCATGTCTAATCATCGTTTAAGTACATTTTCAAACTACTTTTGCTTAAAATTGTCCTTGGATATGAGATAAGTCAGACCCCAGATCACTTTTATTGCCTTTTTTTTTTTTGCTCCCTTTTGATTGATTAATTGAATATATATGCAAAATGCAGAAGTGCATGCAGAAAATGTCAAATAAAAAACAAGGAATACAAATATTAAAATCCCAAACTGATACCAATTCAGTTTACACAAACTAAGCAGGCATTATAAGCTCATTTTTACCTGAGTAGAAATGACTGTGGTGTTGATTATCTCATCAAACATTCAGTCCAAATAAATCAGGTGAATGTACTGTCCGTGTTTTTGTTCAATCTAACTGTGTAATACCATGACCTGATAATACTCTACAGTGTACAATCATGACAGTGCACTCTCAGTTTAATACCCTCTCTCTCCATAAGTCTCTGCAGCACATACCCACACACACACACACACACGATTAAACACACACTCAAAGACACACAGGACATGTTGCTGGGGATAAACTTTTGTTCTGGGAGCGGCACGGCTGATGCTGAACCTTCAGTGAGGAACACTGACACGACACTCGAGTAACATTTGATCTTTATTGAAGGCAGCAGGGTTTCATTTGAAGACAGAGTGAGATGATGGAGACGGGGACACACAGTTTGACGCTGAGGGCGGGGGGAGACCATAATCAGATTATCCCTGTCATTTTTGAGAGTTTGTGCTATTTTTGTGCACTCGCTGATTTAGGACAAGCTGGAATTATGTCCATTTGTAGGAATGAAAAAAGCTCTTACATGAGCATGAATATCCTTTTTTTCTGGTTAATTGTTGAACATATAGATAATAGATTTACATTAATTTGCGTTATCATCCATGGTAGGTTGTGTTGGAATAATAAAGGTCACAGCAGACATCTGCATGGATAAAAAGTGGAGCAGAAAAACATATTGAGGTCTTCATGCCGTTATTGTATGCAGCATGGAGCTCCAATAGTCTCTGAAGCTGCGTTCAGCCCCATCAGCCCCATCTCCTGCACATATCCACCCACAGTTGCCACGACGCCGTGGTCCTCCGCAGGCCTCCTCTTGATGGTCTGCATGCAAAGCTCTGTGCACTTCCTGTCCCGCTGCATCTTCAAGGCACACATCTCTTTGTAACTCTTGTCCCTGCTCCTCCACTGGTCCTCCTCCAGCTGCCTCCGCAGGTTCTCCTCTCTTGTTTTTTGTTGCTCTATCCTGACTCTGACCAGCTTCAGCTCCTGCTTCAGGGCCTCCACTCTCCTTTTCTCTGCTCTCTGGTTCTCCATCTGTATGTCCCTCTCCCTCTGGGTCTCCTCCCTCTCTCTCCGGAGAACGTCCTCCATCGCTTTTGTCCTGTCCTCCTCCTTTCTCCTCTGCTCCTCTAGGCTCTGCGTGAGTCTGTCCAGCTCTTTCTGTAGAGCATCTCTCTTCATCTCCTCCCTCTGCCTGATGGCCTGCTCTTTCTGGATTTGATGGGCCTCCCTCTCCCTCTCTTTCTTTTCATTCTCCGCTTTATCTCTCCTGCTTTTCTCCTCAAGTTCTTTCCTCATTTTATCCTCCCACTCAGCCTGCTCCTCCAGCGTTTTGATGACCTTATTAAGCTTCTCTTGAAGAGCTTCCCTCCTCTCCTCCTCTTCCCTGCGTATCTCCATCACTCTCATCATCTCTTGGATCTTCCTTTCCTTCTCTCTCCTGTCAGTCTCGTCCATCTTCCGTCTCAACACCTCCTCCCGGTCTCTTGCTTGTTTCCTCTCTCTCTCCATCTCCAGCTCCAGTTTTTTCTTCAGCTTCTCCATCTCTTTGTTGCTGTCTTCCTGAAACATCTCCAGCTCTTTCTCATACCTCACTTGTATCACGGCCTCCTGCTTTTTCTGTAACTGGTTCTCCCTCTCTGTCTGCAGCCTCTTCTCCTCCTGCAGCTCCAGATCCAGGTCTTCTTCTGCTTTCTGGAGCATCTTGCTTGCGTAGAACGTCCCTCCGTTTTCTTGCATTATCTTTTCCACTAAGGAGAACAGCTCTGACACCTGCTCCTTGTTTTTGGTGCTGTGGTTGTTGAAGACGCAATACCTGCCTCCACATCCATCCACCAGCTGGGCCAAATCTGTGCAGCCATCTATCAGACAACTCTTCACCGATCCCCCTTCTTCTAGCTGGTCTCCATGGGTAAAAACCACCACAGAAAACCCCAGAGCATGGGAACCCATAGCCTGTTTGATCTGCCGCAAAGCCTCCCTCTCCTCTGGAGTGAACCGTCCGATCTGAATAACAAGAAGAAACACGTGAGGCCCAGGATACAAGAGGCCGACACTCCTCCTCAGCTCCCTCTGCACATCCTGAGGAGTCTGGCGGGTGTCCAGCAGCCCTGGGGTGTCAAGGACCGTAAGGTGCCGCCCGCGGAATTCTCCGCACACCCTCCGGCATCGTTGGGTGACCGAGGTGCCGCTGACCTTTGAGTCAAAGACTTTTCGGCCCAGGATGGAGTTGGCCGTGGAGCTTTTTCCGCTCCCAGTTTTTCCGAGCAAAACCAGACGAATCTCAGGGGTGAAAGGGGGCGGTCTCTTGCCTAGGAATACCAACAAGAAGATGATTCAGTATGAGAGAAAGAGAGTAAATAAGAAAAAGAGATGCATAAATAATCCATCTTACCTGCACAGGCAATAGAAGAGAGCTGTTTGCTAATGGATGACATACTGTTTTTAATCTCTTTGCACCATGAATCGAGGACAAAGAGAGGGAAAAACAGAAGGGAAGGGAAGAGTTCAGTGCTATAAAGGTCCCTTCACTGAGGGTGGGACCAGCTTCATGACATGTCAAACACCCTTTGAACCCTAACCATCACCGTCACTGGGTTTTGGATGATACTTGATCGAGTCTGGGCCAATAGTCTGTCTCTGAAACACTAAACAAAGCAGATATCTCTCAGTATAAACACACCAACAAGTGGTCAAAGTTCAGCTGAGGTAAAGATGTGAAAAACTACTGTATGTTTTTGAGAGATTTTTGGACAAGGTGGGGATCTTGATGATGAAAAATCCAGTGATCAGTTGATCATTGCGTCTCTTTGTTTTAAATGTAATTTGATCAGTCGCTGTTTACAAACCAGTCTGAACTGATGTCTATCTAAACCTGGCTGTCCTTCAGAGTCTGCAGACATACTTTCAACCATCCAAGTTTGTACTTTGGTGCCTCAGGCTTTGAGACAGATATTTATGTCAATACGCTCACATGTTGAAGGTATGATTTTCATTATTCTCGTCTCACAGCATGATAACACGACACAAGGAGAAAGAAACCCTATGAGTGTACAAGAGCAGACCTGAGACAACGCTATCAGGTTAATTGTTCCAGAAGAGGACATGATTGTTAGTGGAAAATTTACCGGCACTAAATCAGGTGATTGCGCTAAATAAATAATCTCTTGTTTTCTTGTTGGTACATGAGGTTATACATATAGATTTACTTTGAAAAGTTATTGACTGCGTCTTTTCCCTTCGGACAGTCGGAGGCAAAAAAAGCAATTTAATTAAGAGTGAGCCTACAACAGGTCCCTCTTTCTTTTTTGATCATTGTGTTACTATTATTATCCATTATTTGTTATTTTAATGATCTGATCTCTTAACATAACACCTTCAGAGAAACATCAGCGGCACAGTGAGGTCAGTGGAGTCTGTCAGTGAGAGAACCTATTAATAGAGATTTTAAACGCTTCAGCTTAAACTATTTCTGTTTATAACCTTTTTTTTTTCATAGCAGATGAGAAATTATCATCATACTGTACTCACTCAACCTGATTTGAAGTGAAGACTTGAGACATTTTGCTTTTCTGTAGGTCATCATGACATAATGAGTAACTCTCTATTTTGATGTATCTGTCACTTTCTTATCTTTTGGACTGTCCTTAGTCGAGGGATAAACTCTGATTATTTTTGTTTAAATGACTTTTTCTATGTAATGAAGATTCAGATGTGCTATAATCTAAACCATGGGGCCTGACAAACTCTTTGATTTTAATAATCACATATGGCCAATGTTATTCAGCCCATGCAAAACTTACTAATAAGTCTCAATATATTAAGTTTTTTTTTTGTATGATTGAGCTTTCTGTTTGCTTCTGTTAAAACTATATACTTACATTTTTTAATGTTTATTTATTCACAGTCACAATATAATTACTGTATGACTAAAGCTTTACTGCCATCTAGTGGCTCTTTGGAGAACAAATATGTTTATCATAATTAAACTAAGTTCATTCACTTTTTTGTTTTACTGTCAAACTGTTTAACATCCTCGTCTGGGAGTGAGACTCAGTGTTTTTAGTCATTGCTTGAATAATTATGTAAATTTTATAAAGCAATAAAAGACTCATTGACCTTTTCTTGCATTTTACAACAGAGTAGTTCATTTGGCAATCTCCATGATAATTCAAACTGGAAATAAACGAATCTGTGCCTTTAAAGAAGTTCAAGCAATTTTACAGAAAATGGAAAAGGATCCCAACTTTCAAGCTGAACAAACCATAAAATAAGATTTGCACGATTGCTCAAACCTCTGGAACAATACGTTAAGCCACATTTTAAAAAGACAAAACAAAGATTTATTTTTCAAGCGAAACAAAATTTTGCAAAAACTTGCAGCACATCCAGAGTCAATGCCCAACACAGAGGCCTTAAGGTGTGAATATACAGTAGTATGAAGGATCTTAATGAGGTATGAGATAAAATGTTCACCTTCACGTTCAAGTGTTCACAGCTGGTGTAAAAAAATGTGACATCTAGGGGGAGTTCTCTGGCCTATTTTCTTGACCTGGCATCCCTGTTCATGGAAATCAGTTCAGGGTAGGATATGGGGTTTTCCCCTCTCGTTGATCACCCATGAGGTTGTTTCATAAGTGTAGGAATAATCCTGCTGATGCTCTATTTTAATACCTCTGGAAAAACAGCAGCATCTGGCCACCTAAAAACAATGTCTGTAATATAAATCCTGTAGGTGGATTGCTGGCTGTTAGCCAATCAATAATGCAGAGGTCATGCATGTTCAAAGCCAAGCTTAGATTGTGTTACCGCTCCACTGCTCCATTACACATGCAAGCACACCTGATGTTAACTAACTTAGAGGCTTTAATGAAGGTCTGTGTTTGTGGTTCATGGATGAATAGAGTGCACTGACCTTGTTCTCTTCATATCAAAACAGAAAGCAACGGTGATCCTGCAAACCACAATGACTTGAACACACACGACAACACAATACTGACATCAGGATGACAGTTTTTTTTTTGTTTTTTTTTTGCAGACTCAGTTTTGTTTTTGTAAAAATGAAAAGTACTCAAGCAGGTCCAGGAAGGATGGGGGGCGATTGTGGTTTCAAAGGTGGTAGAGGGTCTGTCAGGAAGCCTTGGCGATAATGAGAATGCTCATGAGGAAGACCATGAAGAAGAAGATCCACATGAAAAACCTATCCATCACCTTTGCAACCTTCTTCCACTCCGCTACCTTCACACAAGTCGCTCTCTGCTCACGGAAGTAGTTGGCAATAAACTGGATGTTCTTCACCACCTGAGGAAAAGAAAGTCGGGTGAACTGAGAAACCTCTGAAAAGTCGTGATCTCTGCGATGAGCACAAAAACAATGGTAGAATTGACTGACACCAAGCATTCAAATATGAGTGAGTTTTAAATCAGGAAAGCCATGACCATATGCAAGCTAACATCTCCTTTGAGTAAGAATAAAAATAGATCTACTAATGTGTAATAACCATCATTGCCAGCAAGTCGACAGATGCTTACAGTCGCCCCTGCTAACAGTGAGAAAATGTGTTTGTAAAAGGATGGCGGATGAAGGAACATGTTGTGTAAATGTGCTTAAATGGGTTAGGAAGACTGGAAAAGCACTGATGTCCATTTACTTTTAGTCTCCTGCACTGCTCAGGACAAATTTATTTACTGGAGAACCAGGATTAAGCATCAACAATGAAAGGGTGAAAGGGTCAGGGGTTGAAAAGTCTGTGTCAGCACTGGGTTGTACCAGCTATGCATGAATTTAAATGTGCCCCAATAAAACCGTGTTTCTAATTTAGAACCAAATTTAAGCACTATTTACATGATGGAAGCTACACCAGCTGAGATAGTTCCACTTATGCATGGATTACAACCCAGATCTTACAGGTAAAGTCCTCTCTCCATTGCTTGTCATATCACATCCCACTAAGCTGTTTTTTAGACAGCTAAATTCTATCTATATCTATTCTACACTGTATATTGCTCAATGGCTATCATAATTATTTTTGGTTTAGCACTTGGAGATCAGTTATGCAACTCACAGTTGCTTTTTGACATAAATAGTTATCGAATAATGGGTTAAAGTGCAACGTCTAAATTCTGTCTAAAAATATACAGAATCTAGACGGTTGAAATTAGGTCTAAAACAAACTAGATGTCTATTAGCCGTCTATTGCTCAATTGGATCATTATGAAAGTTAGGATTATTTGAAGGATGAGGAGAAGCTGTTGATATTTCCAGCAAGTGGTCGCTTGTTTTCTCTCTCTAGAAATATCCAACAATTTTTGATACTCTGGCTGCTTCATCATGTTTAACATCGCCTACCTTTATAGTGCTGTTAGCTATTTAACAGGAATTAATAGCACTCACTTTAAGGTGACCAAACATCCTGTTTTCCTGGGACATGCCCTGTTTTTACGGCCTGTCCCGGTCGCCCTGGTTGATTTTTATAAAGTGATGAAGATGTCCTTGTTTTCATCATTTTTCACTGGGCCACTCGGCTGTAGAAGAAAGCTAAAGATATAGAAAATCTCATTGCCAGGTCAAGTCCTGTTTTTTTGGAAATAAAAATATGATCACTCCAAGTTACTTTCGGCTGTTAGCCTGCTTGGTCGCAGTCATTATACCACAATACCTCATTGAGAAAAGTACTTTTTAGTGAGCCATCCCAGGGATGTTTGTTTAGAGGTTACTCTTACTGTCTTTGTGGTGCAACCAAACATTGTCAGACTTCAATTTAAAAACTAGCTAGTATCAAGGTATGGCTTAGTGTGAACCTTGCATTATAGACTATGGCAGAACATACACAGAGCTGGTGCAACAGGTTTACAGTGCTGTTATGATTTGATCATGGTTCATCCCTAAACCTTTAAAAGTGCACGAGTCTGTGGGTGTGAAGTTTTCAAATATACCACTGAAACTTTGAGAAGGGAGTACTGCGATGCTGTACCTCTTTATGCTCAACACAGGGGCAACAGCAGGGGCATGCTGGGACTTGAAGTTTCTCTGTGGAGTACAGAAGCTGCTCCTTCAAACCTCGATTCAGGTGCTGGAGATTTCGAGGGAGAGGAGGGGCCTGGTAGTCTAGCTCGTCCCTCCTGATGTGGTGGTAGTGCTTAGTGTGCTCCCGCCTCCCCTCCCCCCTCTCCAGTCTCGAGGCGTGGTTGTTATGGTTGTTGTAATGGTGATGGCCACCATTAGCACTGCCATTGACATTGCCATTGACATTGCCATTGACGTTGCCATTGACGTTGCCATTTGCTTGACCTTTGTGTTGCTTTTTGTAATGCTGTACGCTGTGGCCATTGCTGTACCTGCATGGTTCACTGTCATAATGGTAGTCATGGAAATGGTCGTCCTGGTAGCCAACCGTATCACCTAAGGGTTCCTCGGGCCATAATGGAGTCTTCTCGGTCTCTGGTGTGGTGCAGTTCTCCCCGACCTCGTAGACAAAGAATATTTTGGACATGTAGTCAATAATGAGCACCTTTGCCCAGTGAGGGACCGGCTTGGCCTCAGCTCCGCAGAAATGGATGTTCATGATGAAGATGGTGAGAGACGTGGAGGCTGTGATCATTGTCATGGTGGCAATGTAATACTTCCCTGGAGGAGAGGCCAAGGAAAAAAAGACATGTACAAAGGAGGACAAACTGTATTTATACGAATAACAAAATATTGTATAAGCTTAGGCTGAAGTTTAGTCAAATTCAATCACAACTAGATGAGTTTAACTTATAAAGTGAGCCATGCTGGGTCAGAATTATGAAATACAACCTCAAATTGCTGACTCATCATGAACACTCAATATATTTATGTGACATTTCATTTTATATATTATTTCATGTGGAAATCGCTCTTAAGTTTCAAGTAGTGTGATAATAACTCAAAGGTGAATGCCAAAGATGTATCAAACCTATATAGGGCATGCTCTCTGCAGGCGGCATACTCTCAGCCACCAACAACTGGAACACAGTGAGCGCCAGCAGCACCGTCACCCCGAGGGAAACCTTCTCCCCTGAGTCGGCCGGCAGATAGAAACCAAGGGGAGCGAGGAAGGAGATGAGGAAGCAAGGCAGGAGCAGGTTAAAGATGTAGAAGGAGGAGCGTCGCTTCAGCAGCAGGGTGTAGGTGATTTCAGTGTAAGGGTCGGAGCAGCAGCCATACATCATGACATTTCTGACCGCAGGCATGCCGTGACACTCCCACTCCACATTCTCCACAAAGTCAGACAGGTCGCCGGTGTCCATGCCCAGACTGATGTCCACCTGTGATGGGGACACAAATGACCAGAAAGCTTTATGAACCTCTTACATTGAGTTTAAAAACAGAGGAACAGAAAAATAATCTGACTTTTCAAAGGTTTGAGGAACTGGAGCCAAAAACAGATGCCTCTGTGGGAGACCTGCAGCTGGTACATGAGCCGTACTGATTACAAGCGCAAACATAAATTAACACACTATACCCGCATACATTGTAAACAATCTGGTGTCTCTGTTCTAACAAAGGTAAAACATGGAAACCCATGTATAAACTAAATAAGACCTCTTCTGCCCTCTATATTTACACAGTTCTTCTCTGCCTAAAATTATAAAATATGTTGCTTTATTTTGGGATTTCTGTGAGCATACCTTTTACTGAACTCGTGTCACAAAACTGACAGTCATGGTCATTGTGAGAAAAGGTTGTGGTACAGATGTGTGGAGGATTTGTGTATGTGTGTGTATTGAACTTATCAGGGAAAAAAATAGATTTAATCAAAAGCTGAAATGAGACAGGGGATGTGGTCTCTTCTCTTTCTTCCCTGCCCCCCATCTTTAAACACACCTGGTTGCCGTTGTAGGTCCAGGAGCCAAAGGTAAGGTTGCACTGCTGCCAGTCAAAGGGGAAGTAAGAGACGTCCACCACGCATGTGCTCTTTGTGATGGCAGGAGAGTCCCAGATGAGCTCCCCGTTATATCTCAGCTTGACATTGGTGCTGGGTGCACCTCCAGACTCCTCATCTGCTCTACATGGACAAAGATAAGAACGTTTAAGCTGACTCTATGGCATCGTTAACTCATCCCCCTGTTTTCTGTGGGTCTCTTGTTACTGACTTGTTGTAGAGGACTATATCCGGCTTCCAAACCAGGTCACTGGGTATGTTGATCATCTCCAGGTCATCATAGTCTTCCTTGTCCCACTTCAGGTAGGCGTCATGCCAGACCTGTCTGATCCACAGGTATGTGGTTAATACCTGGTTCCTCTCATCCTATACAGATAGACGCACAAACACAAAACAACATTACAATATAAAAGAAAAAAAACTAAAATCTTATATCTTTACTTTATATTTCAACACAATGCCATTCAGTGTTGTCCCTGTTTTCTCTAAAGAAAAGGAGACTGAAGGCAGCTGTGTTCGTTTTTTTAGTTTCATGGTGTAAAAGTGACACATTAGTTATGTTTGTATGTAATGCTTTAGGTAGAAGGAAGAATGAAACACTGAAACTCTCCCGCCATTTACAACACAAAGCCAGTTTATTAGTCACTGGTATTATGCAACCCACTGAAAAACATTACAAACTGTCCGCTGTGTCAAAAGTAAAAGTTACACACTTTAAGACTAATCAAACAAAACAGATAACAGCTAATAAAAAAAACATATATATATAAAAAAACAGACCTTTGTTTTGTGCCAACACCTTTGTTTTAAATCACTTGCAGTACGACTAACACTAGAGTCCTCTACTACAGACAAGAAGTTTTATGTGAAATAAGTAACTGTTCAGTTTCGATTCATGTCCCTTCACAAATTTTCGTCAATACTGAAGATTTTTTAATGATTACCTCCAGAAAACCATTTATATCTTTATAATTTTACTGCACGGAGTGTCTTTACCTCAGACTGATTTGTTCATTTACTGTTTATCTCAGTAGATGTTTCATTTTTTTCAACACAAGCCTCAAAGAAAGCTATTTCATGCTTATTTATGAGCATAAATACTTCAAAATTACAGGTCTTGAACTTCGTCCTCCTCTGTCTCTCACTAATAACTTGGTAATGTCTCAGAATAAAAGGAAATGTATGTGTGGATATCAACCAGGTTTTTATGTACCCAGGGAAACGTTTTTCGTGTCTTGAAAAATGCTATACAACAACATAAATATTTTTTACTCACCATGTCCTTGATCTGTGATAAAGTGATCTGCAGGGACACATTTAGAGCTTTGTCCGTGTCCTCTACAGGTCTCAGAGCGTTGGAGTAGTCCTCCATCAGGTCAGTCAGAAGTTTGCGGGCGTACTGACCCTGAGCGCCATCTGAAACTGAGAATAGAGGGTGAAACAGATGATTGTGAGAGCAGAAATCAAATCAGAGAAAACACATTTGTGCGTGCAGAACTGACCTTGCAGTAAGAAGCTGATCCAAACCATCAGCGCTGCCTTTCTCATTTTCAAACCGTCACAAGCCGAGAGATCAATTATTCAGCAAACCTGAAACAGCCTGCATCCAAATAAAGTGTCACTCTATTCTGATCTCCATTCTCCCTCCTGTTGACACCGAGCGAGCAGAGATGACTGATAATTCACAGACAATTCTACATCCTGTCTGAAGCTCTGGATGATTCGCTAGGTGTTAGTGTGAGTTCTCCTCTGTCACCGTTGCTGTGTGTGTGTGTGTGTGTGTGTGATCGCCGCTCTGGAACAGGATCTGGGGCTATCACACACACACATACACAGACATTCAAGTACACAGAGGTATCACATAGCACACAGATTCTCAAAGAAAGGTGATGCCTGCAGCCCTACCTGCTTGTGTACAACACTCCAACACACACGACACACACCACACATACACACCGAACCTTACTGCGTTACACATCCAACTACGTTTGTCAGTCACACGTGTACAGTGACACTTTCTTACCTATGCTCAGGTCATTGAACATGGACACACACACATGTCATGACACAGGCCATACATGCTGTGAGTCAATGCACTTTACACAGATCCAGGATCAGATTTCACCGGGTAAATGTGAATCTTTGATATGAGAACCATAAAGATGTGCATTGGTTGTAGATCAGTGATGAGAGAGATTTTGTCCTGTCTGTGTCTGGAGCTTGTTGAAGTGAACAGTTATAGGAGATGGTAGCTGATTAATCGACTGCAGACTGTAACATATTCAAGGCTTAGAGGATTTCCAACATATACAGATGCTTTTATTTCTCATCATTGACCACTAATGTGTTACGCTATATCAGGTGTCATTGGCAAATAGGCCTTGTAATGAATAAATAGGCAAATTAATGAGCTCTGTGTGTGTACGGGTATGTGAACTGTATAATTCATGTGAGATTTAATCAAACTTGTGCTGGTAGCTGTTGACTTTTGATTAAAAAATTAGACTAATTTAGCTTGTGAGCTATTTACCAAATTTATTATCAGCTGTTTACTTGATCAAATACACTCAATACATCCAATAATTTCACCAACCTTACTAAGATGAGTAAATTAGTGACTTCTTTTAAGAGGTTAAAATGTTTGCGTTTCATTTTTATTTATACATTCTTATTCAATATGATAACAACTACATTAGCTTATGTTCATGAGAAACAAAGCAGATTGTTCAGTCATTTGCACATCAGTGTCAAACTAGTTATTATTTTTGTTTAAATGAAACAATATAAAGGGTCAAAACCAATCAGTTCCAAAAATAATCAAATAAAGAATCCAGGACTCTTGCAACCCGAAGTCCCATCTTTGACTCCAACAACTTGTTCAAGGTGTCGAGCCCCTCTTCAGGTGTTATGTCGTCTCGGCAGGGTTCTGTATTCATACGTGGTAAAAATGAGCCACAAAAAAACATATTGTGTGATATTGTTAAAACAAAAAATAGTTAAAAGGATAGGAGACACTTATGTTTACCCTCGTCTGTCTTCATTATTATCGGTGAGGGCATCTGTAGGCACACTGCTTGTCTTTTCAGCATTTCTATCATAGCCGGTGGGACACTTTTGCTCCTGCCTGATAAGACAAAAAAAAAGATTAATATACTTTTATAAGAGATTAAATGATAAATTACTTTCAGCTAATAAGTAAAAGAAAATCTTACTAAAAAGAAGAAGGCTTCGGAAATTATCTGTGCCAGAGACGATATCTTCAATGGCAAGGAGACAGTCGGGGCACTCAGTGGGCAAGTAGACCTCCTTGAGGAAGAAAGGTTCCTCTGTTGACAAAAAAAAAAAGGGTTTTACAGAGTTAACAAATGTCATGAGAGGAAGGGTATATATTTCTTTCATAGACGTCAATGCACTCTAAATTCTGTCCGCTGCCTCTGGAGCGGCCCCCTGCTGGCCATTAGGTGGAAAATTCAGTGTGAGGTACAGCAATGTCACTTTTATGTAAGACTAAAAGCTGATTCCACTTTTTAATAACGGTCTGAAATATGTTCTCACTTACCAATCAACATTACGCTGTTTTGAAAGGTCACGTTGTATAAAAAGCTTGAACAATCCCCATATCTGTGAAGACAAAAAAAACAACTGATGCAGGAGGCACAATGAAAAAAAATGGGCATTATGTTTGTGAATGTGTAACAAATTTGTAGACTGAGGCTGACAAAAACTGCTCTGGTTGGGTAAACACACAGGAGGCTCCCTGAAATGTACATCCTGGTACTTCAAACAAGTCAAGCTCCTCTTTGAACATTTCCTGTTTATGTCGCAGGTAGGTATTTGATTTTAAAAGCATATGAAGTTGGATAATTCAAAATCTGAAGAGCTTCACTTTGGATTCCTAAAAGCACAAACTAGTTGTAGCCTCTGGTGTGATGGTGTCGGTGTTTACTTACATCTTTTGACTCTGGAGGAGACTGAGGACATTTTCCTGAGAGGTTGCGCTGAGGTCCACCCAAACACTGGTCATCAGGTGAGCAACAGAGCGACTTCCAGGGATGTTGGAGCTCCCCCCAATGTACATCCACCTTCCCAAAATCTGCAACACATGCACAGCATTTAGAGTCTGATACAGATATACATACATACTGTTGTTTCTTCGGAAAATACAGACATATTCAGGCATATGTGGCACAATATTATCAATGATTTTCCAACTACCTTTTCCACATATTTTATTGCTCATATGAAGACATTTAAACTGCATTAGTGGCACAGCTTAGTAACCCACTGTAGTCTTTATCCATTACCTGATTAGATCAGATGTGCAAAGAAAGCAGACATACTTACTTCCTCTCTGGTGATGGTGATTGGTTTTAACAGACTTTCACAGCTGGTTAGAGGAGCTGAGAGTCCCACTGAGAAAAGACTCAGCAGGACAACAACAGCAGCAGCAGCAGCAGCACACATCTTCATCCTCTAGGTGGCTCTGATCTTAATTTTCTTAAGCTTCTACCTCCTGGGCCTCTTATACACGACTACCAGTTTTTATCTCCAGCCCTCGGTTTTGATTTTGTTATGCCTCTTCACAGCTTTCCGCACACTTTAAAACAACAGTCTCCTCTCTCTCAACAGCATATATCCCCTCCTGACTGATGATGTAACTAAAGTAAATAGGAAAGAGACCAAAGACTTTGACCGGTCCAAGGAATGGACCTAATCTTCAGCGGATCACACACAACAGAGCTTAAAGGCTGTTATATATGCAGTATGAATGCTGATGTGTTCTGTTAATCCTCACTTTAAACCTTCCTGACCCGTCAAAATAAAACACGACCATGTTTAAGCTCGTTTCAGCACTATCATATTTCTTCAAGGTGACATTAAAAGAGGATAAATTCTGATTAATTTTGGAAACCATTGTTCTGTTTATGCTGCTGGCGATAGTTTCTTGTTTCTGCATCCTAAGCTTTCCCGTCATTATGTGTCTTTTCTCAGTGTCTATCAGCTCTTACTATTACTGTGAAAGTGCATGTTAAATTATCTAAAAACAAAAACTTTAATTCATAGCTCTAAATTGACCTTAAAATGTACGTTATACGTTAACTTATTCCTCTTACTGAGCTCACTGAATCCACTAAGAATCGTGGTTACATGGGTGAAGACTGTGGAAAAGCTCAAACAGACTCATGGAGTCAAGTCAAACTATTCTTTTCTTTAAAGCAAGGATAAAAACATCATAACATCTTCAGAAGACAATAAAAAGTGAAACTTATCAGAAAAAAACTTTGGGATTTTGCTACTTTGTGTCTCTTTAAATGAAACCTATTTAGACAATATTTGCAGTTCAGTTAATATTTGTCCTGACTTCCTGATAACCACAGCCGTGCACTGTCGAGTGAGATTCAGTGTGGATAGAATAACAGATCAATACACTCTCAATCAGCTGTTTTGATGTGCACATGTACATGAAACATACAACCTTAACAAGAGCAGCCTAGTTCTGCAATTCTTTAGCCGGAGTTACTTATCAAATTTCTATAACAAGGAGAGTATATTTTATAAAAAGTAGTGTTTTGATGATGGTGACATGGATTTTGAAAGCTCTTGTGAGGAAATTGTGGCGTATTATCAAAGAGCGGAGCGGTGTCTCCTAATGACTTACAAAAGCAAACAAGACCATCACCATCAACACGCCATCACCACAATAATTTTCAATAACAGCTTTGAAGGGCTGGTTATCAAACGTGTGTGAAAGTATGTAGAAAAAAAAGCTTTTTTTTTTTTCTTTTTTTTTACTGCTAATCAGTCAGTAAGTGATTTGTTTGACTGTTAGTAGACAGCAAATCATGATATATCAGGATACAGGTGAGACAGACTATTATGGAAAATTCCTCCATGGATGATACTGCGTATCCATTACTACACACCTATTCAGCAGATGTCAACTCCTCTACCTGTTCTTATTTACAATCAAGTTTTGTTGAATTTCATTTTTTTTTTTTTGTGTTTTTATTTATCGTTTATTATCTCTGTATTTATTATTTGACAAGTTAGTTCCTACGTCAGGAAATTTTATGTAACGTTTTGTTAATTAGATTGAATTCTTCAATAAAAAGTTAAATAAAATAAAAAGTCAGCTACAAACAATTTTTGGACGAGATGAAATGACACCCACAACAGTAAAAGTTATTCACTCCCTTTCCCTCATCAGTGTTTCCCCTAAATTCATTCATTCATTCAGCAGCGGTGAATTAGCGAATTACGTTCAACGCTACTAAAATTTCACTTGATCATTAATATCAATGCGCCACTCATGATTTCTACTCACACTGTGTGAGCACAACAATACACGTTACTTTCAACTTGTTTTGAGTCAACAACAAGTGCATTAAATCCTGTCGGACCCTCTTCCATTATTGTGAAAGGTAACGTTCAAGCTTATACACGGTCTATATATCGAGTAGCGTGGTTAACGTAACTTAACGTGAACATAACATGAGCATAACAGCGTAGCTCCTTGAGCGACAAAAGAGTGGGGTAACAGCGAAAATTTCTAGGTGAAGACTGACCTGAGGAACAGGCTACAAGAAGAGCATCTCGCCATCTGCATGCGTGTGAGCATCACCTTCTCTGTGCAAACACAGGAGGTTCGAGATGCTCACACACCAATGAAAATCGAAGCTCCTGTTTGTGCTTCTTGTGTGTTGTTTTTTTAAACAGTCTTATCTGGCCTTTGTTTGCAAACACTCAAATATTTTGTTCGTTGAGATTTCAGGTGAAAACAGGCTGTTTTCACCTGAAATCTAGAGGCGTGAAGAGAGAACCAACATTAGTAAACAACATTTCAACTCTTGGTGACAGTCAAATGACGAAAACAAGTCTTTATCAAAAGTGTTTTTTTTTTTAATTGAACTGAAACTGAGAGCTCTCTGTGTCTTCTTACAGGACAAAAAGGAAAAAGGACAACAAACAATTAACTTGACAGAAAAAGATCTAAATCTGATGACTGAACAGTGAAATCTCTGAACAAGGCCGAACAAATAGCTCAGAAAGGAGGATAAAGACAAACTGAGGACTAACTCATCCTGCCTTTGCCACCTCCTCTACTCCATCCATCCGTCTGCAGTGATGGTGGAAAAGAACAAGCTGGGTGGAGGAGTGAGATTGGTGAAGAGGGGGATGACAGGATGCACTGAGGTATTTGCGACCTCCTGGATTTGTTGGTTAATTTTTCACTCTCTCCTTCGTCTTCATCTTGGTGGGACAGGCAGACAGAGGGAGGAGAAACAGGAGGAGGTGATGACTAATCAATGGCCTCCTGGTTCTCCTGGTCTGCGCTGATCTCCTCGCTGGCCTCTTTGCCCTCCTTGCTCCTCTTGCTCTTCTTGTGTTTGTGCCTCCGGTGGCTGTCTCCCTCCTCACTGTCGTGCCTCCGTCTGCTACTGCTACTAATAGAAGGAGAAAAGATGAACGTGTGGAAAAGGTGAAGAGGGAGCGGATGGAAAGTGAAGGACAGGAAGCAAAATTTAAAAAAAAAACAATGAGGAAAGGGAAATAAAAAGGTACAGAGAGAGAGACAGGAGAGACGATGGGCAACACAAGGAAAAGGTGAAGAGAAATGAAGAAGAAACAAAGAGTTGGATCCATGAGAGATAATAAGATAAAAGGAGACAGTGTTGGATGAGACACAAAGGTTGGAGAAAAAAGAAAAAACGTTTCGACTAAATTTACTGTTGACGTACTGGATTGACCAGACTAAATCAAGGTTTGAAAGATGTGATGTAATCATTTGAAATTTTTGGAAGGACAGCTTTGGTTGTGAGGAAAAAAAATGACACTTTTGAGTCCAGCTGGTTCACAGCTTTTAAGAGCATTCCTGAACTTTCAGGATTTCAAACTTAAAGGCTGTGAAGGAGCTGATGTGTGCGTGACACCATCTGATGTAACATTAGCTGGGATCTCAGGTGATTCAACTTCCTGAGACCAAGGACAGACCTGCACAAATAGGACCTGAGTCGGACTTCACTGGGATCAAATCTCGCTCTGAACATCATAAAAGTCAGAGGCTGAGCTCATTAATGAAGATTCAGTTTCAACATTAAAATGTTTTATATCCATGTCAGACCTGTTGTGTTTGGTTGTTTTGTCAGAGCACTGAAACTTTAACCAGTGTGTGGTAGGGCTGGGCGATAAGGGAAAAAGTTTATCACGATATATATTTTTTCATATCAGTTGATACCGATATGTAACACGATATTTTAAAAATCACTTGCCAATCTTGAATGTTCACTGTTACGTTTGAATGAAATTTAACATGTACTCGACATAATTTGCAGTTCACATTACTCTGCTTCATGTCCGACCTCAAAAAAACAAAATACCTCCACACCACCGACGTTTTTGAGCCAGTTTTGTCACCGATGTCGTCATCTGTTGAACCTTCATCTGCATTTCTGCCGAGGGTAGCTCTCATTTTCTTTTTTCTCACCGACAGTGCTGTCAGCTTCACGTGTTAAAGTGCTGTGGTTGCGTGTAGCTGCAGCCTGTTACTACACAGTTGTTTGCTGCATGGTTCTAATTCAGCACATGATTGGTTCAGCACGGCGCAGAACCGGAGTAACTCCCCTTTTCATTGGCCATTCGTGTAGTCTACCAAAACATGGCAGAATGCCGACTATTGAAAAGCATACTGACCATGTTTCATATCAACATCGAGGAAAACTAATTTTTGAAAAGTATCATTATCGTTTTATCACACAGCCCTAGAGTGTAGGTGTTACAGTGTTTAAGGAAACCGTCAATGTGTCTGTGTACCTCCGTGAAGACTTGTGGCGTCCCTCCTCCTTCTCTCGGTGCCGCCTCTCTCTGTGTCTCTCCTCTTTCTCTCGGCTTGACCGGTCACGGTGTCTCTCACCGTACGCTCGCTCCTGGTATTCCCGATAACGATACCGCTCCTCATCGCTACAGAGGGTAAAAATGTACACTTTACTCTGCCATGATTATGTGCATGTCAAACAAGCCCATTCTTATATGTTAATGTAGCTAATTTCTGTTTGCAACCATGAGCACACCACCCTGCAGAAAGTGTAAATCTATCTATCTAGTCTGTGTCTGAGTAACTGTTTCCTTCCTCTCACCTAGTGTAGCCCACAGCTGACGGACTGTGCTCTCTCTCTCTCTCACGCTCATGTGTCCTCTCTCTTGGTCTCTCTCTGTCCTTGTCTCTCTTGTCGTCACGACGATAGTAGTTGTCCCAGGGTTTGGAGTTGTCCATCATGGGCGGCCAGGGAGGAGGACCTCCAGTCATGGGTGGAGGGTATGCACCTGAAAATGTGAAGACAAGGTTTAGAGACTGATGAACGAATTTTGGGGTTATAAACCGACCAGACATAAATCAAGGAAATTCACAAGAAATGCACATCTACCAAAACCAGCTTCATGCTTCCCAGCCATTCATTACAACAGATCTCTAATCCATGGATTAAAAAATTGACATTTGTTGTGCTCCTTAAATTGGACATTAGATTGCATGTAAAGCTTTGTACCTTGGGGGAACGGGTAGGGAGGAACTGAGCGTCCATCGTAGCTACCAGGATGGCCACTGTGGAAAGGACAAAGGAGTTATTATGATCTGTCAGAGAGTATGTGCAAAACTAGCTTATGACATCGACACATCTTAACTAATAAAATATCTAATTGTTTTAGGGCTGGGCGATGAACCAAAATTTACCAATACCGAAATTTACGAATATAACCGACACCATTTTGCCCATATCGGTATATTCAGTGTCAAAAAATAAGTAAAAGTTGGTTTTGGCTGTGTGTAGGTAGGTTATGGTCTCATGCCCCTTTAACACGCTGTCCTATGTTGGAGACGTGACTCGACCCCATCAAGTCCATAACAAAGAGGGAGAGACAGGTGAGGAGATGGAGGACGGTTCAAAGTCATAGCGGCTGAAGTAGACGAAGTTAATGTGGGAGGGGGTGAGCAGCTTTTGTGGAGTAGTTATCGTCCATTTATTATTATCGAGGTGAACTGCTCAATATATTGTGATATTGATTTGAGGCCATATTGCCCAGCCCTAATTTGACCTGTTTTGGCTTTGTTTCATTTTTCCTTGAACATAAATCTGCTTCACCTGATGATTCTCTTATTTTACTTTAATTGTACGTTAATTAACCGTTAACACGAAGCAGCATCTACTTAAGGATTCTGATGCGTGGAGACGATCTGAAGTTTCTAGACAACATTCAGTCTCAATATGCATATGTCCACGTGTGTTACCTGTCCATGGTGGGGATCATGGCAGGAGGAGGGCCACTGGGTGGAGGAGGGAAACCAGGGGGTGGGACAGTAATTGGCAACCCTTTGCAGGAGAAAGAGTTAAAAGTAGATAAATATATCAATCTTGTCAGCAGAGAAAGAAAAAAATCTTCAATGATGATGGTGATGATGAACTTACTTGGCGGGGGGATGAGGGGCGGTGCAGTGCTGACATTGGGTGGTGGGGGGAGAAACGGAGGTGGAGGTATGTTTGGAGGAAGTGGTCCAGGTGGGAAAAAGGTGGGTATCTTCGCTGGAGTCGGCTCGGAGTCTGATTGTTCAGCAATCACCTGAAGATCAATAAACAGGAGAGGATGTCATGACAACGACAAACAACCTCAGAGGGGTTGTAGACTCAGAGAGAGACAGTCTACGTTGCTCACGGTTACCTGGATGTTGTTGCCTTCTTGGTTGTGTCTGCGTCGGCCTTCAACCCTGCTGATGGTGGCTGTCTGTCCACCAATCACATCTATAGTACCGCTGGTCTTCCTGAGAGACGGAAAAAAAACAAAACAAAGGCTCTGAGGAGTTTGTTAAACACAAGACAAATCACACACACACACACACACACACACACACACACACACACACACACACACACACACACACACACACACACACACCATCTAATCCACACAAGTCAAAAGCTATAAAGAAAACACAAAACAACAGCAACATAAATAACTACTTTTCAAAGTCACATCAAAATGAGTCACACAGTTTTACAGACACACGATGAACCCCAACTGACAGATCTCAATCCTGAGGGTTTAAGTGATCGAGTATTTTTCAACTTTAAAAAAAAAAACACAAGTAAAAATTATTGATGCATATCCCTTAGACTTGTCTTTTTATATAATTGTGGCCAACATAAAAATTGAGGAAGTGTCATAGTACAGTGATATCACTACGTTGTTAGAGCTCTGTGGTGGGCAAAATATGTCAAAGTGACAGCTGACAAACAACCTCAGACTAAGTCCTGTAACGCTTTAACTCAATCTCCTCTAACTGCCCAACACACATACTCACCCTAACCCTTACACTTGCACACGGTTCATGTTCAACTCAAATGAAAAACACTTTTCAAGTCCAGCTGTGCGGTCTCAGATTTCTACTCCTAAATATACAAGGACTGCAACAGCTCCAGTTATTGTTTCTACAAGTGCAAAGAAAATCTATCACTGTCTTTTTCTGCTTCTAACTTTTATAAGTTTGACAACCACCCCTCATTACATCCAGTAAAAACCATTCCAGCTCTTGTGCTCTCACCGATCTTGAGGAATGGTTGGGGCTAAATTTTCAGTACAAACTCTCAAAAGGTTTCATTGAGGACAGAGCCTTTGAAGAGCTCCAATACCAACAGAAAAAAAATCCTGCAAATGTTAGAAGTTGGGAAATCCAGATGTGTGATACAGCTATGAATACAGGCTCTATCTAATGACAGAGGATTATCTTAAAATGTTGAGCTATAGTTAAGGAGTGTCCCGATACGATATTGATATTGGATATCAGTCCGATATCGGCAAAAAAAACAAATATCGGATTGTATCGGCCTGAATCTAAAATCTCTGATATCAGCACTCCGGTACAGGCAGTCCATTCCAGACTCCGCTCCGGCACCTCTATTTAGCAGTGCTCTGATCCAGCAAGCTGAGCCCACAAAATCTCAACAACAGTGTGCACTAAGGTACTAACAAAGTAGCAAGAAGTTTGAGTGATGTCGGTTGTGTGGAAGTATTTTTTCTTTAAGTCAGAAAAAGACGTTACTCTGAGTGAAAAACTTGTCATATACAATTATGCGCAAATACCGGATCAATATCGTATTGGTCATTATTGAGGCTACAATATATCGGTATTGTATCGGGACACCCCTACTACACTTATAACTGAGCCACCAAAAAGCGCCGAGCTTGAGCAGTGAACTTGGCTTCTTTGAAGATTATACCACATGCACATCAGCCACCCCAAAAGAAAGACACATGGGCGTAAACAGAATATCTTTAGAGTCACATTAGAAATAGCACAGGGAGTTTTTCTCCGCTCGAGAAAAACACCAGGCCCCCTGTTATGACATTAACACATTTCCCATCTTGCCAATTTCATTTTGTAGGGACGAGGCCATGCCCACTTACGTATAGTAGGACATGTCCTGAACAGGCGGGCCAGTCCACTGAGGGGGAGAGATCCTACCATTTTGAAACAAAGGAAAGGGGTAAAGGAGATGAGAGTAACATTGGCCCTCATACACACAAACACAAAAAGCCCATGGGATAGTGATGGGGACACTGGCTGTGTGTCTGTGTCATTCAGATACATGTTTGACATTCAAATAAGAAAAAGTTAAAATCAAGAAAATGTATCAGACGATATCAAATTAAACTAGCAGACACAGAAAACACCATAACAGGGCCAGTTCTTATCTACAGTTGGATCCATTTCCCCCTTTATTCTTGTTTTTAGCCTCTTTATTGACCCTGTCTTGGCTAAAAATGACATTTCTTTTCAAATTACTACAAAATTCAGGTTAATTTAGCACAAAATTTGCTTAAGAAAAAAAAAGCAATGTGTTGTCCATTCAGAGCCATTAACCATTAAATGTTTGGCACACTGAAGTAAAAGATTGGAGCTTCTTATATTAGGTCTACGTATCATTTAGCAGGAGAAATGCTCACTTACATCACTTTGACTTCTAATTCTTACGAACATGAAGAATTTTTGAGGAGTGGCTAGCAACTACGGTGTCAAAAAATTGCACATCAAAAGATTTTGATGGAAACAAACATATCAGTCAGTTATATCTCTGTTCAAATGGCCTCAACTGACAGAACCTGAGGTGAAAACAAGAGTTGATTTGTTTACCTGGTGACCTGGCTGACAGCAGACTTGTACAGGCTGACAGGAGACGTGAAGTCAGGCTTGGAGGTGTGAACAGGCAAAATGGACATGTCCTTCTCATTGCCTGTCCTGCCCTGCTGAACCTAAGACCGGGTTAAAATAAGTTAGTGAATGCATCTATGTGCTGAATATCAAAGTAATAGTCTTCATTTCAAGTTCAGACATTTTGGCTCTGTATAATCATATTAAGGACAGAATCAAATCAAAAATGTAACTATAGAAGTGTGGAAAAATAGACATGTAGAGGTAAGGCTGTACCGATACGATATTGATATCGGATATTGGTCTGATGTCAGCAAAAAAAATATATATATATCGGATTATCCTGGCCTGCATCTAAATTTCCGATATCAGCACTCAAATACAAGCAGTCCCAAAAGTGAGCACAGTGACTTCTTACTGTAATCTTGCTCGTCACTGAGCCAACAGTAGAAACCTCCAGTCCCATGCGCAACCTCTTCTGTTTTTCACAGTAAGCCTTCCATGTGTCTTCATTAAAGCCGTAGTTAAAGTAATCTGACAGATCCGCTCCTAAAAATCAAAACACATGAAATAGTTGGTAATCAACGTACATGCTAAAAACAAATTAAAAATGTACATTTTGACACTTGGTTCTCTGTACATAAACAGACCTGGTTTTCTCCAGGGTTTCTCCTCAAAGGACTCCATGTCCACCTCCAGTACTGGAACCCCATTGATGTTCCCAGGGGCATCCAGATCCACTCCCTTTAGCTTGGTAGCTATTGAAAATAAACACGTGAAAAAGGCATGAATATTTTTAAATGCATCCTTATGACAGTCTGAGTAAAATGACGTTTGCCCAGGCTGATTTTATTTGTTCACCTTGTCCATAAGGTCTTGAACCTGCTGTCTTTATGTTTAAGTTGACGGGTGGAGCACCATATGTTCTGGGAAATAAAAAACAAGAAAATCATGAGCTCTCACACACAAGTAAAAAAAAAAAAATCAACAGTCCAGTATTTAATGAAATTTTTTGAAAAGCATACGTGTATTGAGGCGCTCCAGTTTTTATGTCTCCGATGGTGACACGAACATCATCATCGTCATCATCACTGTCGCTGTCACTGTCGACATCCTCCCCTGCAGCCTCACCTGTGGCCTGACACACACATAGGAAAAACACCAGTGATAAGCCAAAGGGACAGGGGAAGGAAGAGTTTAGTGTGAAGAAAAACAATACAGACATGAGCAGACATGCATGTAGTCTACCTACCTCAGAGGCCACACCATTCCCTGTAGCATGGTCATTGGTATCCTCTGTTGAAGCATCAGTGGGAGCACTGCAGATAAAGAAACATTAACAGTAAACACAGTTATACCTCTATGAACTGTCAAACAAAAAGTGGTTATATCAATGAGAAATTTAGCAGGTGATTTCTGTACTTATCATACTGAAATACATCCAAGTTTTAATGTTATGAAGATGAAAGCTTGGGAAGCTTAAATGATTGTTATATTAGGTTAGATCTTCAGCCTGTGACCAAACGTAGGTGGTGAAAGACCTTGGATCCTTAACTTTTTCATCAAAAATCAAGTCACAGCACCTCGACTGAAGAAAAAATACCAAATAGTTCCTGTCATTTTTAGCCAATCACATGTGACCTTTACATTTGTATTACCTCTGCCCAGTATGTTTAAACTTTAAAGGAGTGTTGAGCTCAATAAATCTGTGTGATTTTAGATGTCAGGTCGTGTTTAACTGTCAGTGTGAATCTAAACGATCGTGTTTATGAGTTTCTCTCATATGAACCATAAGGGCTGTCTCTGGAGTTTTGGGAGATCTCTTCACTCACATACCTGATCGCAGCGTTGAGTTTGGATTCCTCGTCCTCTTCCTTGCTCTCAGACTCATCTGTTCAATTAAAACACAAAGTTGTTATTTCAACTCCAACAACTCATCACTCCTCGATTCTGATTGTTATTTCTGATCATCTCGGCTGCAAAAGGCCGACAAACACAAAATGCTAGCTTAGCTTCAATGCTAACTCAAACATCATCACTGTGGCAGACGGAGCTGTAGGTTTTAGTTTCCAAACTCTACACACACTAAATGAAACATGCCTGTTCATTCAAGTGAGAACATGTATATAAAACGGAAGATATTTTACCTCCATACAGCCATTCCTCCTCCTCGTCACCTGCGCTAGCATCAGTGGTGGCTGTTTTGTCCGCCTCCTCCGCAGACATGTTAAACACAGAAACCCAACTGAAGACTCGCGAGAAAATAGAGAAGACTACGCCTCTAAACGCAGTTAGAGCTACCCTTCAGTTACTCTTTCTCCCTTGCAGTCATCAAAATATAAAAACACAACTTTCATCGATCCATCTCCTGCCTCGGTGAGACTGTGTGAACCCGGAGGAAGTCGTAAGTGTCCCGCTAAGGTCAAAGTGTTGGCTCCAAAAACTGCAGCGTCTCCTAGCGATGGGGGTTGGTACTGTCCGTACTCAACAAAACAACGCCAACGGCCAAAAAAACAAGACACCACATGGATTAAACTGGGCAAACAGGTAAGAGCCTCCCATTGGATGATTACTGGCTCGGTGATTATGTTTCAAGGGAGCATAATTGGACTCTGTGACGAAGGAAGAAGGTCCTGCTGTCTGTTGAGTCCAGATTTACCCCGCTCCAGATTGATGGGCATATTGATAGGATAAGAAGAGAATTGTAGGGGAGAGTGGGGTAAGTTGAGCCAAAGGGGTAAGTTGAGCCACCCCCTGTTGCTTGGAAATGGTAAAAGAATTTAAACATGTGACCAAATATTTAGGAGATGGGCATCAATTCATGGAGTTTGTAAAAGTTAGAAGCACATGGGTGAAGAGGTTAAACATTTATTAAAAAAAAGGAGAGAGAAAGGGTGATGGAGGGCTGGGGTAGGGAGTGGGGGATTAGTAGGGATACGGCTCAACTTACCCAACTTAGACCACTTTTTTTGGCATGCTTTATTATCAAGACAGTCATGTTTACACTCATTCTGTTGGTTTACAGGGATGCACAACATCCTGAAATATATGCAGATACACTAGTTAGAGACAAAACTATGATTGCCTTCATGTAGTGATCCAAAATATGAAAAATGGTTCATCTTACCCCACTCTCCCCTACTGTACAAGCCTGTCGGGGCAGAGCTATGATCTCGAGTTGCTGCAGTTGGTCAGGTCTATGTTCTGTGCCCAAAGAGTGAGGTCAGATGAAAGACCAGATTATTGCATCACTGGATTTGTTTCTTCCCTGGTGGCTCAGGCGTATTCCCAGAAGACAATACCAGGATTCATCGAGCTCAAATTGTGGAAAAGTGGTTCAGAGAGCATGAGACATCATTTTCACACATGGATTGGCCACCACAAAAACCAGGCAGTTGGGCCAGGAAGTGTATAATTGGTGACATTTTAAGCATGTCAGTCTTATTCACAATTAGGTACGTGTAAGTAACTTGAGTGTCTAATGTATTTTGAATGTTATGCTTTCATTTTTGGGGCAACTTTTTATCTATTTATCTTTTTTACTTCAGACCTTGATTGCTTTTTGTTGTCAAAGAACTCAGGTTAATCGGCAGATCAAATAAGTGCTTTAAAGTAGTAAAATAGTGGTAATAGAAGTAAAAAAAATGTTATCATAGCAGTAGTAAAATTTACTTGAGTAAGAACACAGACCTCTTTTTAAATACAGATAAAAAAAGAAGTGTCCAATATCCTGTATGCTATATGGGGACAGAGAAGGGCATTTTTAAGTAGCTAATTTAAACAGTACCATATTGTGCTTTTAGCAAAAAAGGACTATTTCTTGAGTCACCCAGTGTTTTACTTTTGACTTTGCAGAACCGTAACCTTACACTGCCAAATTATCCTCCATGACCAGATGTGTAAAATCCTCAAAAAACTGAGTATGCAGAGGAAACTTATTCACAATCAGTCACAAGCAAGTCTGGACTGAACAAGGCAAGGAAGACGGCTGCCCCAGAGCAACGGGGCACATAAACCTCTAAAGCCCTAGATCATTCAGTTTATGCTCTGTGGTAATTGAAGATTATCCACTAGAATTACAGTGACAAGACACTGTATTATTAGATCATACACTGGCTTGTTATTGTCAACTAAAGACCATCTTACATTAGCATGTACCCTTGGCAGTATTTGAAACTATTTTTGCACTGTCCTCTTTAGTCACAAACTTAGACTGAGGGGATGTTAAAGAAGCTTTACCCACTGACTGAAGCGAAAGTGAACATATTAGCTTTGTGCATCTGAGAGCTTAGAGCTGATCTATCCAATGTTCTGTAAGTGATTTGAAATTTAATTTATATGAATGAATATTTAACCCTTCTTGTGTATCATAGTTTCAAAGAGTCATATGAGCTCTAATGGTGATGAACACATTTGTTACCATCTATAGTTTATGATCCCAGTTTCCCCTAAAGTCTCTAGTGTTTACCTTTTTTTCATGAAAGACTCTTTTGTTGTTTCCTTACTTTTATTGTCACAAAACAGATATTATTCCTTAACAATGAACCAACAAACTTGTACTATAGTGACTGGGACAACACTTAAAATCACAAAGATGCGTTTTGTGCGCTCCCACTCAGGGCTTCCTCTGCATCTCTCCACATGTTCATGAAATCAAGCTGCAGATGAAGGCTCATCAGCAGCACGATAGCTGCTGTGGTTTTGTTAATGCAAAGAGGATTGTTAATGCATTTATGGCCCTTGACCATTTAAGTGGAGGCCTGAGCTTTGTCAGTAATTGATGGAGGAGATCTGTGGCATCTCTCACTCTTTCTTTCCACCACCACTTTAGCCATTATCACTTCCTTACAATGGTGATTATACAAAGGCTTTACATGTAGGTCTCTGCAGAGGAAATAAAATCAATGAGCATGCATACCCACATGTATACACGAATATATCGTATACACGGGCATGTACAACATGAACCAAAAACACACACACACACTCTGGTCGTCTTATCTGTGAATATATTTATTTTATCCCTCAAAGTGAGAACACAGGATTTCATATCAAAGTAAATACTGTATCACATAATGTGTGGAAGCTCTTGTGGTCACACTGACTCTCAAACACACACAGGGAGGTGGTTCAGAAAGAGGGATGCCAATGCTCTCTCTGTTAAACTGATCATGGAAATTGCATTTATCTCACTCAGTCTATCTCTCCCAGACATTTTTATCACACTTTCCCACTCGTATTCTCCTCCTGCTTTTCCCACCTTTTTTATTTGCTGCTTCCCCTGCCATTTTATCTTTTTATAACATCACTGCTCTCTCAAATTCAAATTTGCCTGGCTGGCAAAATCATGACAAGATAAAGTAAAAGCATAGCGATTCAGACTTATCATTATTGACCTGTCAAAACTTCGTGTATTTCAAAGGTTCAGAAAGTTTTAAACCAGAAATTTTCACAGGATGGCTACATAGAGGTACTATAAAAAAATAAACTCTTATTTTGTGTACAAATTGCTGATAATATAATGATTGACTGATTGTTCCTCTCAAAATCTCATTTCATCTGAAGCTGAAATCCATTTTTGCTGTGGATGAACTGCAGCTCTTAAAGGCTACAGTAATGCTGAGAACCAGAAAAGAACTGAAGTAAACCAAGAGGGGGCAGATTACAAAACAGTTTCATGTTTTGTTCCTCTGGTTTCCCCCCACAGGCTTGAACCACTTTAGCATAATTCGCAGATTCACTCCACTTGTTTTTTCCCATAGCTGCTCCTCTGCTCCCTTTTTCAACCCTGTCTATAACCCTCTGTACTCAATCTCCAAGCACCATGTTTGTCTTTATTTCCTTTTCTCCTCTCCTCCTCACCCACTGCATTACCCAGACTCTGCCTCCTTGTTCCTTCCTTCTCCCTGCATCCATCCTTTGCTCCTCGCACGGGATTGAATGAGTTCACAGCTCAGTCAATGCTAATCAGATTTATCCAGACGGAGGGTGATCATTGGGTTTACAGTAATTACACACACAGATATTAGCTTACAAAAATATGTGCCTGGCACATTTTCAATACACATCATCTGTTTGGATCAAACATATGGTTATCCAAACAACGGGGTGCCATACAAGACAGCTTAGCTATGCAATTTCTATCACCTTTTGTTTTGCAGCACAAAGATCCATCTGTTGTGAAATTAAAAAAATGTGTCTGCAAAGACAAGGCCTCATTATATGACTTAGTTGTTGAAAAATGTGATTAGAGAAGCTGCATTTTACACGGATGAGCGTTTAATACTCGAGATTAGCATAACTGATTGTGCTAAAGGGATGAGTCTGTTTAGGGAGTTCAGTAAAAATACATTTTTATTAAGCTAACATTCATTTCCTCATCATGACAAAAAAAACAAGTTAAAGTTTTATTAACAACTTTTGAATGAGATGAAAAATTAATATCTGTCTCACTGTGTACAAGTAAATGTATGTAGCTAAAGCTAGCTGCTAGTTAGCCTCACTTAACAAGTGTAAACAAAAGAGAAACAGTCAACCAGGTCTGTTCAAATGCAGCAAAATCTATTTCAAGCTGACAAATAAAAACTTTTTTTTCTACTTTCAAGAACTGAAGTGTAAAAATAAGCCAAGGTGTTATCTTGGGTTACTTCATTGACTATTTTTCTTGGCTCTGAGTAGTTGCTAGGCAAACTGTAAGGACTCCAGGGAGTGTTTTTGCCAGGAGAAGAAATACTCCTCTATCTCATGCTCCGAAAGCCACATATGAAATCCTCCATCTAAGATTTTTTAAGTCAAGCTATTTCTTGAAGTAGCAAGCAGGGAAATGATCTAACATACAGTAAACATAACAGTATGTAATCAGAAGAAGGTGTGTCAAACTGAAACCGAGGCCTTATTTTGCTTCTCATCTATAACTTAGTTTTTTTTATTTTCTTTCAATGAACTCATCTCTTAGTCCGATCCGTTCAATGGGTCATTATTGATATGTGAAACACCACAATTCAACCATGGATGGACACTTAACAACCACACAGAGTGGATTAAAAAAAAACCTCTGCTGTATTGACAGTGATACAGGAAAGACAAATGGACACATATCAGGTTTATATTGTCCACTCAGCAGATGGAGAATACGGTTGGATTACCCTGTGCTTCTGGCCAATCATGACAATGAAAACTAAGGAGGTAAGTACGTGCGCGATTTATGTGTGTGCATGTTTTTTCTTGTAAGTCTTGTGTGGTGTCCTGCAGACAGAGAGGATGTACTATTCTGTGACTGCCTCAGGGTGTGAGATAGCTCCATTTGTAGGTGATTGGGTTAGGATTTGTGTGCGTGTGTGTGTGTTACTGAAAACGTGGAGAGAGAGAGGGGAGAAAGGAGAAGGTGAAATAGAATGAGAGAGGGAGAGGGGAATGATTTTCATTACGTAATCTAATCTAAGTGGCTATTTTTCTTGTATAAACCTCTGTTGCCCTCTGTGAGTCTGCTGTCCTCATCCGTCTAAAAGCACTGAGTGAGTCATACACACACACACACACACACACACACCGATAAAGTCATAGTGAGTCAGCCAAGATCGGTTATAGACGCTCACCTCAATAATGAATAATGAAATAGGCAAAGACATATAAACTACTCAAATGACACAAGGACTCAGTGGACAGTATGACATATGGATGATCCTGAAACTCACAGCAACACCTTCATAAAACATGGAGGCAGCTGGACTATGAGTTTAGAGAACAGGTGGACTGAGCTTTGACACCTTCGGGTTTCAGTTTTCCTTGTGTGAACACAGAATGTTTAACAGAGGGGCTTCAGCTGGATGGAGAAAAGTCAAGTAGACTATATCTGTCATCCAAGTGTCGTGGGAAAAGAGCTGAGTCAGAGATCCAGATGGAAAAGTTGATATCTCTTTTGCATCTGCAAAATTAGGCTGGAGTTTGGTTAGCTTAGCTCAGCAAAAAATCTGAAAGGCAGCAAGACAGGTATCTTGGTTTTGTCTAAATGTAACAAAATCTGCTTAGCACATTCAAATGTCATTCATCAGTTTGCACTAGCTAGTACAGCTATTACACCATGAAATGCTTGTCTAAGCCAGACAATTTTCAGCTTACCCTCTGAGCAATAGACTAGATGTCTACTAGATGTCTAGTTTTCTTTTAGACCTAATTTCAACCATCCAGATTCTGTATATTTTAGACAGAATTAAGATGTTGCACTTTAACCCATTATTCGATAACTATTTATTTCAAAAAGCAACTGTGGCTTGCATAACTGATCTCCAAGTACTTCAACAAGATAATTATGATAGCCGCTGAGCAATATACAGTGTTGTACAGCTATAGCCCTGATTAAGACTTGGTCTAAATTTAGACGTCTAGAAAACTTTCATTTTTAGACCTTTGGTAGCCTGATTTTAGACCGGTCGTCTAGGTTACTTTTAGACCTCTTTTAGACCAAAAAAGGCTCAGTGGGTACTGCCACCGAGCGGTTATCCAACCAAAGCTAATGAGTAAATATTTTGACCTGGTTTTCACCGTTAGCTCCTCTCAGGATAAAAAAGGAAAAAGACAAAGATAAGAGGAATTTATTGACCCCCAAAGGGAAATTCAATTATCTGTACAAAAAGAAAACTAGCGAATGACTCATGGCCCAGAACACAGCAGTACATTACGTTTTTGCTCCCCACCTTTATATTGACATTAGGGGAAGTTACCACTATGTGAGGATGATTAAAAACTTCCGTCTCCTCTAAATATTCCTGAATCCCCTTCAACCATGTGCTATGGAGGTTGACCCAATTTGAGGGACAAACAAAAAACTTTTTGTGCCGCAAATGTGAAAAATCTCTCTGAGGCAAACCCACACACACAGACACACACAGACGGACTCGCTCAAAAATGTGTGAACGCCCCAACTAAATCTGTGATAACCCTGTTACAACCTGCAGCTGTGAAATAAACTACATTTACTTTGAGAAGGTGTTACCTGCATTGACACCAAGAGCAGATTCTAGTGTTTTCCATCTTTACTGTATGAAATCTAGATAACGTACAATAAAAACTTCCTGAAGCAGTTTATTTGTGGTTTGACCTTTTGCAGCTTATTTTTCTGTCTTATTCCTAAAAATCCCAACTAATGAAGTTAAAATGCCAATTTATAGATTTTTCTGCTTGTCTTCTAGTTTGTTTGTCTAATTTTGCAATCATGTGCTAAAAAGCCACACAGAGAATAAAATGGGCCTGGGGCACTTTGAACTGAGGTTCGACATGAATCATGAGTGTAAGACACACAAAGGGCCAGTGTTTCCACACTTAACCTTTTTTTCTGGTGATTAATCAATGAACTAGCTTTTAAAGATCCAAAGATATTAGGATCTGTAGATCTACTGTTGAGGAATTATAAAGGATATATTTTTAGAGGAAAAAAACAACTGTAACTGTGGTTGTGTTTTGAGCTGCCATCCAACATTTTCACTCAGCATAGGAATAACACTGTTGAGAAGCAGATAGGCGCAGAATAATGTCTTATTCAAGACCATAACAAACATGTTATATAATTTAGAGGTGTGGATAATGTTGGGCATTAACAGTGTTGGGTCTGTTCTTCTGAGAGGAATTTAAAGTTGATCAAATCTGGGAAAAAGTGAAGCATCTGCGAAGATCCTGTTGGTCAGTGCTGGGAAATATGAGACTGTAAAATGCACCACAGACAGAATGGGTGTCTGCAAGGAAACTCCTGCCAAGTGAGAGCTGTTATCATCACAGCAGGTCACACTGGCCCAGACCAAGAAGTGTGAGAAAAGACTGTCATATGAAAGATATCGCATTAATGCAGTAGTCTGGCATCTTCTGAAAAGCACAATTACGCATTTGTGTTCCTTTTTTTATTTAATACTTCATGGTTTTTAATCTTTCAGCTCGGTGGTGTAAGGAAGATGGTCTGAGCAGTGCTGTGTTGTGTTTTTTTTTTTCCCGGTGATAACCGACTCATCACCTTGGCCAGCCTCCAGCCAATGCGGGACAGAAAGGAGTGGCAGGGATCCAGCGCTGCGCTGTATCTTTAAGCTCCACTCCAATCCAGCAAGGAGAGTCGCAGCCTACAGGATCATTGTGTTTGTGCGCTCATTACGATACAGGGACCTGGCGCTGTATTATTGAAGAGGAGGGGATCCGGTGGTTTTTCTCTCTGTGTGTGTTTGTGTTTTATTTGGCACAGGATGGTCATTCTCGCACTTGTAACGCATGGAGTAGAGTAACAGGCTTGAAAACCGCCCAATCATGAGATGCCACCGGGTTGCCTTTGCCATTTATTTCATTCTGCTGCCACTCACAGGTAAGAAAACTACTTAAACCCTAAGTTATTGAAATACTACTACAGTATTCTGGGTGATGATGTTTCTGTGCGTAAGGAAATTACTTTAAAGTGACCATGTTGTACCGCTGTAGCCTGTTTGAATGTGTTTACACTCTTTTACGCATGTGGAAAGTATTTCTAATCGAGTGTGAAGACTGATCACATTATAACTGTGAGATTGAAACATCGACCTCCCACATCTTTGCCATGTAGGTTCCGTCCAAAAACTGCTGTTTCATGTTCATTTGTCTGGTTGTTGTATTTTGTTTAGCCCTGACAAGTGTACTGTACAACACGTGTTTGCCTGCATCTGTTCATTTTTGTCACTCACGGACATATCATGGTCCTCATACTGACCCTGAAGTCTGAACACGTGGTGGACGTGTAGTTTTAAGTGTTGTTTAATGGTGAAGCCCCGTCAAGTTGTCAGCTGATCATATCAGAGCTCATTTGCATAACTGTAGGTGATGTCTTTGTGCTGGCTTTCCAGGAAGGCAACAGGTGTGCGTAAATGCGTTGGTGTGTGTGTCTGTTTCCACCACTATGAGGACTATTAATAATTTACGCAACCCCAATAAGAGGGATTAGGTTGTCCACCCTAGAAGACGCAGCAGCACACATCTTTTAACATCCACACACCCAGCAGCACCTTGACATCTGAACGGCTCTGACTGCCGCGTGATGAAAGCTCCGTGTTTAGTCATCCAACAGCCTCAGGTCCTGTGTTTGAACCGTTTGCTTACTCAAATAACACAGTTGCAACTGCAGAGCACAAATCCGAAAAGATAGCAGAAAAAAATACATCAGTTACAGCCAGCGTGTTAAAAAAAAAAGGAGAGCTCATTTGCATCCACATGCCTCTCCTCCCGGCTCTCTGTGGGCCCTGACAAGCCTAAAGGCACAACAGTCACATGAAAATCTTGTTCTTGAAACGGCTCCTTTCATGTGGAAATCTGCAAGTAAAAAAAAAAAAAAACTGCCAAAGAAAGAAAAGATAACTTGGAGGAGGGTGAAGAGACTAAAAAGATAAATCTTAGTTTAGTTTATGCATCTAAGGGGTATGGATCTGGAAGCCCTAATGTATGATTACTCAGCGAGTTGACGGCACAGAATTATTGATTGTTCAATTGAGCCATAGTGGTCTTATAGCACTTTGTCTTAGGGGGCTCAGTGCCAATCATAACATCTTATTTAACGATCATATAGGGGACTGTATTCTTCCTTTGGATTGTAATCTCTACCCTAAATCTTAAACAAACTGAGGATTGTAAAGACGGCTGAGTCAATCCTGTCTGACCCCACTCACCCTCTGTCAGAGACCTTAAAGCTGCTACCATACAGCCTGCCGAAATGCACCACAAATGGATTCACAAATTAAATGAATGACTGTCCAAAGTTTTCATTATCTTAAGTATTTTGTTTTCTTTTATTGTGCTTGATACTGGATGTACAACAAATTACCCCTTGAGGATAGTAAGGATGACCATGACCTCTTGACCTCTTACAAATTAAAGTGGTCTTTTGTTGCAGCTTTTAACATGCCAACTTGTATCCCGGTTGTGGTTAGGTGTTTGTGCGTGACATTGATAATATTTACTGTGAATGAAAACATCATATCCCAGTTTTTAACACTTCGATAAGCCTTTACCCAACATAAACCAGGCTGGTTGTTGTATTTTGGGTGGCAGTAGTTTAGGAGGTAGAGCAATTGGCCTATAACTGGAAGGTTGGTGGTTCGAACCTCATCCTATCCCTTGTCTGTCTGTTGTGTCCTTGGGCAAGACACTTAACCCACCTCGCTCCCAGTGTGTGTCCTCCACTGGTGTATGATTGTGAGTGTTGTATGGTGGTGGTTGGTGCAACCCTGCAGCTACGTTTCTGTCAGTCTGCCCCAGGGCAGCTTTGACTACTATGATAGTTTACGACCACCGAGGTGTGACTGTGTGAGCGAGTGAATGTTGTATCCAATGTAAAGCGCTTTGAGGTCACTGACAAAAAGCGCTGTAAAAATCTGATGCATTATCATTATTATTATTTGAAGCTGTCAAAATCCTATAAACAGGGATGTTAATAATCTTTTCTTTGATAATTGATGTCGGTAGCACGGACAGCAAAACCAGGAAAGGGGTCTACAGTAAGATCCTGCCAATCAATTCATGCCATCCCACTGAGCATTTTTGGTCTAAAAGAGGTCTAATAGACTTCTAATGTAGCCTAGAAGACTGGTCTAAAATCAGACTTCCACAGGTCTACAAATTAAAGTTTTTTTAGATGTCTAAATTTAGACCAAGTTTAGACCAAGTCTAAATCTGGGCTATATCTATACTACATTGTATATTGCTCAACGGCTATCATAAATATTTTGGTTAAGTACTTGGAGATCAGTTACGCAACTCACAGTTGCTTTTTAAAATAAATAGTTATTGAGTAATGGGTTAAAATGCAACATCTAAATTCCATCTAAAAATATACAGAATCTAGACGGTTAAAATTGGGTCTAAAAAAAAACTAGACATCTAAAAGCTGTCTATTGCTCAGTGGGATTTATTTTCTAGTTTGTAGTTTACTGAGAAGTACCTCACAATAGAACCATTCACAGACGACAGAAGTAATATTCAGATCCAGCATACATCAAACATACTGTATGTCCTCTTTTACAGTGTGGTGTGAGCCAGTCATCTCCCCCAGTGGGCCTCACATAGTAGTTCCCAAGAGAGGGAAGCTGGAGCTACGTTGCTATGACAATGCAACAACTGCCGGTGCCCCGTCCAACCTGAGGTGGCAGAGGGAGAGGGCTCGCCGGCTCGAGGGAGAGGTGGAGGAGGGCGGTGTGGCTTTTGTCAGGGTGCCAGCAGCTCAGGCCTACCACATGGGCCGCTACGTGTGTATCAACAACATCACGCTGGAGCACAGTTCCATTTATGTTTATGTGAAAGGTGAGTTTGAGGCATGAAACTAGTCGTACTTAATTGATTCCATCTATATAACTTCAAATCCCTCCCTTCATTCCTCCCCGCAGACCCTCAAAATGCCTTCAAGGGCACCATGGTGAATGTCATCCTGGTGCGAGCAGGTGAGAACTGCACCATACCCTGTCTTGTGACCGACCCTGAGGTCAATCTCTTGGGTTTGGAGACTTGTGATGGACGACCGTTGCCTTCTGATATGAGTTACCATAGCAACACGCAGCGAGGCATCATCATCAATAACGCCAAGAAGGAATATGAAGGCTGTTATGTCTGTGTGGGACAGCTGAGTGGTGTCAAAGTGACCTCAAGTCAATACACCGTGGATGTACGACTCGGTAAGTATGAGATATCACCGACAACAGTGATTTGTTCATGTTTTGAAAGGCCTGAGTATGGTGTAATGAGCTTTCACACCAATTTGCGTGTTCTATCATTTGTCATTTGAGTGATAGTAAAGTGTTAAAGGTGGGATAGAACTAAATCTGGTACACAGTTAGCTTGTGCTAGATGTGATGTGTCTATTACGGCTTTCTTTTGTGGTGTAAAAGCTGCTGATTTCTCCTCGCTCTTGGCGCTTTTGTGGGATAGCTGAAAAAAACTGCTTCTGCTCATTGCCTTAGGGAGAGATAAGGAAATATCCAGAAGCATGTATGTAGGTGAACAGTCAAGTAAACACAAAGTTAATGGCACTGTGAGAAGTTTTTAACTTGTGGAGAAACAGACTGAAACTGGTTCTGATGACTCTTAATGACCTTTAAAAACAAATGAGACCATAAGAAACAAGAATAATTATGCCATGTTTGGTTTCAGACCAGATGATTGACAGCAGGTTAAAAAAAAACAGCCTTTTTTACTGTTAAAAGTTGCTAATCAAAGAACTGCTATGGCTACAAATGGGCAGAGGAGACCAGACGGTGTCCTGACAGAGCCCAGGGTCACTGCGAAAAAAAGCCTCTCAGACGTATCCATACTGCAGATCTGTTTGGAGAAAAGAGGTCATCATATTTTGTTATATCTGCTTTATAAATAGTAAATGTTTGCTAAAAGCATTTGAAGTTTACGTCAGTGGAAAAGGATCGTATTTCTTTTTGTCCCTGCTGTGCATCAGCGTTTTCAGTCTTGTCTGCAGTGGAAAGACAGCTTAACAGAGACAGGCTGGGAGGAGCTGGGAGGTGTAATATCCTTCTAACTGATGGAGAGAGTGAGTGAGAAAAAAGAGACATAAGGGAGGGCTGAGCAGAGGGATTAGAGTCCTTCACTGAACAAAGCTTTTGTAACGGTGCATGAAGGCAGCATTTAGGGTAAATAGAATTACCACAGTCTTGGTCAAACACAGCCGCTAAAACTGACGTCAGCAGGCTCCTAGGAATCAACGGGTTCTTCCTCTGAGAGTGTCAGCTTTCGCAAATATAACCCTTGCGTGGATTACCATGTGAGCGGAAACATGCATAAGTGTGTGTGTTTGTTTTGAAAAAGGAACTTCTGCACATCAACAAATAGGAGTCACCTTGGAGGATATTTTAATGAACACCGTTTATACAGCCAAGATGTTTGTGTTTCTGTTGCAAACAGGGACATAAATCCAGAGTGATCAAAGATGTGAACCCTCTGTTGACCCCAAAAACCTTTGTTACTTTAGTTTAAAGGAAATCCAATGAGAGCAGAGGTAGAAAAGTCTCCTACCAGAGTGCTTATGTAAATGAACTAATCACATATACCACCTGGAATAATGTTGCCTTCAAATTTTCCAGTGCCAGAGGTGACTCCAGTCGTAACGCTGTCCCAGAAAGACACAGTCATCCTGAGGAAAGGAGAGCAGTTTGGGATTACATGCAGCTCCACCAACATCAACCCAGACTTCAATCTTAAATGGGATTTCCCTCCAGCAGCGGTGAGATTAATGTGTCATTGTTATTAATTACAAAACAAACATGCAAAAAAAAAAGAAAGTTTATGGCACAGTAAAATATTGAAGCAGGCTATATCAGAGCTTTATAACTCATGGGACTATCGAGGACTCTTGGTTTGGTTCCCTGTTATATTTTAGAGTATTCGAACAGCTTAATGATGTGAAGAGAAGTTCCCCAGGTTGTGTTTTACGAGGCGTGATACATCTTAAACAGTAAATCCTTGTTTTGCCTCTAATTTCCTGCAGCGTCCTGATGAATCACACACCTCACACATCCTGTCCAGCTCCCGTGGTTATCAACGCACCACCTCACTTTTGATCACAGCCGTCAGCCAGTTAGATTCAGGTTCCTACCGCTGCCACGCCAACAACGAGAGAGGCACCAGCACTGTAGGACTGCAGCTGGATGTCCGCGGTAAGTGTGAATGATAGGTTTATTGGTTTATCGGTATGTAAGAGGATGTGTTCTGTTCAATCAACTGAGAAATCAAACATTGAGATTCAATACACACTATCTGAGTCAGCGCTTTGCACATGTAGTCGAGTAACTGGTTTGGAAATGAGATCTCTTTGTTTCAGTTTGAGGTGTTTTATACAGGCGCTTTTTACCAAATTGGAAAAACTTGCTGTATTCAAGTGTTACCTAAATAAACAAGAATCAGGATTATTTATTTTTACTACTCACAAAGACATTTTTCAGTTCACGTACTGCTGTTTTTTATTTATTTACTTTTTATTTATTATTTATTTATTTATTTTACTTAATTTTTATTACATTTTTTAGCCACAACAAGACAGTGTATACACCTCAAAACAATCCATTTTTTTTCCTCTTTTCAGCTGTATGTGTATTTTTACAAACATCCACTGATAATGTAGGATTAAATCAAAGAGAATAATCATAGTAATCATTGCAAATAAACAATGTCCTCTCCAAAGTACAGATTTATAGACACAAATTCTAGTCAGAGGCAGGATGACAGTATTTGATACTTGGAAAGGAAGTACTTACACCATTAACATAAACTGTCATTATATTAATAAAGGTACCACAAGTTCCCATCTTTCAATAAAGGAGGCCCTCTGAAGCTCTAGTGAAGATGTGATCTGCTCCATTTGATAAACATCCCATACTTTTTGAATCCAGATTTTGAATGAGGAAGGTTCTGGTTTCAACCATCTGATGGTTATAGACTTCAAGGCTGCAGTCAATAATATGTTTAAGATGTATTTTTCTGACCTCTTGTCCAAACCTTCAGGCACTACCCCCAGTCTTGCAACCTTGAAGTCTTGTGGGATATTCGTTTTAAAAACCTCCTTCAGGGTGTTGAAAACCTCCATCCAACTGCTGATTTTAAAGATAAAAATTTGCATAATTTGCATTTTACACAACAGTTTAAGCCTCTGTCGCTGTAGTAATATGTGACTGGGAAAGGTGAACTTAAACTCACTTGCCTTGTTTCTATTGCCCTCCAGAGCAAGGCTTCATCACCATGATCGGACTCATGAGTCCAGTGCGTGCTGATGTGAAGGAGGGCGAGAGCCTGAGCCTCAGAGTAGAGTTCGATTCCTATCCAGCGCTGAGCTCTCTGTCCTGGTCGTATAACAACAAAAAGCTCCTAAACACGACCGAGCATGTCATCACAATCCACCGCCGCAAATACAGGTACGCTGAGTTCATAATATTTCAACTGCACATACACGTGTTTGTGCAGACAAAGGATTTCATATGCATGTTCATTTTTTTAGATACATCAGCGAACTTAGACTGGTGAGGGTACTCGGCTCAGAGGGCGGGATCTACAAGTTCTCAGCCAATCACAAGGATGCTGCTGTGGAACATTTCTTCCATGTGTATGTTAACAGTAAGTATCCACTACAATGTTTACATAGTTTTACAGATGACTGGCTAGATTTCATTTTTGTGCCATGCATGAGGACATACACGTCACAAGAAAGACTCACAAGAAACTAGATGTAGACACATGGTTACAAAAATGATATTTGAGAAATAAACTGTTTTAATGTTTGCAGGATGTTGTTTGCATAAAACTCGACAACAGTGAACATCAGTCTCTTCTTATTTCATAAGTTCATAAGTAACTTCGTCTTCTCCAGGTAAGCCAGTTATTGTTGCCCAGGAAGGGCCTGTGGATGGACAGGTGCGGTGCATCGCTGCAGGCTATCCGGTCCCTAAAATCAACTGGTACTTCTGTGAGCAGCCACATACAAGGTACTCTTAGAATGCACTGTAAATGATCATTTTAAATTTTATTTTTTAACTTTATAAGAAAGTAAACTATTGATAAACAGTGGAAAATACATCAAGCAATGATGTTTTATCATGAGCTTGATGGTAGCCTTTCAAACCCTCCTGTTTTATGCTGCTCTTCCTTCCACAGTACTCTCTTTATGTACAGAGAGGCTCATACAGTGACTTTTTCCATCAGTAAGATTGAACCAATTATCATGAACTTCTGACTCTTTGGTGAATGTTAAAGAGAAGTGACTGAACAGCAGTGTGTTTTTCTCACAATAATCTCAGACATGACTCACCCTCGGTTGTTTTGTCTGGCAGCTCCTCTGAGAGCAGGAGCTGTTTGTGGGAGCTGAAACAAAAAGTTTGTTAAAAGGATTATATCATCTCACGGTGCCATTTGCATTCAGACTAATGAGTCAAGTATCATCTTTCACTGTTGGTCGGGACATAAGACTTTTGAAAGTTTGATTAAACAAGCATTTGACTTTTGTGTTATGTGATCCTGTTGACCACTAAATGGTCTCAGATTAACAATTATGTTATAAAAATTTTTTAATATTGCGCAGCAATGAGAGATTCAGTTTTAATTTCTAGGTAACCAATCTTGATCATTTTTACATGAAAAAAATATTGTGATTCTGATTCAAGAAAATTAGAAAAACTGTGTAATTCTAGCACTTCTTAGCTTTTGTAGACAAGCCTGTCACTGGAATTTTTGGTCGTTTTTTTAATCTAGCTAGTAAACACCCACTGAGCATTTTTTGGTCTAAAAGAGGTTTAATAGACGTCTAAATGACGACGGGTCTAAAATCAGGCCACCACAGGTCTAAAAATTAAAGTTTTTTAGACCTCTAAATTTAGACCAAGTCTAAATCTGGGCTGTATCTATAGTATACTGTATACTGCTCAACGGCTATCATAATTATTTTGGTTCAGTACTTTAAATCAGTTATGCAACTTACATTTGCCTTTTTGAAATAAATAGTTATCGAATAATAGGTTAAAGTGCAACGTCTAAATTCTGTCTAAAAATATACAGAATCTAGACGGTTGAAATAAAGTCTAAAAAAAATCTAGATGTCTGACAGCGGTCTATTGCTCATTGGGCAGTGTTGATAGTTTAGGTTCGATATCATTATTAAAGTCATACTTAACTTGCAAAGAAAGTTAAATTGCTTTCAGTGCCTAAGTCTAGTTAGCAAAACACTGTAAACATAATTTTTATCCATATAATTATTTTGATTTAATAATTATTGACAGTGTCTGCCAGACAGATTAATTGATGATGCTTAAAAAAGTCTTAGAAATGCAACAGTACAACTTTTCAGGAGTTCTAGACAAGATAGGGAAAAGGTTAAAGTGTTATTTTAACTATAGTATTTAAGCACATGCAGAATGTTTAAAAATGGATTAGCAGTCAAATATGATCACACTGGAATTTGCAATTGCAAATCACTTAGACAATGGGGGATATTTAAGTGACAAATAGATGCAGATAATCTGAATTTTTGTTGGATGAAGACAAACTATAAAGAAGACATTTATGTTTCCAAACTTTGGTAAAAACTATGTACAATTATCAGGTCCTTTCAGCAAAGTTTATATGCTTTATCTCCTGAAATTTCACACAGTCTCCTCGTGGTTCAAATACAAATACTGAAAACTGCCCTTTGCAGATCTAAGAGAGGCTGATGTGACATTAGGGTACTTTGTACTCCCTAAACAGGTGCTCACAACTGCCCAATGCCACCCACTGGGAGACTTCAGAGGTTGCCACGGTGACGGAGTCAACCTTCGGCAGGAGTGAGGTGGAGAGTCGATTGAATGTGAGCAAGGAGCATACTCACTATCACACCCTGGAGTGTGTGGCGAGTGTGGACGGTGACGAGGCCTACACACTGTTCTCCATCAGTGGTACGACTTAACCTAATCTTATTTACAGTATACAGGGGCTTTTTTTGGTACACAGATATGATCCACTTTTCACAGACACAGACACAGTCACATGGACTTGAAGTCTGCAGAGGCCAGGTGCGAGATAACTGAGTACAGATTGAATGAGATTATTGACTGCTGAGTGTGCAGGCTGGGATTAGATGGTGTAGATTCACTAATCCTTGTCTCACAAACAAACACCACTGCTCCAGCTGTCTTCTGGAGGAGGAGTGTTCAAACTGTGTGTGTTTGAGTTTGCACCAGTGTAATTTTTTTTATACTGCAAATGCTAAACAGGATTTGTGAATACTCGTGTGTTTCCCCCTCAGAACGCCTCGTGCCCCACAAACTCTTCACTCCTCTTCTGACTGGCATGGTGGCCACTGGGGTCTTTCTAAGCCTCATTCTGGTGGTGCTGCTTTATAAATACATGCAGGTAATATTGCTAATACATCAGAAAATGCAAAAGAGAAATACAATTTAATCTGTGTAAAAGTATGGTCATAAATCACTCGTAAATCACATGAAGCAATAGCCATCAAAGCCATAAATTAGATTAAAAAACACTTTATCTACATCATCTGCATTCATTACGTCATTTGTAGCACAGAAGAATAAGCATGTTTATTTTGCACAAGGCTCACTATCCTTCACTAATGACTTATGCCTGATTATAGTCTCTGTTACTTGTTCTTCTTGGTGTGATTTTCAGCAGATAAGAGAGGAAGTATCTCTTTTTAACCAGTGTGAAAGTATCCGAATGAATTTAAATCAAATAAACCATCTATTCAGGATGCTCTCATTATAGTCAGAGGTTTTTGGAAACTCTGATCATGCTACGGGCCATTAACATACCCCCTCACTATGCTGCTTTTATTGCACTCACATTAGTCAGACTCCTTTAGGACTACTTTATGAATTCACAGTGGATGAAAGTCTAGACTAATATCTCTGTGCATAAAAAATAACAGAAAGCTTAACAATTATTTTTTATCCTCTTTGTTTTTCTTTCCAAACTTTGACAGAAACCAAAGTTCCAAATCCAGTGGAAGGTGATTGACAGTATCCATGGTAACAACTACATCTATATCGACCCTACACAGCTGCCGTACGACTCAAAATGGGAGTTTCCTCGACAGAAACTACGGTTTGGTATGACAGCCTTTACAAGTGTGTGTATTTATATATGTGGATTTGCCGCAATTAGCTTCTTTGCATTTTAAGGTGGAACATTGTCTTTTGTTGGGATTATAAATGATGACTTTGGACAAACATCTTCTTTTTGAGTTGTTAGAGAATTTAGCTCAACTGATTTAGACGTTGCCACTTCATTTTTACCCCTTGATAGAGGACAAGGTGATGTTATGTCCCCACCAAGGGGAAACCAGGACATAACATGATGTACGACTCCCAAGAAAACCAGCAAAATAGTTTAGAGTAAAAAAGCAGATTTAATGATCCTCATGGGTGAGTGAGTGCCAAAACAACAAAGAAAAGCTCTCTAAATAAACTCTAAACTTACCTATCCAAAAACATCTTTTCATTCTAATGACAAATACCTTACCCGAGCTGCTAATGTATAAACAGTAGAGAGATCAGGACGAAACAAAAAGCTACTCTGCTGCTTCTCAATGTTCTGTATTTACAATGAATCATTTTTCAATCGTCACTTTATTTACAAGCTAACATTAACATTTGAAATGCTTGTGTGTGGGTGTGTTTCCTTAAAGGTAAAACTCTGGGTTCTGGTGCTTTTGGAAAAGTTGTGAGGGCCACAGCATATGGACTCTGCTCTGCAGACACTGTTACAACTGTTGCTGTCAAGATGCTCAAACGTAAGTGAGTGTGTGTTTTTGTGTGAGTGTTGGTCTGTTTCACATTTTCTCATTTTCTGTGGCTGTCTTTAAAACCCCCTCTATAATTGATGATTGGTCTTCCCGGTGGAATTTCAGGATTTGTTTTAGTTTGAATACCTCCCAAAAGACCACTTACCTGTATCCTCTTGTTTTCTAACCTAAATCAGACATGCAGACGTTATGAGCTGAAATGAAAGCGATTTGCAGAGTTCTTTCACTGCAGATTTTCCCTCTGAGGCATTATAAACCTCCCAAGGGGTCCTCTGTGTGCAGCTAAAACAGCCTAAGTTAATACTTTGGCAGAAAAGAAAGAGAAGGAAGAAAGTTCCCAGAGCTCTTTTCTATTGAATGAGTAAAAAAATGTTTATTTATGCTTCTGGCCAAAACAGCTTTAAAACAGGTAAGCAATCATTGCAAGGTAAATTTATGACAGTCACCTATGTAGAAAACTTCCATTAATTAACAACCTATGTCCTAATTGTCATAATTTTCATAATTGTCAACAACTTATCAATTAACAACCTACATAAATATGAAAACAGCAATATTAATGCCGCCTGTTTCAATGTTTATGCTGTTAGAGGCACTTGAGCTAAAAGAACACAAACCTAGTGCCCTTTATTGTAAACAAGATGTGATAGTAGACGCTGCTGTACTGTCTATAAATACTGTAAGAGTGCATAAATGTCTGATGATGTCATTTTAGCCAACGCTCATTCGACGGAGAAGGAAGCGCTGATGTCAGAGCTAAAGGTTCTCAGTTACCTTGGAAACCACGTGAACATTGTTAACCTGCTCGGGGCCTGCACTGTTGGAGGTAAGAGAGACGGTTTTACCATGGATACCAAACTTAGTTCCTGAGGCGGTCATGTCTGCTTCTTGCTTTTGCACATGTTTATTACATATGTATCGACTGACTCGTGTTACAGTTATGACTTGCAGAGGTCCGGCAGACATGTTGATTCGCTGACGTGCTGTCGATATTTCTCTCTGATTAAAAATCCAATGTTAGGACGTGCTGCAGTTTGACTGGTCGCAAATCTACACAGCAGTCAATCAATATTATCTACCTGTCTAGCCCTCAACATTGATTATGCTGCAGCATTTACATTAGGTGTCCACTCAAGTATAAAAAGCAGGTTTTTAAAGAAGAAATACTAAATACTTATTGTTTTTCTTGTAGGTGCCGAGAATAAGAATGAGCAAATTTTATTACATTAAAGCAAATTGAAGAACTTGTTCAGTATCAGCGTAAGCTCTTTAAATAACACACTCAAATTTGTGCGTCTAATGAAACGTATTGCTTTTCTTTCACTGACGGCACATCGCTAAATCAAATACTCTTTGGGCTTATTATGAAGGCTCTGTGTTTCTGTCCTCTTTCATTGTAATTTGCTGTCATGTGGTTTGAAAAACACTGAGCGCTGAGATTTCTTTTACATGTCTGGATCCTGCCAGGCCCAATTTTGGTGATCACTGAATACTGTTGCTATGGCGACCTCCTTAACTTCCTGCGAAGGAAAAGAGAGTCCTTCCTCAACTCCCAGGTTGGCGATGGTTACTATCGCAACGTCTTGAACCAAGCAGAGCCTTCGAGGTATGTTGGAACGAGTGTTTGATCAAATATTGACAGCAAATGCAAAATGCTTTTCGACATCTGACGCTTAGATGTGTTTGTGTCTTTGTGTGTGTGTGATCATGCAGCAGAGATTTGACTGGCACGGGATATATGACCATGCGGCCTTCTGAGAAAGAAAGGTGCACCCAGTCAGGTAGAAAGTCTCACTTTACATCTCAGAAACACACTGAGGGTTCACTAAGAATGGATTGCAGACACTGACTGCACCAAGAATTGTGCATCACTTGCCCTGTAATCTGCTCTGTCTCAATGTCTAATTCACAAAGCAGACTGTGCTTGAAGGTTTCAGGATGACAAAGCTCAGAAATACTCCAGCACAATTACCACTAACTCCCGGCAGACAATGAACATTTCACTGTTAATGCGCCCGGCTGTAGCCCCAGTGTTTCAGAAGCAGATGTTATTTGCAAGAATTCTCTTTGACAGAGAAAGGGGTTTATTTTTCTCCAAACTAATGATGATGGCTCATTTAAATGCATGCAAATAAAACTGGAGGACACATAAATGACATGAATGCTATTTGCACAGTAATGCAGTTTGTGGAGCATTTTACCCTTTGCACAAGCTTTGTATATCAAATAATGTCCTTTTTAGGCGCATTTGCATAGATTTCGCAGGAGCAATCCTTTTGTGGATCAAGCTCTGAGTGCCTTTTACACTGAATATTTACAAATCCTACCCCCTCTTGTACAAAAGTAAAGCCAAAATACACTTGCAGCATATTATGTGAAGATGTTTTTGAAGCCTGAGGCAGCACAGTTGGAATTAGCTGGTAATACTGTGGTTTTGATCCCTGAGTACTCCACCAGTATCATCTGCAGTTGAACAGTTTTATTTGTTTGAAGCAGACACTCACAGTCAGGGAAAGTTTGATGACATTTGAATTAACTCATGCCATTGGACAATTTTTCTAACATAGCAGTCAATCACTATAACTATAAATCTAATTGCAGCTAAACTCAAAGAAAAAACTATAAACATCAAGATTTGAAAGATAGCTGTGTGCGGCTAACGTTAGCAGAGCCAGTACCACCAACCCTCAGTCCACCCTGCAGGTTAAAATCTACTTGTTTGTGCTAGTTATGCATCGCACTGGTTGAGTGATTGCATGCCAGTTGAACAAGACACAGCTTACCGAGAACTTTTGATCGAAATGTCACAAAATCATACTGCATTTCAAGATGCGATCTGTCATCTGTGTTTGTTTACATTCTAGTAGTAAAGCATTACGACATATTGGCAGTAGCTGTTAAATGGAGCAACAGCCCTAGATTGTGAGATTTGCTGTAGCTTTAGCTTTGACACAATATTCAACAGGGCCTTCAAAAGTGAAAATGTTAATTACAGAACTGGACTGAGGTTTTGGTGCCTCTTAGCAACAGCGGCAATGTTAATACTTCAGTCAAATATTTGCACACCTTTTAACTTCAGTTTTCAGGGAGGTCATTCATGCTGTCATTTTCATTCACCTGAGCTGACTTAGCAATCATGTTTCAGATGACATAGACGAGCTGTCTTTGGATGCCGAAGATCTCCTCAGCTTCTCCTACCAGGTGGCCAAAGGGATGGAGTACATCACTTCCAAGAACGTAAGGCTTTTACAGACTGTGGGGCTTTATTCAGAGAGGAGTTACAGCTGAGATTTAAAGACACCCTGCTAGTTGATAAATCATGTTATGGCTCTGAGCCAACATGTGCTGCATAGCTGTCTGCTGATAAGGCCATTACTATCAGAGCCATGCTCAATGAAGCTGCTTCTACATAAGATCCTATATTTCATAGGCATTAAACCAGCTCCCTTAGGATATTAAGTATTTTTTTTTCTGGTCAAGTTTCTCTGGCTGCTGTTTTATCTATTAGTTTCCCCCTAATGACGAGGAAATGTGCCTTTATGTCTTTTGTAAATCACCTCTAATTTGCCTTTTGTGTTTGGTTTGTAATAACACTGCTCTGGCCTTGTTTGAGTGTATACTGTGAGTCAGCCTCTCACTGCGGTAAGCAGTTACAAAGTCAGGACTCATTTCCGTGTTTGTGTTTGTGTATGTGTGTGTGTGTGTGTGTGTGTAGTGCATCCACAGGGATCTTGCAGCCAGAAACATTCTGCTGACTCACGGCCGGGTGGCTAAGATCTGTGACTTTGGGTTGGCTCGAGATATCACCACTGATGCCAGCTACGTGCTCAGAGGCAATGTGAGTGTTTGTCCCCTATTTTCTCTCCCCTCCCTTCTGCGGCTGATATAATTGATGAATCTATCAAACTCATTTAATCTATAGAATAACTGGAAAAGGGAAAATTGGATTACCTAAAGCACAAGATGATGTTATACTGTATATTTGTTTCCATCGATACGTTACAGGTAAAAAATAAAGATGTCTACATTTATTTAAGACAAAATAAAACTCATGTTTTTATTTTAAATTAAAAAATCCCATATTCAACAAATAGAAAGATGTGACTGAATGAGCATTGAATGAGTCTGTCTCACTTACAACTGGTCGTTTGTATTTTCTTAAGAATGAAGCCGTGAGTGTTGCTCTCCCTCTTTCAGGCTCGTCTGCCCGTCAAATGGATGTCTCCTGAGAGTATCTTTGACTGTGTCTACACTTATGAAAGTGACGTATGGTCTTACGGCATCCTGCTCTGGGAAATCTTCTCTCTGGGTAACATTTCCAACTAATCCTCTTCTGTTGCATCCGTTTCATAGTGTCTGAGCCATTATTATCATCTAATAGAGACTAAAGCCTCATCAGAGCCATAAAATGCAGCCCAAGAAACCAGCATTACCGTTGAGTCTGTGGTTTCATGACATTAGGTTACTGTGTGTTAACTCTGTATGTCTATATTGCAGGTAACAGCCCATACCCAGGGATGCAGGTGGGCTCAGCATTTTATCGGATGATTCAGGAAGGTCATAGGATGAACAGGCCAGAGTTTGCTCCTGTTGAGATGTAAGTGTATATCTTTGAGAGGATCATTTCAGTACAAGAACCAGGACTGGCAACTACCTGGTTTACCCAATGTCTCTCTCACTGTGAGGGTAAATTCAATATGACCTATTTTATGGGTCAATCAGGCCAAAGTAAGTCGAGTCTTTTTAGTGTTAGATTCTGCTATATGTGCTGGACATACACAGGAATTAAAAAGAACGTTTCTGTACAGCCTACGAGGCAAATAGTATAACAGAATATATTCTGATTCAATAGAAAGGAGCAAAATATAATAGAAAAAAGTAATATACAAATACATCAACATACATGTGTATCTTGTGTGTCTATGTACTCTGCAACAGACACACATACACATGCACACCTACAATTAATGTATTGCATGGATGTAAACTGTAAGCATTACTGTATACAGTCGTTGAGCTGTGGTAAAAAAAATTTATGTGGTGCATTAATACAGAACCAGGTAACTCTTTAACAGCAGCAGAGTACACTATTAATGTAGGTCACCATAGGTCATGTTCAATATTTTAGGCTGCATAGCATGTGCAACGTCTCATCAACCTTTCAGGTAATTGTACAAAGTTGCAGCCTGAATTGCAAACCAACAGCTGCAATAAATTGGGATATGGACTTGGGATAAAACAACAAAGATTAAAAATATTTACTCTCTTTTTTACATTTTTTCCTTCCCTGAATCCATACTCAGTAAATACTATCACATTTTGCCACTTTAGATCTAACCTCTGGTCTCACCTTTGTAGGTATGACATGATGTTGTCATGTTGGAACCATGATCCTCTGAAGAGGCCTTCCTTCAGGAAGCTGGTTGAAAGGACGGAGCTGCTGCTGTCGGAAAATACAAAAAATGTGAGTAGATGAAGACATGAAATTAATGACATTCATTTTCTTCATTTTTAAGGGTTATTTGGCCATTTTGTCTTGAGTAGAAAATGACTGAGTACAGAGAAAGCAAGAATGAAGTAATATGCAACTTACAGTCTTTAAGTCGAGGTGGAAAAAGATTCTTTGATAACTTTTAGGTTACTGTGATGTCCCAACTAACATTATGATTACAAGTTTTTCATTCTTGTGTGATACAAAGGCGCTCAATTGACCTATCAAGTTAACTCGTCATGTTCAGGTCACCACAAACTGACAACAGTAGTATAGTGTTGTATAGCTCAGGAGCCGTGTTCGTCAGGTTTGAGGGCAAAGCCATAACTTATGACAATGAGGGTTATGTCTCAGAATTGGAAAAAGTAACACTATTAAATCCTTTTTAATTTACACCTTTTATTATTCCTCAGGTGTACCTGACCCTGAGCAACAACACAGGCCACCCAGAGCAGCAGAGGGCGCCATCACGAAGGCTGAGCTCAGTCTGCAGCACGACAGCACCAAACCAGCCTTTACTGCAAAATAGTACTGATGTCTTCCAAGATTATGTTTGATCTGTGTTCACACACACACACACACACACACACACACACACACACACACACACACACACACACACACACACACTGACAACATACACTTCTGTGAATCACACAACTTCCCCTACCTCCCTGGTCATTTTCATATTTCAAAGTACAAGAGCCAAACTACTCTACATCAACCAGTAACAACATCTTCACTCTTATTAACAGATATTGGCCTATGTGCATCTCTCCCATACACACAACTATATATACACACATGCACACACGCACATAAATACTGTATATAAAGGACTGTTGTCTGGGCTTCAGTACTGGCCTCTCTCTAATCTCCCCAAGTATTGATTTCTGGGGTAGGTATTTTAGGTGCATGTCTTATACAGCAGACTCCAGCACTAACCAGCCATCAGATATATCTGCACTCATCAGTAGCAGGAGGAAGACAGGCTCACACTCCGCCTCTTTAAATGCTTTGGGGGGAAAAACAGAGTGTCACTACGCCAAAATCCCTGACCGAGGGTCGAGGGGTTTTGTGAGTTGGAATTGTAATGATAGACTGTTAATTAATTTTTGGTTATTTTTATTTTTGTTTTTGGACTTTTTTCTGTCAGATTTTTTTTTCTGATGGAGGTATTTATTTTGTTTTACTTTCTGAAAAACTGTTTTCCTTTCTAAATTCATTTGAGACCACCTGTACAGTCTCTGCATTAGGTACAGAGGATGAAGCCGACCGCTTTTTTGGTTCATTAAAATCTGGAAACATGGGAAAAAGCTAGCTTGTCTCAGATGATCTTTCAAACACTGATCACCCAGTAACTTCTTTAAACAGAACTTATTTCCCTGACTGCTGCAAAATAGTCTCTCGAGAGTCAAACGACAGCTGGCCCTGTACGTGATGTTGAATAAGCAGGATTCATTTGTTCCGTTTTCAAAACATGCAAAAAAAGTTTTACACTCGGCATTTGTAAAGCAAAATGCAGTCAAAAAATCCAGAACTATTAGGGTCCATTGAAAAAACAGTTTTATTGTGAAGGCCAAATGAATCGATTGTGGTTTCTCATTTATAGTAATTGAGGGTGTATCACAAAAAGTTACATTCCCAGCATGTCCAACTGTTACTTTTTAAATCTTATTTAACTAACACAATTAACACATGCTGATTGTTTTTCTTTAGACTATCCTAAAACCATTTTTAGGGCCTTAAAAACAAACTTTCTTGTAAGATGCCTGGAGTCTGTTTTTAGGTATGGTATATCAAACGAACCGCTGAAAGATGGTAAGCAAGCTGTAACTCGTAACGGAAACTAAAGCTATAAGTTGTGGAGATTCTGATTTCCCGACTGTATTTAGTAGCTTTTAAATACTGTGACTCACAGAGATTGGTGTAATGCTACAGAAATTTTAAGGTTAGCTGTAGTCTCTTTTGTGAAGCGTTTAGAAACTACTTCTGTGCTTTTTCCACTTGATTTATGTCAAACAATGTATGCAATGTAAATATAATAGAGATGTGCCTTTAGATTTTTTTTCATATGACTGTACAAATTTGTTTGTGACACAATTAACGTGTAGAGGGCAACCAAGAGAACGCCTCAGTATGCTGGTTTTAAGGGTCACACAGTTTTGATACATATGGTTGAATTGTAATAATAAAGAATGTACCTGTGATGGAAGATAGAGTTGGGTTATGGTCATTTTTTTTACTTTTGTTTAACACACCTTATCAATCAATCAATCATTTTATGAATATAGAGCCAAATCACAGCAAAGTTTACCTTTTAATACATAATTTAAAAAGCAGGTCAGTTGCAGATCCAACTTAATTCACCATGAGCAGGCACATGGTAGCACTGGCAGGAGAAAAATCCACTCGAAAAAGAGCTGGACTCATAGGTAGAGAGCCATCTGCTGTGACCTGCTGAGAAAAACAGAATGAAAGGGGAAATGAAAAGACCAAGATTGAAAGGCAAAAGATAGATAGACACCTGAGAAGAAACCAATATCAATGCAAATACTAGAAATAGAAAAATACAGTTTATATCATTGGTAAGAACTACAAAGTGTGCATATACTGTGACACTGTTCACTTACATGTAGCCCTGTATCATTGCCAGCTGGTTCTGGGTTTGAATTCCAGTGGGGGGCTCCCTGTAGAAGGTTGTAGCTTGCAGTCACTGTAAACTCAGGTTTTAATATCACCTCAATGTCAGTTACTATGCCACTATAATATCAGGTTCTGAAGTCATCCCAACATCAGGTTGTTATGCCAAATACATGCAAGGTTATAACATCACCCAGATGACAAGCCTTTATATCACACCTACAGGTAATGACGCAGCCAAAAATGTCAGGTTGTCACATCATTCCAACATCAGGTTTAGGAGCCAAGCCTACATTTGGCCATGACACTATACCAACATCAGGTTTGAACACCAAATAAAGGTTGGGCTATGACATCAAACCAGCTTCAGGTCATCTCATCACTCAAAAATCATGAGTTATGACAATATCCAAAGTTCAGATTTTGACTTTATATAATGTAACCTATAAATCAGCTTATACAGTTGCACCAGAATCACATGTCAACATAATACCAGGTGGTGATGAAACACCGTCGTCAGGCTTTGACAATATCGTAACGACATTAGCCCAGTCACAGCTTCTGACATCCCGCCAATGACAGGTTTCTGATGTCAACTCAAAGCAATGACATGTTGCAACATTACCCTGACAAACCTATGTTATAAGGTCTTGGTGTCAATACATCGGTTCATGATGTAAACAAATGACAGGTTATGGTGCCACACCAATGTCAGGGTTTGGTGTCAAGTTATGATAACATACCACATCAGGATTTTACATCCCCCCACTGCCATGTTACCAAACCAACATGACGCCAATCCAATGTGGGGTCATGACATCACTCATACAGGGCAAGTTTTGAATTCACACCATTAGCCAGGTCAGGATTCAGGAAATATCACTCAAATCACAAAATAGTGATATTTTGATGTCCTGTGATACTAGATCTAGTTTCAACACTGTAGGCCCAAGCTCCAGACTAGTTCTCTTCACACCTTACTTACAGGAGTTCAGTGGCCTTGGCTGGTGAATTTGTGCTCGACCTATCTGCTTCACTGTGTGGTGTACCACAGGGCTCAGTCCCGGTGCCCCTCTCTCTAAATCAGGGGTGAATTAAAACAGATTATCTTCAGAGCCACAGTACTTTAACAGCTGTCAACAACACATAAAAACAAAATTACAGCAGACGTGTGTCACATATATAATATTTGCAACTGTTTTATTTTCAAATTGACCAAGAGGGTAAAGGGGGGTTATAATAATAGCAACCATTTTGCTTCAAAATATTGATTATTATTACATTTGACTTTGGGGTAGATAAAGGAGCACAGTTCAAGAGCAGAAGGGATATACATACATACAGTACAGGTAAGCATAGCACCATTTTACAATGAATACTGGTGTTTTTAGCTTTGTGTATGTGTACAGTATTATACTAGAACTAGAACTTTTTAGAACCAAACTGTGTAGTGGAAGGGTGATCTGTGTATCTCAATGAAAGGAGTAGGGGGCCCCGCTCTCTCGTCTATGGAGACCAATTTTAGATATCCTGCACTGCACCCTTAAACTGCTTTTTTAACTTTTCCAACTTTGTTTTCAGAAAACTGTTGCAAAATTGCAATGAGAAAGTCTGTCATGATGAAACATTCAGAGGTTCTTTTACAATGCCAAGCCTGCAAACAAGATTGTAATCCAGATTCTATAGGTGGGTTCTTAAAGAGAGGAACATGATTTTCTTTTACACCCCTTTTTTTCCTTCATCACAAAGCCTGTCAAAGATTCTCCAGAGTCAAGTTACAACATCCATTAGTCTCTTTAAAACACCTTTACATTCTTTGGGCTGGGTATCAGGGACTCAAACTATAACATGTCATAATTACCCTTCAGAGTGATGCCGTAAACACACACTAATCTATGGAAGGTCTACTTTTGTAATGTGATGGATGTAGACCTGGCCCAAATAGTACACCCCTCTATGTAAAGTACAACTTGGATTCCTAATGGAATGGACAAAGTCACAAAGACAGTTCGTCTCTGCTCAGTCTCACATACTGCCAGCCAAACGAAGAACTTTCAGAGAGGGTTACTATTGGGGCTGGTCTGATGTGTTGTTGATGTGATAAGTGTTAGTTGTGCAGTCTGCCAACAAAAACTGCCCATATTCTTTAAACCAATGCTCTGCATTGCCTAACATAGATTCTTTTCCAGTCATACATCTGTTTCCATAAGAAAATATACTGGGTTACAGTGACGGTTAACATGCATACAAACTGTCTTTCACACACACACACAAATATGTATTCAAGTTGAGCTGTCCCACACGCAGGCTTGCAGAATATCAAGCCCAACTGGAGAGGAAGTTTCTTGAATATTACAATTATTTCTTTATACTGCAACGCAAGAACTGATTGGCTATCGCCAGGGGAAAACAGTATTGACCCCCAAGTGATCTAAGAAGTAGGAGACGCTAAAATCGCACACACACACCCAAGCACACAGTGTTAACTATACTCTGAGACGAAACAACACATTCTAAAAGCTCCTTTGCCAAACAATATACTTTCTTCAATCCAAGGCTTCTCTGTTTGATATGGCTTTCTACTGTAGACGAGGGGCTGTGCCCATTTCCATCTTGGTCTCAAATGGCCCTGGGTACAGCCCTGGTTTAAACTGCTGTTAGAGAACTGAGAGATGAGGGAAATTGAACTGCATGAGAGTTTCTGAGGCCTAGGAATAGACAGAAGGAAAAACATTGATGCTGCAAAGATTGTGAGGCAGTAAAAATGCTGGTAGTATGAGCGCTTTAAATCTTGGTGATTCTCTAGATTTCTACTCCGTCATATCAAAACAAACTTCTCAGAATGTCTGAACTCCACTTAGAGACTTTTCCCCCACATACAGTTTTGAGAAGGCTTTAAGAAATCTGGGTCAAATTTGATTTGATCAGCACACCCTTTACGTCATGTCTTCCTCTGGTTTCTGCAGCATCACTGTTTAATCCTTCCTGGTCTAGTTCCAGACTGAGGCAGAAGCAAATAACCTTCCACATTCCTGAGAATACAAGTACCATCCAGCAACTTCAAACCCTTACTAAGTCAATTACTGTAAGACACAAGGGGCAACAAGCACACCCACTCGTACGTACATACACACACACCAACTGCAGACACCCTCATGCCCATTCATGCACACAGATTGTATTCCCAAAAACACACTATCTCACGGAATCACACCACAGATTACAAACAACTAGGTTTTGACAGTGATTTACTGTACACAACCACATCAAGTGCTAAAGTTTCAGGAGGTTGAGGATATACTGCTTGTTACGTATAGGGCTCTCTGACTGTTAAAAAATAATCCCTACTATATACACACGCATGAACTTTATTAGGGGTTATATCTTGTTTGAAAATATATTTACGCCTTTGAATCTGCTTGAAATAAAAACAACATAATCGACTATGTTATTGGCACTTAGAATCACTTGACCCGTTATACGTACAGTGATCGTCCCATGAATAATTCAGTCTAACTGTAATGTCGTTTCTTGCCAAACAATGTTTCTTACAAAGTTAAAAACAGCCATTTTTGTCTCATAGACACAGTGTTTAAAAACACAACTTCCTCAAAAAAAAAAAAAAAAAGACCCAAGCCCAACCATTTTTTTGAAACAAGCTGACTGAAGTTTAAAGCCTTAATCCGGACATTTTTTTTTAGAGAAGAGGGGAAGGAGGAGGGATCTGAGTGAGCACTTCACAGCTCCATCTTTGACCAGAAAACACTTGAACAAAGTAAAAATTCAAATTTCAAAAGCGACCAATAAAAGCTTACACAGTTATTCTTTCCATGCAGTCATATAAAATACTACATTTCTGTTTCCTGTTAGGCTATATCGGATATTTACATGTTTTTTTTTTATCATACAGGTAATCTGTACAAGGTCAGTCCACTTTGACACACCTTAAAAAAAGAGTCTGCCGTTACCATGGCAATAAGGTGTTCTTGTCAGGTTTCCACAGAGACTGGAGCTCCCTTACAGTTCTGCCTCTGGTGATTTTAAAATCCTGTTGCCATGGTGACAATCCTTAGTGAGTTCCTTGAAGACTCACATGCTTTTTCCTCTTTCCTATGATTCACTTCTTTTAGACTGAGGAAAGGGAGGGCAGCAATTTGAGGAAAAGGAAATTTGTTGACAGCCACACCACCAAAACCCTTGTATGCAGCGATTCCTCCCCATTTATTCTGTTTTCATGTTCTCCTCCAGATTTCACTGTGGCTGGCTGCTGACACTGTCAGTCCTGTGCGATGATGGAGCTTTCTGCTGTTTCTGGGGTTGTGGTTTCAGCTGCTGCTGGTGCCTCTGATGGTGAGTTTGTTGCTGTTGTTGTTGCTGCTGTTGTCGCTGTTGCTGCTGCTGCTGTTGTTGTTGTTGTTGTTGTTGCTGTGGTTGCTGTTGGTGAGTTGCTTGGGTGAAGGTGCCCTGTTGCTGGAGTGGAAAAGCTGCCTGCAGAATCAGCTGGGTAGACTGATTACTATGGAGAATACGCGGACCCTAACAGAAAAACAAGAATGTTGAAAAATGAAGCAAAGAGACAACACATTTCCAGCTTCTCACAGTCTTCCAGTGGAATAATACTAATACAACTACTTCTACCACTACTGCTTATAATAATAATCATAATAAAAATATAAAAAGTAATGAAAAATCTACTCCATCAACTCTTGATAAAGACTCTTTTCACCCCCCAAGAAGAATTGCACGCCCTGACATTTGTTAGGTGGTCCTTTGAAATATATAACTTTGCTGCCCTCTACTGGTACCTGTAGAAATTGCTGTTGCTGCTGCCCCTGCTGGCTGCTCTGTGCCACTACAGCTGTCTGGTTCTGGCCATCAGGTTGACCTTGTTGAGGTTGAGCTGGCTGGAGAGTCAGGGTTTGGGTTTGTCCTCCCTGCTGAATTTCCACAAAAATAGACAGAAAACAACACAAGGATGTTGTCATACAGATGGACTTGTGAGAAGGTGTGATCGAAGAAAATGCTCTTTTGTCATCAGAAACATGGAAAGTATAGAATATAACCAAATTTGTAGTTCAATTGGACTAGACAGCTGTCTTCTGACTTCAAACCAAATCACTACCTAAAAAATTTTAAGGCTTAATCTCAGCTTTTGGATCTCAAAAGAGACGGGATGTTATTAGTTGAATGTCTTTGGCAAAAATCAGGTCAAACACAAAAACCATATTTTTCAAAAACTTGTTTCTAAAGGGTTTTCTTTACTAACAAGTCAATTTCCCCCTCATTTCAGTGCTTTTTATTCCATTGTATTACACAAACTCACACAATGGTAACACTTTGTCAGCACTGACCAGCTGGGTGTCTCACACATGGTCCCTTGGACTCTATTATATTTGTGCTTTTATTCCAATCGTGTACACATTGCCATTAACTGCTCAATGACTTATATGGCTTTGTCCTTACTTGTTGCCCACCAAAGGGGTTGTACGCAGTGACCATCTGTCCCATGAACATGGAAGTGGGTACCATGACTGCTCCACATGCCATTGGAGCTGTCACAAGCTTGGTCACCAGCTGTTGTCCTGCTGGGAACCTGGAGGGTAGAAAATGAAAAATGAAATGATGAGGAAAATGAAAATATGAATCAAATTCTACTGTTTGATTTTGGATAAGGAGCTTGATTTCTCTCATTTTCAGGTGTGGTTGTTGTCCACATACCGGATCTGTCGGTCCTGTGTGAAGGTGGCCACAGCTGTGCCTTGCTGTGTGTTGTTCTGCGGCAAGCTGGTGCTGATCTGCACCACATTCGGCTGTCCTGGTCCGATCACCATGGCGTTGTACAGAGGAGCAGATACGGAGCCCTGCGTTTGGGGCTGGGCCTGCTGGGGTTGCTGGGGCTGACGCTGGGGCTGAGAAGGGGTTAAAAGGAAGGCAGGGAGATATATGAGGTTCAATACTCCTTAACAGTGAACTGACACAAGTTTTATCCTTGTTTTCTTTGGTTCCCACATTCCTATTGATGACAAGCATTTATATGGTCATAAATAAATTTTAAAAAAAAACTTACATATATATATATATAACTTTTCAGTCCCAGCATTTTTATTACACTGGGTTGGGCTCCACTGAATCCACTTCACGACTTTAACATCTATTAAAACAACTAAAGCACTCTTGGGTTCTACTGTCTTTCTTATGATACATGAAACACTGATGTATATGAGCTGGCTTGCTTCCATGGCTGTTATGATTAGATTTCACAAAGTTAACATTGAAAGATAACAATATTTGACTGTAAAGCAGAATGAGGGGTGTGTTTGTCTGCAGTAAATGTGATGGTTTGTTTGTTTTATAGCCTCTGTGCTGTCAATGCATGAACTTTGTGAAGCTTGTCACATGAGCACACACAAAAAATATGCCCTTTGGCTCTTCCTGTCATCTGAAGGGGATGTTAACATTACAACTTTAAAGAGCAGTTATGTGTTTGTTTCAAAGTATGTCGAAAGTTCACTCAAAACTAATGTAATTTAAAAAAATGTATTTTTAGAGGACCAAGAATATTGATGATATATAATTATTGGACCTCTTACTTCAAAAATATTTGCACTAGTTTTGGTCTGATACCCTGTGTGTGTGTCTCACCTGTGTGAGGGTGTTGGTCTGCTGCTGTAGGTTCTGCTGAGGGGGCGGAGCCTGCTGCTGAATGGAGAGCTGCTGAGTTCCTGCATGGACGGGGTTAATAGTTGTCTGCTGAACCTGATTGGTCAAAGTCGTTGTTTGTTGGACTGACCCCACCTGTGGAAGCTGCACGTTTATTGCTCCACCCTGCTGCTGCAGCAACATCTGTTGGGATGGAAACATGTCATGCTACATCAGTGCGTGCACGTATTTTTAAACATTTCTTTCCATCTGATAAATACACTTGTATGTATTTATTATCATAACTTTTCAGTTTTTACTGAATAAAATCTACCACCACATCCTTCTAAAAGGGACAGAGAGTAATGCATAATGCACAAATCAAAAAGGTGGAACACAAAAGGTAAAGACAAAACGCTTTACAGCTGCTGATATTTAAAAACAAATGAGTTTGTATACTATTTAATTCAAATAAGCATTTTCCTGAAAAGTTCAGATTTAAAGTCCTGATTGCTACTGCAAAACTCTTCATAGCTTCCAAACAAATAAATAAATGAGGTATGTATGTAATTATCCTCTGTGTAAAATAGCCTGCTCCATAAAACTGCTTTGCAAAGGATAAAGAAAAAAAAAGGAATGCATAAGATAAGAGACAGGGACACTGGAGTTACTAAAGTGACAAAGGTCAATCCATGCCAGCCCCCCGTGTGTGTCAGTCATCATCTTCTCACCTGTATGCCCTGTCCCTGCACTCTCTGCAGCTGCTCCTGGATGTGTCTCAGCTCCTCCTGCTGTCGCTGGATGTTGGCCTGAATCAGTCTCGTCCTCTGCTCCAGCTGCTCCTTCAGATGCTGCATGGCATTCACCTGAGCGGAGAACTCCATCACCGGCTGTAGATGGAGAGCGACAGAGAGGGAGAGACAGACAGACAAAGAGGGTTACTGACTTTAACAGAACTGACTGTGTGCACTCGGTAAACTGATGTTAAAAATATCACTACAAAACACGAGCACATGATTATCACAAACTCCACTAAAAGGCTTTGGGCTTTGATATTAACCACTGTATTCTTAAATGGTGAGTTGTTAAAATGTGCAGTTAACTTTCAACATAAATACTAAGGAAACAAACAATTACTGAACTTTGAGTCGCCTAGTGCTAGATGGGTTAAAACAGTAAATCAACCTCACCTGTACATTTGTCTGTAGCTGCTGCTGCTGTTGTTGCTGCTGCTGTTGTTGTTGTTGTTGTTGTTGTTGTTGTTGTTGTTGCTGCTGCTGTTGTTGCTGCTGCTGCTGTTGTTGTTGTTGTTGTTGTTGTTGCTGTTGTTGTTGTTGTTGTTGTTGCTGTTGTTGTTGCTGTTGTTGCTGCTGCTGCTGCTGTTGTTGCTGCTGCTGTTGTTGTTGTTGTTGTTGTTGTTGTTGTTGTTGGGTGATCATACTGGGAGTTACACTCTGGCTTGTAGTCTGAGAACTCATAGACTGCAAACATGCAGATAATCAAATAAGTATGGCAAAAATGAGAACCAACTCTTCAATTATATCACCTTTAAGATTTTGAAGAAACTGATAAGTGAGTAAAGTGTAAGCTTCGTTTCTGTTACTTCAGTATCTTTAAATCCTGACAGCCCTTTGCTTGCTCCGTGATAGTGTTCTGGAAAATCCCATCTCACCTGGCTGCTGATGGATGAGCGACGCTGCGACATCTCCATGGTGGAGGCCAGTGACTGCCGGGGAGGTGTGGCCGTATCCATGTGTAGCTTGGAAGCTGTTGCTGAAACGACAGAATCATTTTTTAAGTAAGAGTTGACACAGAAACTCAGGGCCTCTTTATTTCATTAGACTCCTTTGTTTTTGTTGTGACGTGTATGCTGTTAGTATGTGTCCTTACAAGTGCATGTGTTGTCAGAGACATGGGATGAGGACTTGCGGGAACTCCTCGATGAGGTTGAGGGTGTGCGGCTGCGGTCAAATCTTTCCAGCGCTTCTTTGAGGCTGGACGTATTCAACTGTGACTCTGACCCCGAGTCCTGGCTCTGAAATAAGACAAAGATAAAATCAACAAATGGCAGGTGACCTATAGGGACAACCAAATTTAGTAAGTTACTATCAAAATGTTGTAATCACTGATAGAGAAACAACATTAGGATACTGTCATGTTAAAAGGAAATGTAGGCAGCGTGATGAGTGATGGTAAAAGGTAGAAACAAACATGGTCTACTACCTGTGGGCTGCAGTCATTAACATTTGGGATGCTCTACAGTGACTAATTTCCCAGTTTTTTAAACCAAAATTAAAGTTTTGAATACATGACTAATCTAAAAGTAAGAAAAAAATAATAATGAAATGCATTTATCTAGTTAATCAGTCACAGGGAACGTACAACTTTATTTTAATTATCCAGATCAAAATACTGCCAAACCCTGTTGCAATACGAGATGTTTTTGGTCAACTGTGTTTACATCAGTGGTGTAGAGCACTATGACATTATGGCAGTCATTAGTAAGGCTGTGAAATAACTCATTAAACCACCTACTAATTCTGATGCTGACAAATAAGGGTGGTGAAGTTTTATTGTTTAATTGACAAAAGCATCTCTGGTTCAAGTTTTTCTCCTTTTTAGTCCTTTTAATTTTACGACAATGCTCGTCAGGTCGGACTAGCTTTAGTTTGTTTTGATGAAAACCCAGACTTAAACAACATATTCAAAATATCAAGCACAATACCTAGTCGACATTTTCTTTCCACAATTCACATATCATAGTTTCCAACATCTTGTGAGAACATAAGTTTATAAAAACAGACATATTACTATTACCTTATCGACAGTAACTTCTGGGTTTGTCTCCTCAATACCCAGTTCTCTGCGCTGCTCTGCTCTCACTTCTGCATAGCTGCATTTTGAGCAAAAAGAGAGGGACAAACCATGAAAAAAGTTACAAGGTGGTGTGAATTTAGGAAGTAAAGATATTTTAGAATCGCTGTGGCACCTTTAAAAAGGTGTGAGGAGAGAAGGGGAAAAAGGGTGCTTCAGTACCTTACTACTGTGTGTGTGCAGACAATGAACTCAGGTCGAGAGTTCCACTGGTGATAGGTGATGTAGTAGTGTGTCTGAAGCCAGATCCACTGTTGACCTTTAGTCAGGAAACGGTAGTAGCAAGACTTCCCTTTACCGTACTGCATCACTAAAGACAAACATAACAGGGATGTAAACATTAAGAAGGAAAAGATTAAATAAAAAGATCTCCCTGAAAAGTGTAAATGACTCTTACAGTGTTCATGACACTTGGCTAGTGTCTCCAGGTCGTCCACGTGGTAATAGTCGTACCCTGATGTTCCCAGAACCTCAAAAGGTAAGTAGCCTATGATTGGTGGCGCTCTGGAAGAGGAAAATTGTTATCAATCACACCGACTCTAAACTCCATGTATCAAAGAAATGTAGAGCATTTTAATCCAAGGTTGTTTTTTCTTGGCTGGTTAGACAGGCTGCAGGTAAACACCTCTATGTGAGGGTAACTAGCAAAAAACAGTTTATCTTGAGTGTGTACCTGTGGTCTAAAAAGAGGAACTTCCATTCCAAACTGTGCCTCGATGTGAATTCTTCATTGGGCTCCTCCACTGTACACAACTCCTGAGAAAGTCATAGAAAGAAAAACACAGACAAACAAAGCTGGTTTAAAGAAACTTACTTGTTATTCAGCGTGATTTTTATTTGCATATGTGAGTGTGTTGCTAAGGATACCTTAATAAACTGAGGTTTGGCCAGCCTCACAGTGGCTACGAAGCACACCTGGTCATCGAACGCAGGCTGAAGTGACCGCTGTAACACCCCTGCTAGACCATTCCTTGTCATGTTGGGAACTACACAACAAAGACCAGAGCAGAGTTTACCATCAAATAGTTTTTTATCCTGCCAGTCAAGGAATGTTTTGGTACACTTTTGTACAACATTCAATTCTCAAGCTTATATGTTAATAACAAAAACATTGATTGATTGACTTACCATTGTCAAGAGACTTGAAGTTGCCAATGAATTTTACATATTCATAGACGGGTGGTTCTTTGGGGTCAATGGCCCCTCGCAGCATATGGCAGCAAAACTCCATGTGGTTTTTAGCTGGAGACAAAACAAATGAACAGAAAGATGTTAGCTCATATTACCAGTTAGGCCATAAAAAAGGGACAAAAGTAGCAACATATGCAAACAAAAAAATCACGCATCAAAAAGTATAATAATGTCGCAATGAAAGACAAAACTGCATATTTTGACTCTTTTAAGTAGATATCCCAAAAGTCATACATGGTTCTATGTTATCCGCGTGATTGAGCTGACAAAGGTTTTAAAACAAGGCATAATGCTACAAAGCTGTCAAAGTTTAACACAATTAAGACATTTTTCCAACATTCAAACACTTACATATATTGACATAGTCAAAGCTGTCACAGAAATGTCTGTATACTCAAGTACTTTCGATGGGTTATTCACTGGTAAACAGTTGCAAGCTATGCATCTAAAGGTTCACAAGTAAATGTTAAACTCAATAACATCCTCATAAACAACCACAGACAGTAGAGTGCAAGGTCATGCAGCAAGTATGAGTACAACTCAGAGTGTTACTGACTCTTCAGGTAATCGGAGCTTAGGCTCTCTGGGTCAGAAGGGTGTGTGGATAGAGCCTTGTACACATCAGAGTGTTCCCCAACAGGCAGGAAGTTCAAAAGGTTCTGGTCCACCAAGTCCATCTGGGTAACACACACAAACATAAATCAGTTAAGTTGTCTGAACCTTCTTTTATGCACACATAGATCATTCTGACATGTTTATTCACACAACATAAGGGCAGCTGAAGCATGCTCCAGCAGTCACTTTGGGTAAAGTCTGCAATGATATAGAATTCAATGATAAAATATGTGTCCGAGGTTTAAAGTCAGTCATGATCTTTGGGATTAAAATAAATAAATTCTGCATTGTCTTTTTTCATGTGTTGACCAATAAACAGCCAACTAACCTTCTAACTCCATGTCACATTTAAAAAAACAAGATACCTCAACATGAGTGAAGACAAATTAATGACATAGAGGTGGATGGTAGTTTTGCTAGAACCCTCTATAACTTTCAAAGAAATACTCAAATGATCTGTATTACAAACTGAACAGATTTGGGATAGCTGGTGAAGAGGCAGCACAGAACAAAAAGAAGATTAAATAATACTCACTGGTAGATGTTCTAACAGTGAGGTGACACTCTCAGAGACGTAGAGGATGTTCCCATCAGTCATTATTGCTATAAAGAACCCGTCCAGAGCCTGATGGGAAGACAAAGGAAAGAAACAGGGACCTTAACTGTAGCTCAAGAGACATGGAAATAAGCCTCTGCTATCAGTCATTTGATAAAAAGCTAAAAATCCAACAATAAGTTGAAATGATTCAGAAGCTTTTTCACCGAAAAAAAAACATCTGCTGTCATTGAAAATTTCAAGGTTGATTTTGTAAAATCAGTTTCACTGCAGTCATGAGACAGCTTTAGAAGTGTAAAATAACTGTGGAAATATCTAAAAAAGATTACAGTATAAAATGTGACATTTCTGACCTCCAGCATGAGTTGGGTGAACTCTTCATTGCTGAGAAACGGAGGCTTCCAGTCTTGTCTGATTTCACTCGACTCCGACTGGGCTGCGATCTCTGACAGAGGAAAAAGAAAGCAAGTTTTAATTTTTAGAAGTGACAAGACGGCTCAGGGAAAATGTATCTAAAGAGGACAAGGTAGAAAAATGTATTGATAGTGCAAAGCTCATTGTGAGAACAAGGCAGTTAAACAGAACAGGAGATAACACAGGCAGCCAGTGAAGAGGCAGCTGATAGTGCACTATCATGAATGGTCATGATAAGAACTAGAATTAAACAGAATAGTGATGCACAGTCATCAATTATTTTCGAGAACAACAAGCGAGTGAAAAAGTCATCACTAAATTTCAAATTATATCACAAAAACAACAACATCCTTGTTTAAACCAGGTTATGTTTTAAATTCTCAGAGTATCTTGCACTCTGTAACAGAACTTATACAAATTTGAAAACACACATCGAAAACAAGAGTGATAAAAACGCAATTTGAGTCCATCCTTTTAGGTGTTCAGCATTTCTCTGTGAAGTCAGATGAGGGCAGCAGACAGGCCCTTACCTTTGTGTTTACAGAGGAAGTCAATGCTTTTCTGAAGGATGGTGGACTTGTCCATCTTCCTGGTGTTGCCAGGCAACATTGTGCCGAGTTCCTTGATGAGGACATTGAACTGGTCTCTCCGTTTCTTCTCGGACTTGTTACGGGACACGCTGCAATGAAAACAACACCCGAGTATTATATTAAAATGGTGTGTGGTAAATGTTGGAAAATTAGTTTTTAAAAAGTGATGTCCTGTCAGAAACACAAATTAAGCAGTAAAAGAAAAAAAAAGGAAAGCTTCAAATAAGAGCAGTCACATTTGTGTGAATGGTCAAATGAAGATGCTGTGGTTTAAGTTTAATCAGCATATGTCTTCCTAAGGTGTGATTATTAAGATTTAATGTGATTGATCAGTATTAAATAAATACCTAACAGTATCACCCTTCTGGTTTATTCCTCTGTACATGTTGCTTACCGTTTTGCTTTGTCCTTTTCATCCTCTTCCATCAACCCATCAAAGATGCTACAATCATCCCTACAGGGGGGAAAGAAAAAAACACTGAAGTACTTTTCCGGCTGGTGTTGTATTTTTCTCTGTGTGCACAATTGTTGGCCGCTTGAAAGCAGATATGTTTTGTTAATAATAGCTAATGACGGATGGTGGCTAATGAGAGGATTCCTACATGCCAAGGGCAGGTTTATTTTTGGGTCACACAAAAAATAGAGTGAGACAGAGAGAGAGAGAGAGAGAGAGAGGGGGGAGACAGAAAGAGAAAGAGAGGGCGGGGAGAGAGAGAGTGAGAGGGAGAGAGAGAGAGAGAGAGCGGGAGAGAGAGGAGGAATGTGTTGTGCTTGCCAAGAAGGTTAGCAGTGCATTTGTGTAACAGGGCGTGATCTTGCCTACGTTTCTAGTCATATAGGTCAATACAAATGCGTTCATTTGTCTGAGTGGATGACATCTGGAAATGTTATTTATGGTATGCTAAAACTAAATATTTTTCATAAACAGGGGCAGGAAGTCTATTTTTGTTTCCTAAATTTTGTTTTTTCTGGCTTTCTATCTGAGATTTGAAACAATTGCATCAATAATACCTAATGATTGGATCCTGTTTAAAATAGAAAAGTAATGTTGTATGATGTCTTTGATCATCATAATTATTAGAATTAGCTGTAATAGTATTAATATTATTAGAATGATAATACTACAAGTACTGATAATATTTTCAGTCAATTTAAACCATTATTGTTAGAGATGTTTTTACTATCTTAACCAATCCAATATCACGATTTTTGTGGGGTTGCACAAAAATACAATAAATGTAACTCAAGTTATTACATTATACAAAAGTATTAGTTTCATAGTGCTGTTTTGAATGATGCAATTTCTGATTAGTTAGCATACTGTGTGTGTATATGTGTCCATGTGTCTGTGTGAGTGCATGTGTACTTGTGTGCATGTGTGTAAAGCTTACCCCATGCTTGAAGTCATGGTGGCTGCTGATCAGGGCTGTGGCTGCAGTAATTTGCTCTTTAGGCGTGAGGTAGGCATTTGGAGGACCACCTGAAGAGTCAGGAAAACAAAAACTGTACTTAAAACTATGCTGAGTGCTTTGGCATACAGCTGCAGCTAAGGCCTAAGTACAAAGTCCATGCTCTAGTAATTAAATTTCAGTCATTTAGATTCATAATATATTCTCGAGGGAATCCTGATTATTTCATTCAAACTAACACAGTTCTTTATGATTCCCATCCCTGAATTTATGCTTTCATTTGATCAGGTATATATGCACAAACCGCATTATGTGGCCTGTTTCCGTTTAGTTGAGTTAAAATGGAAACAGGACAAATTTGTTCATTCTTATTTTTTGAATATGATAAACTGAATTATTACCACATACAACTAAAATCATGTTTCATGCTTTGTTAATGCAATGCAAGCTGGGAATTCAGTATTTTGAATCATTTCCAACCAGTGTGCCATTGTTCGACACTTGGCAAAACTACACCTACACAGTTTTAAATGAATGATTAAGCACTGACATATCAAACAAATATCTATCATTTAATTCATAGGACACATCACAGAGAAAGACAAAATGGTGTCACCTGATAAGTATTTGAGAACAGAGAATGTCTAAATAATTTTTTTCTAAAACAAATGAGTATTTGCGAGAATCGAACTGACACTAATTTATGATTTAAACACAGCTCTTGTGTATTTATGAGTGTAGGTGTTTATATCCTCAATTTACCCCAATGCAGCCAATGCACTCGGTCAGTCTTTTCAGGGGTCAGAGACAGGGTTCTGGGTCAAAGCTGACTCTATGGTCACGACTGATGTTGTGGTCATCAGGGTCATGAGAAGGAACCAGACCATGGGAGAGACATGGTGGTCAAAAAAACCTGAGAAATAATTCAGAGCAGAAACATGGGGTCATGTGGGGTCATTAGGTCAATTCAGAGGCAGCGCTTAGCAGTTTTTCACCTTAACTAACACAGGCATGTGAGGGAAAATTACTCATTTCAGAGTTCAGTTGCCACAGATGATGATTTTTCTTAAGCTGAGAAGTCCCAAACAACAATGAAAAACATCTGGTGTTATGTGTTGATTCAAGATCCAGCCAGAAAGCAAATTACAAAGCAGTGTAGAACATCAGCTTAAACTGAGAATAACAAGTCCAGCAAGAAAAATGTGGGATCAATCCACAATAATTCTTTAATTACTATTACTAGAATATTTTTGGACCGGTATAAGCCAGTTATCCAAAAGAAGAAAAGAAAAAAAAAATAAACAGGAAAAAAATGTCTTACTCACTTCTAGGAATGTCTCGTTACAGGCAGACTAGCCGTATTGGATCCTATCCTTTCAGGCACTGACAAATCCTCACGTGTGGGCCACACCTCACCTGCAACACAAATAGCACAGACTCATTCACAAGCAAACCACTGGGTCAATGCTCACCATTCACCACAAACGCAAATTGAAACCACCAACAAGGCAGGTCAATGTGTATATTAAATTAAGCCAAGAAAAGAAAGTAATGCTTCAGCCAACACACAAAACTCCCTGTAAATGTCAAATTAATGAACTCTTCTGAAATCAAGATAACTTTTTTGAGCGTAGGGTGCAATATTCAGATTGTTTGTTCACCTGGCCTTAAGTCAAAAAATACAAATATTTACCTGGGAGTAGGACTTTTTTTTAGTGTAACTTAATTACAGAAAAAATGAAGCTTCATTAATGCAAAGGCATCAGAAGAAAACTTTAAATCCTTCTTGACAAATTCAATTTACAGAGATAAAACAAGCAAAAAAAAAGCATAACAACCACAGCTGAGAAACCTGGAACAGTTTATGTTGTTTTTCTTCTTTGCTCAGGGTGCAGCAATGGACTATCAAAATAGTTGCTGACTGCATTTCAGTACATTAATTGATCCAATGACAAATCATTTCCGCTAAATTTCAATCATTTAATGCAAAAATGATTCTGACTTAATCATATTGCCAGTGCCCCTAAAATTGGCAATCACACAACCGCAATGCCTAGGATACAGCCTTCAAAACTACAAATAACAAAGAAAATATCCTAAAACCCCAAACTGTGTAATCTAGGAAACGGTGTGTGTCCTGATTGAGATATTATTGGTAAACACATGAATCTTTCAGTGTGGGTTGCAATCTACAGGTAAACATTTCCTCATTTTCAGGCAGATACAACAGAAAACACAACCACTGAAGCCAAATGTGACAATATCAATACAATCTAAATGATTTTATGCTCTTAGATATGGCAGAAATTAAGGTCAGAATGGACACGGTAAAAACAAAACCTAGGGACACTGTCAACCATCTTTTAGTGTGAGATAATACTGAGATTTGGGTAATAATCTAATCCATCCTCGGATCCCCCGGTGGTCTGACCTACAGTCATGTTCTCCAGTTGGTCAGTGGGTGAAGCCTCGTTTGACTGAGCTTCATCATTGGGTTATTCTGCTCTCTGTACAACACTCCCAATCAATCGACGCCGATATTAGCCATAAGATCCAATGAATCACCCGGTAATACAACCGACCAAAGCAACCATTAACCACCAAATAAGCTCAAAAACATGTTTAATGTGTCTTTTACTGCCACAGGTGTTCGTTATACAACCCTAAGAGAGCAACCCATTTAACGTTAGCTAGCTAGCATGCTAACTAAGCTTGCTAACGAATACCGCCCGTCTAACTCAGGGGATTTCTCTCTACCGCTACACCCACAAACGCGGAATGACACACTTTTGACGGGCTAATGCGTTTCACCCTCGCAGAATGAAAAAACGGGGGGATATAAGTGTCTTTATCGAGGCGAGCTGGCGCCGAGCCTCGAGCTGTCACGCAACAACTGACATTGAAGACAAAATAATCTCTCAAATATTACCGTTGGTCCTCAAACACCGCGAGACGACCGAGTCTAAACATCCGCGCGGGGCGAAATCCTCGCGAATGCTGACAAAAACATAAATGTCGGCGGTGGAGAAATATCCAAAAGCGGCGATGGTGGAAACATTTTCGCGGCAGATGTATGTACACACACATACACACCGTGCTCAGGCACACACATACACACAGCGGCAGGGAAACGCGCACACGCTCGCCCACTCGTACACACACACATACACACACACACTGGCTGCTCTGAATGTGGGTCACTGGGCCTTGCTCTCCCTCAAGCGTGCGGAAACAGTCCCGAAGCCTCCTCTGCAGTCCGACTGCTTCCGCACGCTCAAAAAAAACTCGTTTACCGACCTTAACGGTCATGCTATTCAACAACCGACAACTGCTGCTACCTGCGCATATGCATTAATAAGTCCTTACCTTTCCGAAAAATCGACAGCAGCCTCCGTGTTTTGCTTACTTGAGCGTTGCATCGACATCGAGGCGGTGGGGGCCGGGAGGACTCGGGTTGGGGAGAAAAACAGGAGGCCTACTTCATACTACGACGTACAGTCATGCGCAATAGAGACAGTAGGGCGCACTATTTTGCAAGTACAGTAGCAGCAGCAGAAACGAAGGGGACCGCTGAGTTGTCTTCAAAGAGGAAATGACTCTGCGTGTTTTGTCGCTTTACCAGCCAGACCACTTCCCACTCAAAGCTACCTAATTTTTTTTTTTATAAAAATAGAAAAAAAAAACAGCTGTTCTGCCTCGTGATCTTACAAATGAATGCGATGACGGAAATGGATCATCGTCTTGTTTTGTCACATTGCGCGCATACTAGAGTTAAAACGGTGAAATAGGATAACTTTTCTATTCTTAGAGACTTTCTACTTCTCAGTGAAAAAAAAAATTCCAGGAAACATGTTTTGAATTCCGGTGAATGCTCTGTGAATGTGACATTGGATGGTGGCCAGGACGGTGCAGAGCAGGGTAGTGTAGGGATGGCCCTGCAGGATGGCAAAGGGTTTCCCCCTTTATCGACATCCAATCAGAAGCTCCACAGTCCATGACGTGTTACCCATAGTGTGACGAGGTTTCCCCCTAAATACGTAGAGGTGCATTTAAGACAAGAAACTCTAAGTATTAGGCTGTAGGGCGTGAAATGGGGTCAGAGGTTAATTTTGTAAACATGGCCATGTGTTCACAAAATGTAGCCTACAAAATCTGTTAAAACCAAAGTTCACAACTCTTTGATTGGGCCTATACAACATACAAAAAACAATATAACTTTTGGAAAGATACAGGACACGGGTCACTTAACCCTAGAACACTACCCCTGGGTGATTTTTACCTGAAATAATATATCCAAGAAAAAGTACTTGTCATCAAAATATATCAAAATGGGTCAATACATGACAAATTAAAGTAGTGTTCTTTTATTTTTAACTGTGCAATGTCCAAAGGGAGGGACAAAAGTGCCATGAGGGGGACCGCATAAAAATGCAACAAAATAACTGAAATTAGGCATTCATGAACAAAAAACTCTTAAAAAATATATAGAAACTGTAAACTTTGTTTCTATTCCACCCATTCCTGGGGCATGTGAGTCTTCCCTGGTGAAGACTCAGGCACAATAACAGCTGCGGGAGAGAGAGAGAACCAAAATATGTCATATATTGAGAGAGTGAAAATGACCAGCTGACTAAAATATTTCTTATCACCATATGAATTCCCTTCAAAATCACTATTTTGTGATAGTTATTCATAACCACTGCGCTAAATAAAGATAGCATGCAAATTCCAGGACCACTCTTACTTACCTTATTTGCCATATGGCCGTCTAAGTATGTTTATATATATTGACGATATGGATGAGGCAACAGAATATATCAACCCATCATACACAATGCGACAAAATAATCAAACGTCTGCTTAATACAGAATTTAAGCTCTTGTCAGGTCAACACTTTTGATGTTGAAATATCAAAAGAAAAAAATCAAAGTTTCCTAAGTATGCCACGTGAACAGTTAAAAGGTTACTTATTTAAGAATGGTAATCTAATTTTTCCTTCAAAAATGCTAATTTGCAAACTGAATCATGACATGAAAGCTGTATTCTTATACAACAATTTAATTAAACATCATGCCGTCACGTTTCCTGTGACAGAGCTGTGGTATTTTTTTACATTTTTTGTTGTGTCACACTAAATGAAATATTGTGAGGCCATATTATTTCTACATAGGAACACAAATGTTGAAAACATATTCTTTATAAAGCGTGTGTACTGATCAAGGCAGAGTTCTGCAAATCTGCTGATTTCTTGTGAATGAATGTCACTTTATTTTCAGCAACATGTACTGTCAATTTTCCCTCATCATCCTCTCTCACAATACTGCCTGCCCATAACACAAGTTGTTTGGGTGTCATCAAATCAACTCATACTGTGTCATATCCTGTGAAACAGCTGCATTGTGTTGTTGAATTGACCATGAGTCATGGCAACACAACCACTGCTATTGTAACAGGAATAAACAGGGCAGAGGTCACTTCCCTGACAAATTCACTGCTCTTACTGCCTGAGACGACTATTCTTACTCTGACCTTAATCTTATTGTACCTGATCAACACTGAGTTGTTAAAATTTCAGAGACAAAAAATGAAACTCAGAACAAAATGTTTTAAATGTCAGTGTAATTTCCCTCCTCAAAATAAACCTTCAAATATAAAACAGCTTTTCAACCATAAAACAGATAATAACTGATTGAAAAATGCAATTACCAGAAAGCTTTACAGTCCAAATGGCCATGGTCACAAACAATGCTACCTTTGATTTCGTTTTATATCTGCTGCTATTTTCACTCAAAATGCAAACTTTAACATGAATATTTTAGAACTATGAACTCAAGCATCTTTATGTTTAATCTGAACCTCATCAATCCTTACGTCCTTTGTGAACTCATTATACCCCTGCACTGTCTCAGGATTTTTCACCGCCGCGTATTCCTTCCTCTCTGAACTAAATTTTCCCCTCCCCGCTTCTCCTCTTTTCCTCTGTCATCATTTTCATTTCTCCTCTGCCTTCCTCAGATTAATAGTTATCTGCTTTTTCAGGATTTTCTCACGCTCACCCTATTATATCCTCTCCGTTCTCATCTTTCCTCAGCTCAGCAGCCTGTCCTGCATAATCAGTGTTATTCAGTCCTTAATTTAGTTCAGTATCGTGGTCTTTTACCTTCTTTTTCCACTGTTCCTGTTCACTGTGTATTGTCTTATCCCATTGCCTCCTCTTTATTTTTTCTTGATGGTATCTCTTTGCATCCCCCTTACCCACCCTCCTTTTTATTTCTTAAAACTTTTGAACATTATTTTAAAATTTTACTACCCTCCTGTCTCTTTTCAGCAGCTCCTGCATTTAATTTCCTCTACTGTCTCCTCCTGCAGCTTTCTACCAGCTCCTCTGACTTAACTCCTGAACTTTATGCACCTCCTCTTTATCCTCTCTAATCCGGTGTACCTCCTGTTCCAGCTCCTCCTCCTATGCCGTAATAAAAAGGTATTACAAATGCTTTCTATTTATCACTCGCTGTTCTTTTTTTTTTTTTTAAACCAGGGATAATGCCTTTGCTAACACTGAACATCAAAAACCACAGTTACAAACCCAGTGATATGACATAAGAAATGAAATAGGAGATCTTTGTTTTTTTTAATGAATTCCACAACAAATTCAAAAAAGTATCTGTTTTACAATTAATGTGAATGTATATTTTTTTTTTACCTATTTTAGTGCTATACAAGTGCATTTTCAAGTTTAAAATGTGCATCCTTTGTTGTTAATTACTGTCTTTATTCAGCCTTTTCAAACTGAATTATGTGGAACATTAATATTATTTCTTTTTTTTCTTGTGTGGGTTATCAACCAATTATTGCAAAGATAAGAATTCTGTCAATGCCTATAGCAAAGGTACAGGGGTTAAAGTCTACGATAAGTAAGTACAACAAACCTCATGTGTTATTCATAAGATTCAACACTTGTATATTCCTTACCTCCCTACTTCCTGTCCATCTGCTCAGCTTTCCATCTCAGAGGCAAAGAGCCTTTCAAGAGAACACCCACAAAAACCATCAACAACATCAACAACAACAACTATAAAGCACTTAGCTGTGGAGCATCTTTGTTGTGACAAATCCAATCCAACAGAGCCACACTTTTTCCTGACAACAAATCAAATTAAAGCGTCGGTTCATTCTGGAGTGGTTTGATTATGGAAAAGTCCACCCACACTCTTTGACACAGTTACCATGAACTGGAACTCATAAAACATGCTCAGAAGTTTACATTTATATTCTTTCTGCCGATTCGAAGACCCTAAAACTGTCCTGTGGAGTCATGATGACTAAAGAAAGGAAGCATCATTTATGTGCTTGTAAAAGTCCTCCTTTTAAGTGCTTCACCTCGCTTGTACCTGTTCCCAGAGATTGAATTATTACAGGGTAATGGAAACCATGCAGAGTGCTGTGGGACATCCTTTTCCCACACAACAACCGTTTAATCACAGACAACGATTGGGCGCTGCGCCACGCTAGATATATCAACGTCTATATGTGAGTGAGTGGAGACAGAAAGACCACAGAGAGGAGGAAAGAACATTACACAGGAAAAAATAAACCACCTACAGATCAGCTGCAGTACTGTACATACCCAAAGCAACTAAAGTAAAGTACATGTTGGTACTTTGGGTCAGACACACTCCTCAAAAGTAAATACAGAGTCAGGAGTAAGATCCATATCAGCAGGAAACCTGCACATCAGGTCAGTAATGGATCTTAATTGAAGCAATAAAAGGAAAAAATCAAGACTGGTCTTTAATTGCTCCTTGTCTCCTAAATCCCCAAGGTTGCAATGAAAGCAGCACTGTAATGAAAGATTAACACTAATCATCAAACCTGATAGTCACTGTGTGTTTGTGTGTGTGTATGTATGAGCTCATTTCACCACATACTTTCACGCAGTCAGAGTGGAGGAAACATCACCAGCGCCCACCCCACCACTGCCAGGTTTTCAGTCTTCTGTGTCACAACCCGCTTTATCTTTTCTCAACTTTTGCTATTTCTCCTACCACTCCTTGATTCTCCTTTTAGCCTTGCTATTTCTTTCTTGGAGGCTTTGTCCTACTCTGCAGTCTTGATTATCCTTTACCCTCAAGTGATGTCGTCTCTTTTGAGGGAGGAGATGCAGAGAGTTTTATTCCGACCTGCAAAACAAAGACTAGTGGAATTTATCGAGATTGAAGAGCCATCGCACGGAAGGCATTTCCTGTGTGTGTCAGGTAAACAGCTTTGTTGTCGATCAGGTATTCATTTATAATTATTACAGTTCATTCAATAAATATAAAGGCGGTTTCAGGAGTCATTCAAGACTTTCTAGTCTGGCTGGTTTACATGTCACACTGAATATTATGGTTGTGGGAAACCTGTGAGGAATTCTGCTGAGCATGTACTTTTACCGAAGAGGCTGTGTTTATGCTTGTTATGAATCAAAGGTTTGACCTTTATAGCAGAAAAAAAATATGTCACAATCCCTTTTTTTTCAACATTTCTTAACATTTTATTTTTTTTCTGTTTTTCTGCAGTAGCAAAAGGCAAAGTGGTTCAGCTGAGTATTGTGCGATGTCAGATATCTCAGACGCCCCTAAAATCTGGCTCCAAGAAGTCCCACACCAAACGTTCCAGTATACAGGAGTGCTACCGGAGGACAGAAATCTGGTCCCTGCAAGATCTGACTCTAGTTGATGGGAGAGATGCTGATGTGGTAAGAAATCATAGTAATTTATTGTTTTCATTGTTATTTAATGCCATGATTTCTTCGTTTTTTTATTTAAAGAATGACAGGACACTCCTCTGAATGACTCAAATTTGCTCACACATCTTCACTTGATTATGAGAGCCTTGAAAGGATACTATATATTTTTAAACTATCATTTCTAGAGTCACTATTTCACTGCAACATCTTACTTATTTTTATGTTTTGCATGGTCATGACAAGCTTATCAACTGATGCTCACTCCTAAATAGATCCCATATACAAAGGAAACAATTGGAGTATTGGGAGTTTACAGGGTTTCAACAAAACAAACTCTTGTTCATTGGTCATACATATATGTCATGTTTTAGATATTTAATTTATATTGCATTAGTGTGATTATTATTTATACTTCTGTTTTGATCTCCCAGTGGCCTATCTGATATACTGGATCCTGCACTTACAATACTGTAAAGTGTTTAAGTTAATTTGATTCTGTTTTTACAGCTGGACTTAATATTGTCTCTTCAATTTTGCACCTTAGACCGTCACTATTTTCATATTGCACCTCATGTTAAGAGTTTATCTTACTTGGATATACTATATTTCGTATAGTCCTGGACTGAACTTACTGCTTTTTATCATGTCATGTGTCACTTTATCCCCAAACTGTCATCTTTCATTTTTATTTACTGCAGAATGTCCTATATTATTTGTAAAATTCCTTTTTTACTCCTTGTATGCCAGTCCTATGTGCCTCTTACTTTCTTTATTTTATCTTGTCTTATTTTAAGTTCTATTTATCATCTCATCGGATTTGTCTTGTGTTACTTAAACAACTGAATTTTACTTTTTGGGCTCTAGATGATGCTTTCATGTTGATTCTTTTGTTTTACTGAACCAGTGTCATAGCTCTGATTTTACAAAGTGTTAAATCTGATTTAATTGATTAATGTATGCACTTAATTCAACAAAACAAATAGTATTTCATCAGTGTTTTTGGTCTCCAGGATGACCCCTGTTTTCTGCTGCACTTTAACAAGGTGCGAACAGTGACGGCCATCAGCTGCTCAGCTAAGTACGCTTTTGTGCGAGCCCTGGTGGCTCTCAGCGACCAGCACTGCCAGAGGTCATTGAACCTGCGGAACTTTGACTGGACCTACATCAAGCCTACTTCTTTTTACTCCAACAGAGGAGACTGCGTGGTCCTTTCACAGATATGCTTCTATGCATTCAATCTGGTGTGTTTGTCCATGTGTCCCGTGCCTCTGGATGCATAATGAAATGAAACAATACTAGTGTGTGTTGTCTGTGTGTCAATAAAGGTGTGTGTAACTTAAAAAAATCTTAAGCAGGTTAAATGTATAATACTTGCCATGAGTCAGATATGTGGTGTGAATGTAGGCTTGTGGGTGCTCTTGCACTTAAGAGTTTTCATGATGGGTATTTTATCATGAAAACTCTTTTGCATTCATATTCTGCTAAATCTATATTCAAGCAACTTGATATACCTATTTGTTGACCCAGTTCTCTTTTTGTGATCTTTCAATGACTTGTCCCTTAAAGTGTTTTTTCTGTGGGCTATTGTTAAAATGCAAACATCTAATGGGAAATAAAAGGACTACAAATTTGTTGCGTTTTTTAATCTTTCATAAAGATCAATCATCATTCTGAAGGACAGGAAGCCTTTGGTTAGCTAAAGATATCAGGATAAAAAGATTAAAAAAAGATTAACAATACTTAGACTTAGTGAGACTGGCCCTTTTAGTAGGGGAGAGTGGGGTAAGATGAGCCATTTTTCATATTTCAGATCACTGCATTAAAGCAATCATAGTTTTGTCTCTAACTAGTGTATACAATAATTATTTTTATTATTGCATATAACTGCAAAAAAGCTGTAAAAAGTCATTTTAACATGAGAATGTCTTTAAGTGATTCAGAACATTCACAGCTGTATTTTGGAAAAAAAAAAAAAAAAAAGTAAAACATTTCAACAATCTGAACTGAAACTCTGATCCTCTCATCAGACTTCTTTACTTTCTCTGTTGAGCCACTGGTTCAACTTACCCCAGAACTACTATGATGACCTTATTAGTCTTATTATGACTTTATTAGTCCTCTAAGCTAAAACGGTGGACCTTTATGCTAGGTTTTTGACCTTGTGTTGTAGCTCATAGATACCACAATTGATGTATAAAACAAATTTAAAATTATCTTTTTTGGTCTGAACACAGTTCTCATAAAATTTATGACAGGCTACATTCCCTTTCAAGAGTGAAAAATGTATATATATATTTTTTTAAATAAATGTCTAACCCCTTCACCCATGTGCTTCTAACCTTCACAGACTCCATGAATTGATGCCCATCTCCTAAATATTTGGTCACATGATCAATTTCTTTTACCATTTCCAAGCAACACGGGGTGGTTTAACTTACCCTTTGGCTCAACTTACTCCACTCTCCCCTATGGCATTTTAAATAGGACTTGCTGTGATTCTCAGTGATTAGTTTAGCTCCGTATTTTAAGTTTTTCTTTTGGCAATAACATCCCTCTGTATACTTTACTTATCCCTGGTGTGCGCAGTCTTTCTGAGCCCTCCCTTTGACGGACAGTTTTCTTTGTATTTCACCTGTACTTCCGCCTTTCATACGCAGGTGGCGCCAATACATTGCTAGGATAAGTAAACTTAGGTGCCCTTAATTTCTGCCTGTCGAAAAATATATGCCCGCACGTAAAATATTTAACTCGCTGCGCTCTGTCGATTACATCTTCATCTTCAGAATAGTAAAGACTTATTTTTTTACAAATACATAAAATTTATGCACCCTCACTGTCATACACGATTAATTTCTTCACCTCTCACAGGCACGGACGGGACAGACCGGTGGCTTCCTGTCTACCGCCAAAATTCAAGTTAGAGGAGCGAGGCGAGCTCTCTGCTGTCCGTTGTAAACATCGAGCTGTGGCCCATTGCTTCGGCTTCACTGTATTGTTTTTGGTGTTCAACACCACATTTATTTCTGTCTCGTAAATCAGCGGCCTAAAGATGCACATCAAGTCTATTATTCTTGAAGGATTTAAGTCCTACGCTCAGAGGACGGAAATAAACGGATTTGACCCTCTGTTTAACGCCATCACTGGACTGAACGGCAGCGGCAAGTCGAATATTTTGGACTCGATTTGTTTCCTTCTGGGTATTTCTAATCTTACTCATGTAAGTACACGACCCATTATAACAATATTAAGCTTTAAAATGACCCATTTACAGTACATGTTGTGTTGTTTGACAGTTGTGGAAAGTATATAACTACGTTTACTCCTTACTGTTACCAATTGAGATGCTTTTGTGAGTAGTTTAATATCAGCACTTATACTTTTACGCCATATTTATGTTTAACATATCTGCTACAGTTTACACATAATTAGTTCAAAATAAGAAGCTTAAAAAATGAAAGCTTTACATGGACTGCATGGCAGATACTGTTGGGATAATGTCTGTGCTGCCAAACACTGTCTTACCAACTTCATTTGTCTCTGCTCAAAATACCTCTGTGCACTGAAATTAAGTGTCAAGATATTTCAAGCCAAATCAAAGTCATAGGTCCTTATTTCTGTCTTGCAATGACAATGCCTTCTGTACAGTCTGCAGGTACTTCTTGTAGCTTGACACTCTCCCAACCTGCAAAATGATTTGATCTCAGTCAAGTGTAAACTCTCTAAACTGTTTAATTTTACTTGACAGGTGCGAGCTTCCAATCTCCAGGACTTGGTTTACAAAAATGGACAGGGCGGTATTACAAAAGCCACTGTGTCTATAACCTTTGACAACACCAACAAAAGCCAGAGTCCTCTTGGATTTGAGACCCATGATGAGATCACCGTAACCAGACAGGTACCCTAAGACAGTGGTTCTCAACAGGTCTCACTCTGGGACCCACATTTTCCCATGGTCCTTGAGTAGCGACCCACTTTTATCGAATTCAAACCAAGCAAATTTATTTTTTATTTAACAAAAATAACATCTTTAAAGGCTCTAATCTTTAACATAAATCCACTTGTTTTATTGAGTAAGGTGCATTTCCGAGCACATGAAGGGGACAACATGAGGACGACAACTACTGAAGTTACATATACAGAAAATATCAAATATCTACCCACTTTTGGGTTGGGACACACCAGTTGAGAACCACTACCCTAAGAAATATTTGTGGAGTAGTTTTTGAAGCCCCTGTCATATTGTGAAAGTCTATTATCTGCAAGGCTAATAGTACACTTGTGTTACACTTCAAGGTGGTAATTGGTGGCAGAAACAAGTACCTAATCAATGGAGTCAACGCCAACAACACCAGGGTGCAGGATTTGTTCTGCTCTGTTGGCCTCAATGTCAACAACCCCCACTTTCTCATCATGCAGGTTGGTAATGAGTCTGAAGAAGTGTGTTTGGTTGTGCTTACAACAGTATACAGCTTACTGTGATGTCTGTATTTTTCAGGGGAGGATCACCAAAGTTCTCAACATGAAGCCACCTGAGGTAAAACACACATTGATTGATTTATATCTTACAGTGAGTACTTTGTGTACACATTTTCTTGCTTTTTATAGGGTAAGGCTAACGAACTGCTATGTTTCTACAGATCCTTGCCATGATTGAGGAGGCGGCAGGAACCAGGATGTACGAGTGTAAAAAGATAAGCGCTCAGAAAACCATCGAAAAGAAAGAAGCAAAGCTGAAGGAGATTCAGACTGTATGTCCCAAATGCATGCTCATCTTAAATCTATGTCCATTCTGCAGTTCAAGGATGAAACATGTTAAACTATTGAACATTAAGTATTTTTTTTTGTTTTTACTTTAAGATTTTGGATGAGGAAATTACTCCAACCATGCAAAAACTGCAAGAGGTAGGTGACCAGCAAAATCAAAAGATATAAATTTCCAGTTTAAGGATGATAGATTTTCCAATGCATACCTGTTTCTATGTTCTCATTTCTCATTTTCCCAAACCTTCCTCCCTCTTCAGGAACGGTCATCATACTTAGAGTACCAGAAACTGGTGCGTGAGATCCAGCATTTGTCCCGGCTGTATGTGGCCTGGTTGTTTGTGTGTGCCGAGGAAACAAAACTCAAGTCAGCAGAGAACCTGAAGGGGATGCAGGATAACATCACCAAGATGCAGGAATGCCTGGTCGAGAATGAGAGCAAAGTCAAGGAGCTCTCAGCCCAGATTCAGGAGCTGCAGCAGAAAAGAGACCAGGTATGCTAAAAGACCAGGGTCAGATGAGATTAAGTGTCTTTTTTGATGGCCCTCTTATGATTTTGGTGAGCTTTTAAGCTGTTTACTTGAACATATCAACAGTTTTCTCTAGATGATTTTGTTTATAGTTTTGTTGTCCCTCATTTGTAGATTTCTTCTAAATAGATTTTATTTCTTGGTTGTCAAAGGTTTTACTAGAGAAACATGAAATATTCTCTGTAGTCCACTGAAATTATGATTTTGCCAAACCACCTAAAGCAAAGGGAATCTTGAGGCAATAAACTTTGTCTTCACTGTTTTTCTACTCGTCTTCAGGAGGTGAATGGAGTGTTGAAATCCCTGGAGGAGGCTCTAACTGATGTGCAGCGTGTAGATGCAAAAGCTCAGAGTGCTCTTGATCTGAAAAAACAGAACCTCAAAGATGAAACCAAGAAAAGACAACAGCTTGTCAAGAGTATGGAGGAGGTAAAAACACAGTAAATTCACTGGTAAATGCCTCCGACATGTTGATTCTTTGGTTGAAATTCTTAATGAAAATCGATGTTTCCTTTTATCCAAAGGACAAGAAAATGCTCACTGTGAAAGAAAAAGAGACTTCTAAGCAGACAGCGCAGCTCCAGGCTTTGCAAGAGGAGGGGCAGAAAGATAGTGCAGCCCTGGAAGCAGCTGAGCAGCATTTTAAGGCTGTGTCAGCAGGCCTTTCCACAAATGAGGATGGAGAGGAGGCCACGCTCGCTGGCCAGATGATGACCTGCAAGAATGATATGAGCAAGGCTGACACTGAGGCCAAGCAGGTGAGAAAAGGACTCAAACATATCTGCCAGCCATATGAGGTTTCATTGTTGCTGTGTCAGCTTATCAATTAAAATTTAATAGAAGTTTGAAGTACAAACATCAATACCTGGATGAGTCTGAAATCAGCAGGACAGACTGTTAAACTAATTGTAAAGACAGTTTAATCAATCTTGTATCTTATCCGGTCACTGTCTTCTTTCCTCTTCAGGCCCAGATGACCTTGAAACATGCCCAGGCAGAGCTGAAGACCAAACAGGCTGAGATGAAGAAGATGGACAGTGGCTACAAGAAGGACCAGGATGCCCTGCAGGCTGTCAGAAATTGCAGAGAGAAACTGCAAGCTGAGCTAGCGAAACTCAACTATGAAGGTACTGTGTGCATGTGAGAGCTGGTTGGCCGGTGAACTCTTTAGGCTTTAATCTGATTGTAACTGCAGGCCTCAAAAACTGATACAACTATTGCAGCTGAGTTTATATGAACTGTTTATACTAAAAACCAAGGTTTAAAATGGCATCCCTGCTGTACTTTCTAATCTACCATTTATAAGGATTAATGTTAACATTTATAGAAAAATAAATGCAAAAAGGCTACTTTTAAAAAAATATATATATCAGTGTCTACTCTGTTCTCAAAAATGAAAAAAAAGTTTTGTTTGTCCAGATTCTGCATACAGAGCTTCTGTCGTTCCTTTTGCTACATGTTTGATAAGGATATTTGGGGTCTCTGTCTTTCTAAATGCAGATGGAAAGGAGGAGAGTCTGCTGGAGAGGAGGCGACAGCTGTCCAGAGAGGTCTCTAAACTCAAAGAGACCTATGAGACTCTTATGTCTCGCTTCCCCAATTTGCGCTTTGACTACAAGTAAGGATTTGTTGAATGAATCGCTTTATCCGTTATGTATTTTGTCTGCACGTTGAAGTGTGTACAGTGGACATTTTGAGACCCTCCACAACAACAGTGTGTTTTCAAATATTTTAGTTTGAGTCACATTTTCTCAGTCCAGGCTAGGACAATAGAGCTATGATAATAGAACTTGTCACTCTTAAGAATTCTATGTGAGCCTGACTGAAACAGTTTTTGACTTCTGAGGAATTTCACAAAACAAAAATCGAATGCACTTTGATTTGTCTCACAGGGATCCAGAGCGAGGATGGGACCGTAGCAAAGTGAAGGGGCTGCTAGCAAACTTAATAACAGTCCGTGATGTCTCTTACTCGACTGGACTGGAGGTTGTTGCAGGAGGACGTCTCTATAACATCGTAGTTGACACAGAGGTAGGTGCATTAGTAGTCAATGTCTCACCTCAGAGCAATAGTGCAGGTCTGATATGATCAGCAAACCATTTAGTCAGTGTAAGAGGATTTTTTTCCTGTTGTTTTTGCTTAATGCCAGGTTACGGGTAAAAAGCTGTTGGAGAAGGGAGAACTTCAGCGCAGGTACACCATCATCCCTCTGAACAAGATCTCTGCCAAGACACTCAATGACAGAGTGGTCAACGCTGCCAAGAACCTGGTGAGGGATCGAAAGAGTTCCCCAAATGATTTTGAAACATGAAACGGCCCTTTAACTCTGTCCCTCACTCAATCCAATCTCTGTCCATTCTTTTTCTGTTTTCAGGTGGGAGAGAACAATGTCCACACAGCTCTGTCTCTGGTAGGTTATGAATCGGACCTCCGTAAAGCCATGGAATATGTCTTCGGCTCAACACTGGTGTGTGACACACTGGACAACGCCAAAAAAGTGGCTTTTGACAAGCAAGTGATGACCAAGACTGTCACTCTGGGAGGGGACATCTTTGACCCACAGGGAACTCTGAGCGGAGGTGAGAACTGTAGCAGAATCATGTATTGGGATTTTGTTTTTTGTTCTACACAAAAAATGCCCAATCACCAACATAAACCCTCCTGACAGTCATGCAATGCAAATCCGTTTGTGTTCCACGCTTTTCCCTCTCCAGGTGCTCGATCCCAGTCAGCATCAGTTCTGTCCAGCCTGCAGGAGCTGAAGGAGATCCGGGACAGCTTGAATGCGAGTGAAGCCCAGCTGCAGCAAACTGAACGAGAACTGTCCAGCCTCAAGGGAACCGCAGAGAGGTACGATATCATTTTAGACACAGGATAACTACGGAATAAAGCGCTATCACTGCATGTAACTCAGCCACCCTTTATAGTAGATATTACTTTTTGACATAGTTACTGTTGTGGGTTTTTTTTTCCATTTTCTTTACCTTTGAATAAATCACTAGAACGTGCAGTTTGTAAATGCCTTCTTACTTTATGTTTGATGTATATTGCTTTTACAAATCTTGTCCACTAGAGGGAGCTGATAGGTTGACTTATTCTATTCACATTCACAAAACTTTCTTAGATTTAAGTTTATTTCATAAATCCTTGCAACTCACAACACAGAAAACAGTTTTCACCTCTTATGACTGTTACTCTCCCTGCAGGTACCATCAGCTGAAGCAGCAGTGTGAGCTGAAGATGGAGGAAGAGCAGATTCTGCAGGCTAAAGTTCAGCAAAGCTCCTTCCACCAGCAACAAGAGGAGCTGGAGAGGCTGCGCAAAGCTATCGGTAAGAAATTTAAGATAAATCACTTCATTGCAAAACATTTGATCTAAAATCCTGTGTATGTCCGGCTTTATAACTTATAATTTTCTTGTGTGTTCAGAGGAGAGTGAGGAGACTCTGCGTAGCACCAAGGAGGTACAGAAACGGGCCGAAGAGAAGTATAAGGTTTTAGAGAACAAGATGAAGAATGCTGAGGCAGAGAGGGAGAAGGAGCTGAAAGCTGCTCAGCAGAAACTTAATGCAGCCAAGTCTAAAGCTGATGCCTTCAACAAGAAGCTCAAGCAGAAGCAGCAGGTACAAAAAACATGTTGAATTCAGGTTTTTTTCTTGTTGTTGGTATCCTACGGTGGTAAGATTCTGGTGAACCGGCCTAACGTGTCGTCTTTTTCTCGTGCAAACAGGAGTCTGAAGCCGTGGCCCTGGAGCTGGAGGAGCTGCGGAGGGAGCAGGCGGGCTATGAGCAACAGATTCAGGCTGTAGATGAAGCCATGAAGGCCATCCAGGAGCAGATAGACAGCATGGCTTCTACTGTTTCACAGAACAAGGTATTTGTTGTTAAAACTACGTCACACAGAGATCTGACTGATTATTGATCTGGGGACAGTTCTGCTCTCCCAAATCTGAGGTTAACAAGAGTATTTGCCTGATCTTTGTGCAGGAGGCTGTGCGTAAAGCTCAGGAGGAGCTCGCCAAACAAAAAGAAGGGATCATGGCTCAGGACAAAGAGCTCAAGGCAAGTCCAAATTATCTCGATGTTTTAAGTTCTACACTTTTGTTTAAGGACTTTAGTCAAGACTCTTAAAAAATGCATCAAATCATAATATTGTTAACGCCTGTCAGCCTTTCCTTGGAGATGATCTTTCCTTACACTCTACTGAAGACGTTAATTTTTCTGATAGTTTTCTTTTCACTTGCTTAGTTTTCTAGTTAAAGCATTTGATGTCTAAACTCAGGCAAAGAACTCAGAAGCAAACAAAATAAGGGAGCAGAACAACGAAGCCCAGCTGAAGATTAAAGAACTGGAGCATAACATCAGCAAGCACCGCAAGGACAGCCAGGAAGCTGCTCACAAGGTACATGTACATCCATTCTGTCTTCTTTTTTTCAATAAGTTTAGACCATTTTTTGTCGTCCCCTAATGTTTTATCTTCCCCATCAAGATCAGTTCAACTTTTCATCTCACCTTCACTTTTATTAATTTCTTACCCCAGGTGTCCCAGATGCTGGAGGAACATGACTGGATCCAGACTGAGCGTCAGTACTTTGGCAAGCCCAATACGTCCTATGACTTTAAGACCAACAACCCCAAAGAAGCTGGACAACGGCTGAAGAAGCTGGAGGAGACCACCACCAAGCTGGAGAGAAACGTCAACAAGAGGGCCATGAACATGCTGAACGAGGCAGAAGAGAGGGTGAGGATAGAGATATTAAGGAGGCTTAGGTTGGTTAATTTTCTGTGCATACGACGTGTTTCAAGCAGCTGTTGTCCCTTCTCTAGTATAATGACCTCATGAAGAAGAAGAGGATCGTGGAAAACGACAAGGCGAAAATTCTGCAGACCATCGAGGAGCTGGACCAAAAGAAGAATGAGGCTCTGAACTTGGCATGGCAGAAGGTCAGCTCTTTCCTGCCAACCATTATCATACTTTCTTTTAGGGCAAACATGTGCAAATACATTATGACTGAATATACAGTTACATTATTTTTTTTTTTTCAGGTGTTGGTTTAGTTGGCCTTTTTGCTCTTCAGATCAAATGGACATTATTAATTTGTCATATAACCCGGCAATATAATCTGTGTCTGGAAATTACATCAATCTTTACTGAAATATGGAGATGTACAATGTCATGAATGTGACAGCAACTTGACTCTGAAGTGAATTTGTATTATATTGTAGTTATTGCTTACACTTTGTTATTCATCCTCTCTGTAGGTGAACAAGGACTTTGGCTCTATTTTCTCCACCTTGCTGCCAGGAGCCACCGCTAAGCTGGCTCCCCCACAGGGCTGCGGCGTCTTGGATGGCCTTGAGTTCAAAGTAGCCTTAGGAAACATCTGGAAGGAAAACCTCACTGAGCTCAGTGGAGGGCAAAGGTTAGTAAAAACATCATCAATATTTGTAAAATTAAGAACAATTTCAAAGTTTTTCATGTCAGGTCCTTTGGCATTAATCAAGTTTTCTAATCTCCCTTTTTTCTTGTTTCAGATCACTGGTGGCATTGTCTCTCATTCTCGCCATGCTGCTGTTCAAACCTGCTCCTATCTACATCTTAGATGAAGTGGACGCTGCCCTTGATCTCTCTCATACGCAAAACATCGGACAGATGCTGCGTACACATTTTAGGCACTCCCAGGTATGTTTAAAAAATAACTTCATACAGCTTCCTTTATTAACCTGAAATTGATTCAAGGGATCTGTTCTCATGTGACACAACTCGTAGCCACAGGTGGTTTTTTCAGTGAACAGATTAGCCACATTTACGAGTTATAGAGGCATCAATGTGTAAACCCTACATGAAACATCCTCTCATGTCATATCGTGTTTCATTTCTTTCTTTCAGTTTGTCGTGGTTTCCCTTAAGGACGGCATGTTCACCAACGCCAACGTCCTTTTCAAGACCAAGTTTGTTGACGGCATGTCCACGGTTACACGCACTGCGCTCAGCCAAAGTGAAACCAACCTTCCACAAAAAGGCCAAGAAAAGGCTCGCCAGAAAGACAAGCGGCACAAACAGCTTATTGGCTAACTCTTGCACTGAAACAGCTTATCAATCACAGCGACGCTGCTCCTGTATTTCCATCTTTGAAACCATATCGCCTAAAATGACAGGTTCTACTATTAACGTCTGCTATCATTTGTCTATATTTTTGTATTTCCTGGGGAGTAGAAAGTGAGATGTTCGCTAAAATCTTTGTGTAATTTTAACTGTTATATCTGTAAATTTCTTGGCTTTTCTTAACTGTGCTTGTCTCTTTTTATGGTCTTTTTCATGTACTTATGCAACAAATCTTCAGTTTTATTTGTGCATATATTTTAGTAAATAAAGCAAGTTTAGTATAAACATTTGACTGGTCCTTCTATTTCTCCAGACGTACTGTATGTTTTGACACTGTTTAAAAACAACATGTAGGTATTGACATTGTAATCCCTTGTGCCCCCTACTGGCCGTATAAAGCAGAACAAAATCTCGTTTTGGGCGAACTTAACTTTCTCCCTGGAATTTAAGAGAATTTTCTTACGGTGTACTCTTTTCACGTTGAGTGATTTCTAGCTGTGCCAAAAAATATTTGGGTTTACAAAATTCAAACCAGAGTAATTTATAAAAATCTGTTCTTAAATGAAAAAAAAACCTCAAACTGGTGTCTAAAAGTCTCATCGAAAATTAAATTGAAGCTGCAAACAAAACAGCAGTGCAATGGTTAGGAGCGCAGAGGAGTAGAGTGGTTATGAAAGAAAAATATACATGTCAGTATATATTACAAGTGGTTTTGTTTGTAGTTTCATATGATGAAAACAGGACTGTAATACCGACACAAGTACCTATTAAAGATGTCTGACAGCTGGTCCTGCAGGGATCATCTGCCACTATCACCTTTGCAAAATGCTGTTGTGAGGCAAGGCCCTCATTATATAGCGATTATTACACTCATTATAAAGCCTTAATTAAGCCTTTGTTACTTTAATATGAAACCTTTATTACACGCTTTAAAAAGCCCTTATGAAGCCTTCATTATTTATAACACCCTCTATAAAGCCTTCGACATCTTAATGAAGTGCTCATTAAACATTGATTACACCCTCTATTAATCATTTATTACAGTCTTTACAAAGCTTTCATTTAGCCTTTGGGACACCTTTAATCAAGCCTTCGTTAAGAATATATCACACCTTTTATTAAGCCTTTTTGGAGCCCTTTAACACCCTCAATTAAGAATTCCTTAAGCTTTATTACACCCTTTATAAATCCTTCATCAAGCCCACATTGAGCCCTTAATAATGCCTTTATTGAGTAAAAAATATGTGAAACATTCAATACATAAATGTTTTCATGCTTGGGTCCTTGACATGCATGGTAAGTGTGGGTCAGATCTGAGCATGCATAGCTGAGATAAAAACTACTTCCTGTTTTTTGGTAAAACACTTCACTGTCAGGGTTAGCCAAGGAAGGCCATGCCCTTTGACGACTCACACCTTTGGAAACTTTTGGTAACCCTTTCTTTTACGGTTCACTTATTACCATGTAATTAACAGGTAATTACCTAGTAACCCCCCCCCCCCCAACGCATCGCCTCCCCGTCCCATTCGCATCCTCTGGCCATTGCCCTCTCTGGTAATGCCCATCACTACAAAGACCCTTTTCCTTCATCGGCGTTTGCTGTTCTTCCTGCCATTGCGTGTTGCTTTCACTTACACTTGTCACAGCCAGCCTTGTGAGTGCCTGGCCTGGTTTGACCTTTGCTCACCATGATTGTGTGACCTTGGTATCGGCTACTTGGGAAGTTCCACCGTCGTGGCAAAGCTTTGTTTGCGTGCTGTGCTCAACCACCTATTTTCTATGGATGTGTAAGTAAACCACTTTCTTTTCTTACACAATGACACACTCATACTTATCATTCACTGCTACTGATGTGCTCTGTTAGTAAGCATGCAGGAAACCTGATGAATGAAGAAATGCCCAGACTAGCCAACATCTTAATAAATTATGAGGTATGACATCACTTGAATGGTTTCATTGGGCTATGCTTCCATTATTCTAATTCTGTAATAAAAAGAAATTTTGTCCAAAAGGACTGTTGTTGTTTTTTCTTCTAATAATTAACATATTTAACATAATTAACATTCAATATGCGCTCATTACACACGTGCACACTCTTTGATGATCTGTGAAGCAGAGCTTAAAGGACAGTAGGAGCAGTTGAACAAAGTGTATTTGTAGGAAAACCGTAAGAGCTATTGAAACGCTGTTTTCGAGGGTTGAAAGGTTAGGGTCTCCACCAAAGGTCAGAGGTCAAATAACATTTGTATCTCAAACTGTGACGTCACAGTCAAGGTCCAAAGATGGTGTGCGCACCTGTCTTTGGTCATTTCCCATTATAATGAATGGAAGGCGCAGTTTCTACCAAAACGCTTGCTGCAGAAAAACTACATGTCCTATTTGAAAAAACTCTGGACCATGAGTGAGGGCACAAACACAGCAAGGATATATCCAAATGGCAAGTTGCTCCTCTGTGTCCACATGGCTCAGAGGATAATGAGACTGCCTGGCACTCTTAAGGTTCTGCGTTCAAGCCTCACCTAACCCAAGTTGAGGTGAATTTTAAAGCCTTGTGTCTTCAAACGACAGTGAAATAGGAAAAAACCAGAAGACTCCTCTGTGTCCACATGGCTCAGAGGATAAGGAGACTGCCTGGCACTCTTAAGGTTGTGGGTTCAAGCCTCACCTAACCCAAGTTGAGGTGAATTTTAAAGCCTTGTGTCTACAAAGGGCAGTGAAATAGGAAAAAACCAGAAGAGTTCTCTGTGTCCACATTGCTCAGAGGATAAGGAGACTGCCTGGCACTCTTAAGGTTGTGGGTTCAAGCCTCACCTAACCCAAGTTGAGGTGAATTTTAAAGCCTTGTGTCTTCAAACGACAGTGAAATAGGAAAAAAGCCAGAAGACTCCTCTGTGTCCACATGGCTCTGAGGATAAGGAGACTGCCTGCCACTCTTAAGGTCGTGGGTTCAAATCTTGTACAGGGTGTATTTTAGAGTCCAGCAGCCAAAGTTCCAAGATAAAAGGGCACGAACATCATGCCCAAATGTGGATGGTATCCGGTGGTGCAGGGGGTATGCAACTGACACCTGAATGCAGGTCAGCTGGGCAGCCCTGGTTCGAAACCCGCTCAGCCCAGTGGTGTGGGCTTACCCCCCCCCCCCCCCCCCCCCAGCGTACAGGCGTGACACTCAACAATGTGTATTTTCACCTTAGGGGACAAGAAAAAATTGCCTTTTTTTCTCCTGCCATGGGGGGGCGCTCTTTTAGGGAGTAAAAATTCCTTCACAAATGTGTTACTGGCTGGACATTGCATCATCCTAGAAAACTTGGAGCCCAGTGAGGACAAAAATAAAAAGTTATAAGACTTAAGAATGTGGATTTTTGGGTTATCTTTGGCGCCCCCTAGAACCTAAACCGTGGGGTGCAGCGTCATGATTCGTACAACTTTTAATGGCCATGGGGTGTAGATTGGCCTGAGCAAATTTGGTGCTGGTGGAACAAAAGCCTTCGGAGGAGTTAGCGAAATTCCAATGTGTGCGGATCGGCAAAAAATCCGAAACAGCCCTTTAACGGTACATTTGACAGATACGCCCGTGCCGACTTTTTTGTAGATCTTATTGAGATACACGTGATTGTCAAATTTTGGGTCATTTAGACAAAGCGTACAGGCGTCAGGTGAGTTTTCACCTTAGGGGGCGCTATGAAGCCATTTTTCATTTTATTGTTTGGGCGACTTCAGAATATCAAATTTTTCACCAGGCCCGGTCGTCCTGCCAAATTTCCAGAGTTTTCGCCAGTGGAGAGTGGGCCATTTTCCAGTTTAAAGCGGAGGAAAAATAATGAAGAAGAACCCATACAGGAACAAGAGGGCTCTCGCAGCTGCTTAGCAGCTACGCTCGGGCCCTAATTATCTGGTAATTACATGATAACTACTAAGTCAATACTGTCTAGCTACCAGGTAGGTAACCTTCCATCATCATACAAATTTGAAGCCGAATTGCTCTGGTATTCCTCCGCTTCCTAGAACCACCACTTGCGCAGTGGCATTGTACGCATTCGGCGGGTGAGTCGCTGTGATAATGCTCGGCTCAAACAGCGTATCGCTACGCAACCTTCGCACGCCCATACGCTGTATCAAGTGTCAATCATAAAAAATAAGAACCCCAAATAGCTTTTGAAAATGGAGCTGCACAGAAAAAAGAAAAACTAGACAGTATTGACTTAGTAGTTAACATATAATCACCAGATAATTTTTATGTTGTTAATTACCTGGTAATAAGTGTGCCGTAAAAGAAAGGGTTACCACACTTTTTATGGCCCATGTCTCTTCTCGCTTAAAAATTTCTATGGAATCTACCCCTTGACCTGACATCAAAATGGCAGATTTCAACTGGACCTTCGCACCGCTTGGTGCTTTGGTCCTTCAGAAAAAAGAACATGAACTTGTTACTTTGATTTAGAATTAACTTGCAGGTCTCTTACCCATTTTGAGACCAATACTATGAAATCAATTATCAAAGATTTTAATACAGTTCTTTATTTCATCATGAATAAATTCAAACAGCATCATCTTTAAACAGCAGGGTTTTATTTTCACCATCATCACCTCACAATACAGCTCTCATCTTCGTCATCCAGCTTGCAAACAGGAGATATGTTTCAAAGACACACAGTGGCATATCTCAATGCCTCTCACCACTATTCGACCACAGCTATAAAACGTGAAGAAGCATCCACAACCTGGATAGTGCAACTTCAAACAGCTGACTCATCACCCATCTGTTTGCCAGTATGTGCAACCTGCTGTTCTGACATTAATTCATGAGTAGGCAAACCCACAACAGTAGTAAAAGTCCCCATTTGGGGTTATAGGTATATAGCATCCACAAACCCAACACATTGGTTTACATAGTATTTATTATCATTATCTTGATGTCCATTTAAATGAACCAAATAAAACTTGACACAGTACAATAGTAGCCCAGCCCTCCACCACAATCACGGAGTAACAACTGAGCACGGTGTGTTATCGTCTCTGAGTTTTAGAGTCAAGCATTGTTGGCCACAAACACAAGTCTGACAGCTCGACAGTCTGATGGAGTCAGCTTCAGAGCTCACAGGATTTTATGGATAAGTAGTAAAGATGTGTCTTAAAGATAGACCACTGAATCAAAAACAGACAGAGGAGTGTGTATGTGATGTGTTTAATATTATTGATAGATAAGAAAAAGAAAAGTTGATGCTTTAACTTTTAGTACTCTGTGGTGATGACTACATGTGTCCGACTGTCTTGTTGAACTCTGTGTGTGTGTGTGTGTGTGTGCTCAGGGTTGGCTTTGGATGTGTCTGCGCAGCTCCTGGGCTTTATCCTTCAGGTCAGGTCTAGTGTCTGACTGCAGCGTCGACAGGGAGCGCTGCAGCTGTTCCCGGCTCTTTGCAGACACACAATCCCACTGCTCGCTCTCTGTTGACACCGAACATGCAAAACAGTATTTCAGTGATGAGGATTTACCATCTTTTAAAGTAGAACTTATAAATTTATCTTCAAACATGGACCTCTCCCTTTAAGCGCATAACTTAGTAAAATTAAATAAGCGTCATACCTCCAGTTCTCTTTACGATCAGATCCACAACCGACAAGGCTTCTGTCCTCACAGAGGAGTAACTTCTATTTTCTGTCGACAAAAACAAGACAAGTAAGTTTCATTCAAAGATGAATCAGAGTGGAAACCATAGAGCAGCAAAAATGTGAGGCCCTTACCTAAAGGATACGTAAGAGCAGCACAGGTCTCTGTGAGGATCTGTGACAAAGCTTCACAGTCTTTATTGCCTTTCTCTAGAAGTAGTAACCTACAGAGAAAACACAGTGCATGTTAATTGTAGACTAAAAAAATACATCACCCCCCCCCCAAAAAAAACAAAAACAAAATTCAAATGTTATGCACTCTATCATCAATCCAAACAAATACAGCTCATTCAAAGTATAGGAAAATATTTGCATGGCTATTATGACGGGTCCTCACCCCTGGTAATAGGCCTTCATAGACTGTAGAACAGCAAGCTGGACTTTCCAGGTGCTCAGCTTCAGCTTCTCACACATTAGAGTGCAAACCTCCACCTGAAAACGAGCTATAGACACACATGAAGAGGTCATCATATTATTCTGAAACAGCCTCATCGCTTTTTTCCAACAGTCCACCAGCTTTTCTTGACCCGAATCATTGTGATTTACATTGCAGCAGTTCTGAAAGTAAGTTAGTTTTACCTTCAAAACTGTTACTTCAGGTTATATTATGATAACATCTTAATTCTATTTCAGATTTGTTTGAAAGTAGTGGAATGGGAATCAATCTCTAAGAGAAGCAGAGGTAGTAAATAGCTTAGAGTTGATTCCGTGTCTCAGTGCTGTACACAAATACCTTCACAAAAGGTGTGACATTACAGTTCAAGGTTCACAAGAGTCTGACACATGGGCAGTGATTACAGGAGGGAATCTAAAGTTCAGCAGGGTGTTCAATTCCAAAACTGGGTAAAGGAAAAAAGCATCATCCTCCGCTTCAACCTAGAAGGTGTTCATATAATCTAGGACTAATCGTTTTGAACATTAAGATGGATTTTATGTCAAAAGAAAAGCCTGGGAAAAGTGGTCCATGCAGCTGTAGCTTACCCTGAGTCTCTGGGTTTTTAGGCCAAGCCTTCCCCAGACTCTCAAACGCACAGAGCAGAGCTTCTGTCTGTAGCTCTTTCTCTTTTGTATCTTGGTCATCATCATCATCATCCCGTGACCTCGGTGATGCAGCACCGCTCGATGGGCAGCTCTGATAAAAACAGGGAGATGGGTTGAGCGATAACTTCTTAAAATACTGTCAAGTTATCATCATGACACTGCAACTACAAGTGAGTGGAAGTTGTTAAAACCTTCTTGATCAGAGGGAAAAGGATCTCAGCCAGATTGCTGAAACGGTCCTCCTGGCTGCTTTGAAGCACATCCCCTGCACAGCGCAGAGCTGCCGTTTTGTAAACCAGGCTCTCTTTTCGGCATTCCTTCAGAACAACCTCGAGCACCTCCGAGGTTGTGGGCTGACCCGCGCATGGCTTTTGCAGTTCCGTGCTGAAAGACGACGGATCGCAAAAGAAAATCAATTAAAAGGGTTTTTTCTTAAAAATAAAACAGGCTTTACAAAACAAAAGTACAGTAAAAGTCTCACATGCATTTGGAGACAACCGAGCCGATGGCCTTCAACAGCTCTTCCTGAAAAACAAAAGAAAAAATATCTTAGAAGATCAAATCAAAACTAACTTCTCTGTTACACTATTTCAGTGCTGTCAAGCGCGCTGTTACCTTTCCAGCCCACGTGCGTCCAGACAGTCCTTGCATTAGCGCTGTGAGGACCATGCCGAGGTGTGGCGCTACCAAAGAGCCCGTCTGCTCCTTGGCAACAGTTGCCATGGCAGCTGCACCCTGAGCCTTCATCTTCCAGGACTGGGATTGCAGCGCCTTCTGCGTGATCGCGATCAGCTCCGTCATGTAGAGTCTGATGCCTCCAAAGCTTCCTGGAGTCCAGGAAAAGTTTGAGAAAGTTTGAGCAGAACAACAAAGAAAGTTCACAAAGAAACAAAAAGTGAGTGTTTTCAATATATCTATATACTTTGTTGACAAATGAAATAACTCAGCCACTGCTTTAATAAAAGCGGCCATTTTTAAAGCAGTGTTTGAGTCACTATGTTATACAATGTGCCTCAAGCATCTCAACAACAGGGCTTCTCAGTAATGTTATTCAGCCAAGTTACTTTACAATATTACTTTAACATCAAATTAAGAAACAAACACACAATGAAACCGGTAAATCGAAATCAAGAATCAAATCGACTTCTAGGTATGGCCTGTATCAGTGTCCCACCAGTGTCATGGGTCGGTTATTGTTGCTGCTCTCACTGTGACAGCAGTGTTTGAGTGTAGTGATGCTTTTTCTCTGACCAGCAGCTCAGAGGAAGAGAGGACCAATATATGATTGTGTTAATAAATAACAAAGTGTCTGTTTTTATTCATAAACACTTGAATGATAAAGCTTTTTTATGCAGACCATACAGGCATCAATATGCCTGTGCTTGTCTAGGCCTTAGAAAGACAGACATGCGTCTTACTCATGCTTGTATTACTTTGAAGCAGAGGCGAGTTCTTTTTAGAGAAAACAGTAAAAGCCAGTAGCGACTTTTATAGTTGATGATAAATTTTCTGCAGTCTGAATGTATCACAGACCACCTATGACCTGTTGCACTACTAAAAAAACGGATCATATGAAGACATTTGAAGCTAGAGTCTGTTTAGGACAGGCTAGTGGATCACTGGTTATAAAGCTATGCTCATATTGCTAACTAAAATGCGTTTAACTAATTGATAAAACACCAACAATCCTTTTAATTATTTTATTTTATTTTATTGTCTGACCAGCGTCCAACCTGTAAACATGGTGAAGGTGGGCTTCATGACCTGCCGTATGACAACTATTTAGTAGAGGAAGCTTCAAATGTTTGGCCTTAGCATTTGGGATGCTACAATCCATGATTCAGATATGTAGGTTGGTCATACGTCCTCTTTTACCCAAACATGTCCTCTTTTTGTCCGGCCTTGTCTGGGGGAGTTTATAAGATCCTTCAAAGTCCGGGGTTTCATGTGGAAGTTTTGAGTTTGTGTCGTGTGGACTAACTGAGTTAGAAGCGCATAAAATACGCTCACCCCGACTCCCAAAATCTACTATGCGTGACTCCCTGACTCCGCCCCGCACAGTAGTGTCCTCTTTTTGGGGATTCAGAGTATGGTCACCCTAAGATATGAGTTTTCTCACCTGGGACGTTCTCCTGCCACACCTCAGTAAACAGTGTCGCATCATGGCTCTCTCCTTTCTCCTCATCAGGACCCGGAGCTTGATGCATACCCAGGAAGGCCAGAGGAAGAGCCACTCCAGCGTGGCCCTTCAGCACATCTGGACTATAGTGGCTGATGGCGTGCATAGTCAGCGCACATGAGGACTTGTACACTGGCTCTGTTAGGAAGAGAGATTTGAGAATAGAGAAGAATGTAGTCCGAGAGGTGTAATTTGGTCTTTAGGCTTAGAGAGAAAACTACAGATTTTATGCTGTTTTACCTTCTTTCTCGAGGTACCAGCTGTTCAGCTTCAGTAGTAGTTTCTCTACACTGCTGTCTTTCGCTGTCTGAGGGAAAACAAGCGCGCAAAAATAAACAAACCGTGCTTTCCGAGTCATTAAGAAAAATCTGTAGTGTGATTACTGGTGTAGGACTGCTAATGAGATTTAGTGCTTACCCTGACTAAATGTCCCAAAGCAAATGCATACTGTTTCTGTACTACACTGCTTCTGTCATGGATACCACTGAGCAATGCGCTCATCAGTTTACCTGCAACACAAAAAAACATCTCTTTCATGAAAAGAGTGCATTAAAAATTCAACAGAAAGAGAAGGACATCGTTTTGCATTACCTGAGTACGGGGTTAGGTCTTGAGGACACTGCACCGTCAGTGAAACAATAACACTAGCGCAGCCACCCTGAGACAAAAAGGACAGAGTGGATTGAGTTACTTTTACTGTCAAAAAAACATCTTTACAGACCAAGAATGATTGTGTTAAAAAGTGTTTACCTTTGTGCCCAAGCCTACTCCGCTCTTCAGCAGCTCACTGAGTCTGGGAACCAGCTCTCCCAGCACAGAAACATCAAGGTGCTGCAGACACTGTGCACAACACAACATACAACATATCTTTACGCTGAAGACCTCATGGCCTGACCTGTCGTATTTTCATACTGAAAACTTACATTTTTTCTCTCCATGAAACAGAAATAAACACAGAGAATAAAACCAGAATTTGTTTTCTCCTCACCATATTTATTGTCTCCATCATCGGAGAGGATTTGGCAGCGCTCAGCCTGGCAGCATCCATGGCACTCTAGACAGGCAGAAACACATTTGAACTTACAATACTGCGGAGGCGAACCCACAAGAAAACTAGGGCACACTGGTTCGAGTGTAGGTGAGTCGGAGGCTACCTTTTCCTGCTCTGTGGCTCGGAGACTGAGGTAGTTGAGGACCTGAGGTTCCAGGGTGCTGAGAGCCTCCAGAAGAGCTGGGATCAAACGGGCAGCATGAGGCTTTAGTCTGGCACCAGCAGTTTTACTGATCTTCACCAGGGTCTGGATACTGGAAGGGAATGAAACAGACAGAAATTCATTTGATAGGAATTTAATTAAAAACTTTCTTGGACTTACATACAGAAAACAGCGATTATGTTCATTTCCTCCATTTACTAAAGCTCAAGTCTTTTCATAAAGTCCTCATTATTGGAGTCATTTGCAAGAAACTATGGACCACCTGGCAGGCACAGGCAGATGAAATGCTGCTGTGGCAGCTGGCATACCTTATATTTCAATTTCCATCAATTTAAGATGTAAAGCGACCATATGTTTAATTAAATTTTGATTTAGCATCCCGACAGCTCACAGAACTTGAGCTGAAAATAAAAACCACGAGAGACTGTCTGGAGAGGTGGAAATATATGTTACAATTACATCACAACAGTTAAACATGCTGATGCTTTGAAGGCTAACTGCTCCGCCAGAATAAACATGACTTTTTAAAACTAATACTGATTTTTAACACGACCAAGTCTGTTCTTATATTTCACAATAATAGTTGCAAAACAGCTTTAAAAAGAGGAAGGAAAACACATGTTAGAGAGCACACTTCCAGCTTTCTATCAGCATAAAAATACAGATTCAGGAAATTTCGGGGGGTTGAACATACGCAGGTACAAACAATGTCTGCACACCCCCAAACAAAACAAAATCTGACACACAACTGTTGATCAAACAGCAGAGTCAAGTTGTAGATGAAGCAGGAGGCTGCTTGAAATTTTACTAATGACAAAGATCGCCTTAGTCCTCACTCTTTTAAATGTGTGTTGAACTTAAGTGATGGAAAGTTAGAAACCCTTTCTTGCACTGTGGCCCTTCAGATACTACTTTTATTTCCACACAGGAGACAAAAATCTGTAACTGAACTATAAAAAGACAGTCATAAAAAACAAAAGACCCACTCCAAATCATCAAATCAGAAATCTGCAGCCGTCTGCCAACAAATAAATCAGAAATGCTGCCGGTTTACAAGTTAAAAACTTTAATCAAAATAGTTAAAATCTGACTTTTTATTTGAATAACAGGCAGTAAATGTTACCTTAGTGAGCGGACTTCTGCAACATTGCTGACAATGCCTTTCTCCAACAGAGTGGGTAACAGTACAGCCACAGTCTTCTGGGCTCCAGAGCCAGTCGACTCACACATACGAGTACACACCTGGACAGAGACAAAGAGAAGGACACTGGATGTAAACAAGAACACAACATCAATGAAAAAGAATCATACGAGGAGAATTTTACACACACAACTTTACCTTACTGAGCGTCTTCAACGTTAAGTCTGCCGCTTTTCGAACGGACTCCTGAAACACCAAACAGTGGGATTCATATTGTAACATCACAGGAGGAACCCAAACACCTGCTGTATCGTGCTTACAGTGATGCTGATAGTTATTTTTACCTTGATGTCATCAAGGACTCTGAAAAGCGTCTCCCAAATTTCTGCCAGGTGATCGATTAGGTCGTCAGCCTGACGGCCACGAATCAGATCATTCAGAGCCAGGCAGCTTCAAGAAATAGAAATCATATCCCAGTTTAGGCCACAATAGGTTACACTTTTTTTTCCTCTAGTTACAACAGATCCTACAGTTGACCACATTAGAAATTAACAAAACTATAGCGCTCACAATGTTAACCATAGAGAGAAAAGCTCATGAACAGTTTAAAAAGTCTAACAGGTGAAGACACTTTCAGCTTATCCTTATAAGGCTTGTCCATTAGGGAAGAGTTTCTTAAAGTTTTTACAGTCTAATCTATACAGAGCCTTATTAGAAATGTACTGTTCAAATCAAATCAAACTTTATTTATAAAGCGCTTTTTATACAAAAGAATGTTACACAAAGTGCTTTACAGTCAGTTTGTTATCATACCTGGACTCACGGACTCTCCATGTGTTACTGGTCAAGTTTGAAATCACATCCTGCAGAATCTCATTGAGATACTTGTCCACCTGAAACGAATCAGAGCAAAACATGTCATTACTCGTCACGATACAACACCTTTATGACATGCATTGTTTTAAACACACGGAAGTACAGATATGTTTAGTGCGTTAAATCATTCATAGGTCTTACCAGGGTCTTGTCAGTGACCAGTGCATCCCAGATGCTGGTCATTGCCTGGCGTATACTCAGGTTTGGGTCAAACTGGTAGCGGTACAGACGGGGCACAAGTTGTGGCAGGAATGGAGCCAGCTGCTCCCCAGCCTTCGCTGCAATCATGTGGAAACCAAAAGCTGCACCCTGGGACGACAGAGAAGTTTCAGAAGTGAGATCATTCCAGCTCAACAGCAGAAACGTAAGCACACATTGAAGAAAAGCAAAGACGGTGAGTGGAATTCAAAGGCACAATACCTTACGGGAGTTCCACATGGCATGATGATTGGCCAGGTTCATGAATTTGTAGACGAGATCTGGTTGGTTGAGGTCACTGGCCAATGAGCAGAGCTCCTTATAGGTGGTCAGACCATGACTGCCAAGAGCAATTCAGGTAAGCAAGAGAAATACAACCCAGAGAAACAAACAGACACTTAAAGCCTTTTTCTCTTCAGCAACAGCAAGAGAAATGTCCGGTAGTAGTGACATTTGACCTACCCATCAGGAGTTTTCCCCAGACCTTCTCCCTGGAACACCTCAGTATCCTCTGAAACAGCATGTTTCACCCTGTGCAACATTTATGAAACATAAATTATATTACATCTTCATACACTGAAACACTCTTCTCCTCAATGCTGTTACAACCCGCAACTCTACATCACAACATATTTCTCTCTTTTAACAAAAACATCCACTCACCTTTTCCCTGTCATGAGTGTTTCCACCAGGGTGGACACCAGTTCCTGCTGGTCACCCTGTCCCCCCATCTCATAAACAAGTCCCAGACCTTTAGAAGCTACATCTTGACTCAACTCTATGGAAGACAAAAGAGACGGATTGAAAAAAGGACCAGGAATGGTCAAGACAAATGGAGTGATGGCTGTTTTGTGAAGCTGCAGCTATAGATCTAGATAACACAGGCTGGTACAAAACTCTTCTTACCATCAGGGTCTGAGAGAACAGAGATGAAGGCCACCTGGATCTCCTTTAAATGGGACTGTTGAAGAAAAGGCAAAGAAAAATGAACACTTTAAAAAACACTTTAAACATCTGACATTTTAAAAACGAAGATCGCAAAGTCTTAAGCTCCAAATTTTCAAATCAAATGTACACGTATGTACACACACAGTAAAATACACCCACTGTGATTTCCTTGTGTTGGCTGAGTTTCTTGACCAGGGAGAGTAGCCATATGCAGGCTGCCTGTCGGACATGAGGGTTCTGACTGGGTATATACTTGGACAAAATGCAGTCAAGGACCCAAGGAACCACATCATTGTTTTTCACATCTAAAAAGAGTGAGAGAAGTGCAGTGTGAGGGTTACCGAGTTGGAGCAAAAATCATCAATTCCTCTGTTTTGAGGATCATTGGGCATAAAGAGGTAACAGTGGACTCTTTAAATGTAAATCTTAATGCTCAAGCAATCTATTCCTTACTACCGTTAGTCAGATATCAAATATAAAGTCTGACTAAAAGCAACGTACAGCTGCAAGATAGATCACATTTCTTCTGTGAGCATTTATAACACCGTCTCGATCACTGTCATTATGCAGGGGCCAGCCTGGACACATACCTGTCAATCAAATGACTTTATAGAACTATCCTAAAAAGTGACTTAATTGTCTGTTATTAACATCGTCAGGCCAAGTCCGTTTCACTATTCAGCGCAGAACTGGATCAAAATCTTCAAAACGAAATTCAACAATTACATCTGGCAGTACTTACTCTGTGGGGGGGTGAACTGGTCCTCCGTGCAGGTCCATGGATCTCTGGCAGCTCCAGAACTGGTTCCTATTGCTGCACTGGTCACAGCTTCTCCAACTGTAAACTGCAGCTCTACCTGCTTAGCCTGAACAGAAAGATTAAGAACACAAGAAAGAAATAAGGAAAGCGGGGTTGATGGAAGGAAATCACACAGCCTTTTTGTGACCACTTGTCTGATCATATGAATAAGAGTATAACAGTACAAACGTACAAACAAAGGTTTATTTGTATTGGATTTATGAGATAACACATAGATAGCTCAGAGTTTCCATATGAAAAACAAGCTTTTTCTGTGCATCCAAGGACACTTTCAGTAAGAATTATTGTTGTTTCTGCAATGATTCCATCCTCATCAAAGTTACCAGCATTTCTTACCTCTACAAAATCCATCAAACCCTGCAGCAGCTTCTTCTGGTGAGGAAAGTCTCCATCTCCAACAGGTAGGTAACCCAAAGTCTGTATTGATCTCTCCTTCATCTGGACCGCAAATTAAAAACAAATACAAACAATATTATTGAGATAATCAATAACATACAGCATGGCCAGAGTAAAACCATTATCAGTGATATATGACTGTAGCTATTTCCATTTGTGGACCACCAGGATACCTTTGAGCTCTCCTTGCCAGAGGGGATCCTTGCCAGCAGGTTTTCTACTGTTGACAGTTTAGTGAAGCCCTCGCCGTCTGCAGGGATCAACAGGGGGCCATTTCGTCCGATTTCTCCCAGAGCTGTGCACGCTGCAACAGCCAGCAGAGCAGTACTGCTGTCCAGAAAGGAACCTGCACAGATATACATACACGTGAGAAGATGGACCAATACAGGGAGTTCAACTAAAGAAACTGTTCACAGTGAGGAAACAATGAAAGCAATATTATCCTAAAAGCAAAATAACTACATACCAATCGTCTTGGTGGCCATGGCAACAAGTTCATCATCTTCTTTGGGAATGACACTCATCTGCTGTTCCATGTCACGCATAGAGTCACTGGCAATGACTACTTTCCGCCTGCTCACGTACCGTCCCACCATGTAACCGAGAGCCAAGATGGCGCCATGCTGAGTCTCAGGGCTCTGTGGTTCATCAAAAAAAAACAATGAACATTTCCTCAAGGTTAAATCACTTATGTGTAAAATAAATATCTAAACAATAACTGAATAATCAGTCAGGAGAAAGAAAGTGCATACGTGGTTGTCTTTGGTGATTTTGACTAAGTTCTGCACTGCCATCTGCAGCTTGTTGCCCGTCATGGTGGCAACCACCAAAGCATACAGCTGTGCTGCGAGCTCCCTCATGTCCTCCTTATTCGTGTTCATCAGGCTCTAAAAAAAGAAAACATCTGTTCTAACAGCTGAATGCAGGAGCAGCTGGGAAATGTGAATTTAGCTCACAGTTTTATAATATCACAGGACAACCAAGAGGATGAACTCGTCGTTACGGGCTGTCAATATTTGTTCCAGATATGAACTGGAGCAAATATCAGTGTAAGGTTGTTTCCACCTGGATTTAAAACAAACATATAAAACATGAAATGGAGAAAAGAAAACTCACTTTAATCCAGTCGATTTTTTCTGTAAACCTTGGAGCCAGTTTTTCTGGGCACACAGAGACCACTTCCAGCAGACAGTACATAACTGGGATTCCTGTTGAGGGACCAAAATAGAAGTTTTTATTGTTTAACGTAACCTCATTATTAAAGTGTATTAAAGTCTTTAAAAAACGTATAGATCTAAACTTTTTCCTGTATCACTAAACTAAATCCACCTTTGATCCTAAAGTTTAATACACCTTAAGGAAAGAGCGATTTTATTCACTCACCCCCTACAGCAGACAACAGCTGCTGCAGCAGATCCATGTAGACATGAACAGGATTAGCCTCAGAGCCCTTTGACACTGCAGGCTGATCAGAGATCAGAAGTGTTTGGACGTAGCGGCCGATAGCTGGTGCATCATCCTGCATGTCTGCTAGGCGTGTGGACATGGGCGTGGCCCCGGCGCTGTGGGCCAAACACATCCTCAGGTACAACACGATCTGAGGAAACAAGAAAAATTACAAACCTTCTTTCTGGAAAAAATTAAAATGATATGAGGACATTTTTCACGTAATGTTTACCTCTGCAAACGCAGATGGGTTGAAAGGAATAGTGGAGGTTCCAACAATATATTTAGCGGGAGTCTTGATCCTCTGAGCCGCCTGACAAGATAAAAAGAGATTAAGGAACCGAAATGTTTCACATAGCAAAAATATCCAACTTATGATGAAGGTGTTAGCCTCCAGAGCCTCACCTTCTCCTGGACATAGGCCACCATATCAGGAAATGAGGGCATTGGCTTTGGTCCCTCTTTCTCTGAGCTCTTGGTGGGTAAAGCTCTCAGCACTCTCTGAGCCTCCCCAGCCACCTCCTCCCTCCTAGAAAACAGAAAAACATCCAATTTCAGCCTCTGCATTCATCAAGAAGGTAACTATTAGCACCTAAACACAAAGTCTGACTCTTTTTTGTGCAGTTTTAAATTTACTAGGTGTTGGAACTCACGGGTCTCCAGCTGCCAGAAGCAGCAGGTATCTCGATGGCACATGATCAGGAGCGAACACCGTGCTGGCAAACTTCATAGCCACCTGGCGAACTTGCACCTCCGGCTGCCAAAAATGTAATCAATCAAGGGTGATCAGTTTACCTCAGACCAGATAAGTCAGGTGTTCAATTTCAGTGTTCATTTCCTTTTTGAAACTAAGATCTATTCTGCCAGTGTACACTCACCTTTACTATGTAAGCAGCCACCAGGGCCTCCATCAGGTTCAGCAGCGCCCCCTGCAGGTTAGCATAAGCCCCAACCATCATAGACAAAGCCTCCTGGATAGCAAGGCGGACATCAGGCTCCTCCTAAAGAAGATTATTGGCACTGTCAATACCTGGTTCACATCAATGCATACTATGGCAGAGAAGCTAAGACATGTTATACATCAAACTAGGATTACTAGTTTTCTTTTTAATTCATTATTGTCTCCTGCTGAGGGTTCACCGCATATAATGTCAGTTTACTGAAAGATCTACCTACCTTGCACATGGACTCAAAAAACTGCTGTACAAGCGCGATATCCTTAGTGAAGAGCTGTGGCATGCGGCTAGAGAAGGGAACACAGACAGGTATTAATTCATAATTACAAAAGTACACAAAGCTTATCATGTTTAACAGGGAAAAAAAGAGATTTTTTTTCATGATACCTTGACAGTTTTCCCACAGCAGAGTAGGCAACACAGAGTAACTTTGGATCCTGGAATGACAAATGTGGCAGAGTAAGTCAAATCTGTGTAAAACGTTCAAGTTACAGATAAATAAATGTGTTGCCAATGGTAGTGTTACCTCCTTGTATTCATTGATGAGCTTGGTGAGACCGTTAAGGAGCATCAGTCCCAGAGGTTTATTGGAATCAGGACATCTGAAAAACAAAAACGGCCAAAATCTTTTTTTGAATGGACTCAGATCTTTAACATTCTACGAAATGATGATTGGAATTATCTGAAAAACAAAAAGGAAAATTGGCGCCATTCTTACACCATGCAGATGTGATGGACAAACTGCAAGGTGAGAGACAGCAGTTTGTTGTTTGTGCTGGCTCCAAACAGACCGTCATATACAACCTGTGGAGAAATGGAGGGTAGTTACAGTGACGCAAAATTCAGCTTTTAAAAAAGATTAAAAAAACACGCATGAGGGGAGCTCTTACCTGAATGTTGGCTGGAAAGCACTCTGCGGCGAGGCGGGAGCGTAAAAGATGTGGCAGGATTTTTAGCTTGACTCTGGTGCTCACAGGCTCATGCTTCAGTTCTTGCTTCATGTTGCCCCCCTAATCCAAGTGAAACAGAGGAAGCGTTACCATCTTAACATTTAGAAAGATACTCACTGTTAAAAAATGTTGGGTTTACAAACCTTTGTTTTCAAAGGAACATCCCCCAGATACACCTTGTACATCTTATTGATGATGAGGGGATTATTCCAATCAATGATGCTGAAAGATCATAAAAATACAACAGTGTTATAAATATAAAAAAAGTCTTTTGATTGATATGAACAGCAAATGCTCTGAATTAGTCTGAAGCCTTATAGACTTCACTGAGTTCTCGTTATCACACTTGTAAACCTGAGATGATTCAAGCTCCACATACCTCTGTTTACTCTTCAGCTCCAGATCCGCAGCTGTGGCTACACTGTGTCGTGTGTCGCTTGATGCCACCACCAAGTGCACTACTGTCTCCACCTCTGGGACCTGCTTGGCTTCGATGAACTTCACTATGCCCAGCTTGCACTGCAAAGAACAAAAACAAAATGTTATCATATGGTCATATAGATTTATGATACTCTCATGTTTCCTTTAATCATCATGAAGAAAATTCAAAATTCAAACACAAACATCACACTAAATTCACTGGACATTAAATCCAACAGTCTCTGCATTAAGGTTAGAGACTAGCTCTGTCCAACAAGCTGTGTCCCATACCCTTCCCTTATATTTATCTATTTCACCTGCTCCAACTGCTCAGCACTCCACTGGGCTTCTCCAATCACCCTCTTGGCAGCATAGACACTCATCCCTGGGGGGGGCTGAGGGAGACCACCTGTACCCACTGTCCCGTCTGCAGAGCCTCCCTGGGAGGAGGAGGGAGCGGGGCGAGTCGGTGATTCATTGAGCACAAACCTGAGAGGGTAAAATGAAGGTAATAAAATATTATTGTTCAAATGCCGTTATATGTCAAAGTTAACAACTAACACACTTACATTAACGCAGCTATACAGTTATAGAAAAGACTCAAGCAGAACTTACCCATAAGGCATTAGTAAAACATCTAACATGAACTCTAGCAGCAGCTGCACTGTCTTTGGCCTCTCTGTTAGGTTGAATGGAGAAGCAATCTTTGAAGTGTCTGCAGGATACTTCATATGGTAGAGAGTGGGGATCAGCAGGTGCATCAAGCTAAGAGAGGGGAGAGACGAAGGGATGTGAGAACTAGCACCGTGACAACAGTAAACTGTGGATTAAAGTAAATACGTTTGTGCATCTTAGGGTGTGTCAATGTGTGTTTTTCCTCACCTGTCCTGCTGAGGCTGTGGTTTGCCCTCCATGGCAGTGAGAAGGGTGGGGGCCAATTCACATTGTTTTCCAACCTCCAGACGTGGGTAGCCCATTTTGATGTAGATAATTGTGAAATTCTGCAAATCATTAACACAAAGATAACTTCCTTTTCCTTAAATTTCTAAATCAATACTTAAAAAGACATTTTTTCTTATTTCTGAAAGGTACAAAACATAAAAAAGAAGAGAGAAATTTAAAAAAGTCTGGATCACATTGTCTCCACAAAACCAGTCAATATCTAAGACCCATTCACCGGGGCCTTTTCTTATCTTGTTACTGACATGTAAACAGCATCTTTTTCTCTTCTTATTCTATGTATTAACTGCTCGACACTGTATTTCATAAGATGGTTCCGCTTTGAGCCATCACATTCCAATAGCTTTTTTACAGGCAAAAGACAAGAACTCTGTCCACTGGACCACACAATGACTGTACTGTCAGGTCAAACTGCCATTTATTTTCATCCTTGGAACTGATTTGGTCAAGATTTTTAATACACTGAATGGCTGTCATTCAATCCAAATTTCTCAAGCTCCTGATATAGAAAGCTCCAGCTCACACTGACGAAAGCTTCTCTGCTTCAAGGCTTATCAAGTCTGCACTGATATTATTACATCTATCACTCTAAATGAGCTGTAGTGTTCATCTTATGTGAGCAGAGGTTTGGCATCATTTGATGACGCTGGTCCTTATCTACAATATAATTTATAGGTGCTTTTAAAAAGAAAAAACTAAATTTGAGGAGCGTCAAGTTTTGATTTTACATGTTTTCCTTACCGTAACGAAGGAGGCAGCAGCGGGATCCTGGTACTGTACCAGCAAAGTTTCCACTGGAAGCTGAATCTTTGGTCGGCTCTTTATCCTCTTGTTGAGATGGACCAACAACTCCATTACCTAGAAGAGGAGCCATAGAAAGTTATCCAGCTATTTCACTGGTGTATGAAGAAAACACTACAGCCCTACAGGAAAGTTTTGTGGATTTAAAATGACTAATAATTGAGGGGTATGTTCTGCAACCTGATACGGTAATTATACACATCTTTATGAAATGTTGTGGGAGCCATAGGCACCCACACCAACAGAAAACACTGCTCTTACTTTCTTTCGCACACCCTCTTGGACACTGGAGAGTTTGAGGAGCACAGGGGGAAGAAACTTGGAAATAATATCCTGTAGCTGGTCATCTGTTTCAGCATGGCCCAGGCGGAGAAACACACGCTCCAGTTGATCTGTAACAACAGACATTTAATACTTTGATCAGCTGTAATCTTTCGATTTCTCCTGTATGTTTGACACACCCAAAGAATACAGACTTATCATCCAACACTTCGACTAGAATTCATTACAAATACTTCTCTCTTCGCTGTAAGCAACAATGATCTATGTATATATATTATGCAAAAGAGAGCAATAAGGATTGTTATCAAGGTAGGATTCTTCCATCATACTAATAAACCGTTTCTGAAATTAAGAGTATTAAAATTTGCCGATCTAGTTGAATTTAGAACTGCACAGAAAATGTATAAAGCTAGTAACAATCTACTCCCTAGTAACATACAGAAAACGTTTGGTGGAAGAGAAGGCAGGTATGTACTGAGAGGGGAACGAAATCTAAAACAACCAGACTTTTGTACAACACTAAAAAGTATATGTCTCTTTTTGTTGTGGGGGTGAACTTAAACAAAGTAAAACAACAGCACAGTTTAAAAGTAAATTAAAGCAGAGTATGATTGAAAAATACTTAGAAAAGTGATTATAGTTTCTTTTTTCTGATCCTACGGGAGCTGTTCTTCCTGTTCATTTGCAGAGGGTCATTGCCTTCTCCTTATTAGTTACATGCTTGATTTTATTCAAATGGAAGGCTGCTACTCCTCCATCTCATCACCACTGGATTAGGGACGTTATGCAGAACCTTAAGATGGAAAAGATCAGATGTACCCTTAACGGATCCATCGACAGATCCCCCAAAACCTGTGACTCTCTAATAACTTATGTGAACAATTTACCTGGTCTGGAACTGGAACTCTGAATCATTACATCTACCCTTGAACAAATTCCATAAGAAGTATTAAGTGCACTTGCTGTTTTTTGTTTTGTTTGTCTATTTGCTTTTTTTTTTCCTTTTTGAGCTGCCTCTGTCTATTATCGGGACTGTTTGCTATGGTTACTTGTAATACAGAGAATATTATTGTTTTATATGTTAACTGAAAATTACAAATAAAGTGTTGAAAAAAAAAAGTCATTTTCATTTTGCCACACTTAGTATATTGTATATGGGTATGGTACAAATGAGAGATTTGAAGTATTCTAGGTATTTATGTAAAGTGCATATTTGTGTATGTATATGTGTACATAGGTATGGATGTATATATGTATATATATGGTCTGTGTTTCAGTATTTCATGTTAAACTTTGGAGCTTTGGTTACTTTTTGGCGACATCAGAAAATCTAAAATTCTAGAGACATGCAAAGGGTAAACGAATAGGAAGGAATGAGGGTAGGTACACATAAGCTAAATAGCATTGATCTCCAAAAAGTAGGGAATTTCTTGTCTAAAATTGTACTGTCTGTACATTTGATCGAATGAACTATCTCTCTCTCTCTCTCTCTCTCTCTCTCTCTCTCTCTCTCTCTCTCTCACAATAAGCACATCTAACCTATGCAGCCTTCAGCTTCATCCAGGGGGGATAAAAACTTGAGGCTTTTCTGCAGGAAAGTGAGAAGGTCCCCTAATTTATATTGCTCCAGTTTTTGGCCTATAATCCTGCTGTGTTGGTGCAGCAAACTCATCCCTGCATGGCTCACTACTCAGCTAGCTTCAATACATGACACACTATCCTCCTATTAAATCATTTCTACGCGACGACACCGACTGTGACATCCCGTGGAACAAATCATCACTGAGCTTAAGTATCCTGGAGTAAATCTGCACCTTAAAAGTTTGATTTGTGAAATATATATATAGCCTGCGTGATAGTTTCATTTTGACCATGACTGGGCAAACGGCCTTCTGACGTTAGCTTTCTAGCTAGCAGTATAGCTCAGTAGCTAGCAATCATTCATAGCAAATTTTAACTACAGCTGCAGATATCCTTTCAGGAAAAAATCCACAGTCGTCGCAGTGATTCAGACCTGTTATTCAGTGTATGTTTAACAGTCATAGGCACGAAAATTTTTGGAAATTTTGATCAGAAATAACGGAGAGAAACTTACTGAGTTCATCCTGGGCAGCCATGTTTGCAGACAGTCATCAGCGACCCTCCCAGTTCACAGAGTGTCACTGCACGCGCTAGTGCCACTCCTCAGCAGCTGCTTCATCACATCACGGATCACCAGGGCCCACAGAAAATTGTGTTTTTTTCCAGGTTCAGTTTTATTTTCACCAAATTTAACTTTTTTTGTTTATATTTTGGCTTTTTTTCTGAGAATTGTGTTTAAATCTACGGTGGCCGAGAACCGCCACTGCTGTAAAAAAAAAAAAAAATGCCAAAAAAAAAGTCACAACGGAAGTTACCAATGCAAAAAACAGAAACGGTGCAGATTAAAAAAAAAACACAACGGAAGTTAATGGCGCAAAAAAAGTGGCGATGCAAAAAAAAAAAAAAAAGATGAAAATTAGCTTTAAGCTAACTGCATCAAATGGTAACATAATATTGTCCATGGTCCGATTAAAGATAACATAAATCTAAAAAAAATATATAGGATTAGTAGTTGGAGAAAGTGTGTGTTTTTTTTTCTATTACTCATCTATGAATGTTTTCAAACTACTTAAATATGCTTACCTCATTCATCTTTCAACTCCAGACAACATGAATGACATAAATTGAAGTAGCCTTTAAACACAGAGATGATGGCCTAAGAGTTAATGAAGAAGACTGTTGGTCAACTTACCCCGTGTATGGGGTAAGTTGAGGTGCATCCTTACTACCCCTCCGCTCTCCACCCCAGCCCTCCCTCACCTTCTCTCCCTCTTAATAGCAGTAACTTGTTCACATTCATGTGTATTTTCATCTATCATACGCTATTCATCTGGTACAATAATCTTTTTTAATTATTATTATAATTTTATAAAACTGCTAAAAATCTGTTTTGTAAGAAGCCATTTTAACATGAGAATGCCTTTAAGTGATTCAGAACATTCACAGCTGTATTTTTGAAAAGAAAAATTAACACATTTCAACAATCTGAACTGAAACTCTGATCCTCTCATCGGACTCCTTTACTTTCTCAGTTGAGTCACTGGCTCAACTTACCCCAGAACTATTATTATGACTTCATTAGTCCTCTAAGCTAAAACGGTGGACCTTTATGCTAGGTTTTTGACCTCATGTTGTAGCTCATAGATACCACAATTTATGTATAAATCAAATTTAAAATGATCTTTTTTGGTCTGAACCATAGACTGTAACTTGGTTCCACCTTCCACCAGTATACGGATTTGAAGCCAAAAAGCTCTCGGTAATTCTGTGTTTTTCTCTGTTTCCTGAAACCAACATTGTGCATTAACATTGTTCGCATTTGGTGGGAGAGTGGCAGAGAGTCGCTGTGATGACGCTCGGCTCAAACAGCGTATCCCTGGGTGAGCTACACAATCTTCGTACGCTCATAGGCTGTATCAAGTATCAATCATAGAAAACATGAACCTCCTGATAACTTTTAAAAACGGACCTTCGCAGAAAAAAAGAGGACTGGAGCACAAACCAGTCTGACAGTAACTTCATGTCAACATTGCAAGCAGGGGGGGAGAGAAAATATGTTCTGTGTAATTCTAATAATTCACAATTCTAATAAAACTTATGACAGACTTTTTCAGAATTTTTCACTTTCAAGGGTGAAAAATGTTTGTTGGAGGGGAAGCAAATGTATAACCCCTTCACCCATGTGCCTCTAACCTTCACAGACTCCATGAATTGATGCCCATCGCCTAAATATTCGGTCACATGATCAATTTTTTTTTACCATTTCCAAGCAACAGGGGGTGGCTTAACTGACCCCAGTCCCCCCTACTCAGTTGAAAACATTAATTTGATGTTATCTGGTGCTTTAAACTAAAAAAACACACAGACACTTAGACAGGCATTGAGAGCATTAATACAAATTCATATAAAGACAACAAAACTGAAGAACTGGAGATGAATCCGACAAGTGCAGGTTTTTACCAATGTTGGTGACGTTCCAGGTGACCACGACTTTCACTGAATCGCTGATCTCAAAGTATATGGAACGCCTCACCGCGCGACAGTCTGATCGGAAACAGGCTCGTGCTTGCTGGCACGTTGACACGCAGCCCTGCGGTCTGGAACGCCTCCTTTTTTTTCTCCACGGCTGAGAGCAGCAGCGGCAGGTAGAGCAGCTGTCATGTGAATCAGCTGGACGAACAAGGAAAGGGATAAACAACAACACTAACACTTCTCAATCAAGGTAAAGTACTGCACACATTTCGAGAAGAGCGTGTGATTTAGCTAAATCTATGCATGCTGCTTTAGCGGACTACCACATCGGGCGAACATAGTAATCGATTAATCAGAAAGCAGCGTGTATTTCGTGAGTCCTGTGCAGAGTTAGCAAAGCTATCATCAGCTAACCTTAGCGCTAGCAACAAAATAAGTTAATAAGCGCTCGGTTGCCGATCGGTCCCGTGCCGTGTGCTTCGTTGTTGCATATCTGTCTTTATTTGTACCAAGAATATGTCTGTAATTGATGTGTACTTTTCATAAATACTGATTCAGATGTACCAGACAAAGTCACACAGCGTCAAAGCTAGCATCGGCCCTGTCTGCAGCCACCTTGCAAGGGACATTTAAACCCCATTGAGCCCTGCATTAAGAAGTTAGCTAGCCTGTGGATAAGCTAGGTTAGCTTTATAGTTGATGTTTCCTTCTCTTTAACACAAGCGAAGTTATCCCTGAAGCACTCGCGGTTCAGGTTATATACACACATCACATTTATTTCAATGAATTTCCCTTGAGTCTGTCTTTTTTTTTCTATATATATCATAATGTCAGCCGTGTGAGCTAGCTAGCCGCGCTATCTGCTCAGCCGTTACTTTGCATCATAACAAACGCTGGCTGGTTAGCAGACAACAAAGATCAGCAAAGCTTCGGCTCATGCACTCATATCATCGAAATTATGAGCCTTTGCTTAAAGTGGTTGTAACAGGTATTCTGGGGATTAATAGTTCATACTGTAGCACACACGGTTAAAGTTATCTATGTGACAAATACACGCTTTATATCTAAACAAAGGGTGGTGTTTTAACAGAGACTGTGAATAAATAATGGAGTTGATCTTTTTGTTTTCACATCTCGCTTAGTCTGCTTATGTCTATTACATAATCGAGCCGCACGCCATTGAAGTGTGTGTTTTTCAGCGTCGTGGGGTTTATAGAGGCAGAAACCACAACAGCGTCTCCTCATCATGAGGCTGTGTCTTTGTCTGAGTGATCGGGAAAGTCAGAGTTTGGAGTGGGATGGGTGGATGGGACAAAAATCTGAAAAGGGTTGTGTTGTTGGCATCAGAAAGGATCAGAGGATCAAATCGACATTTGTTGAATCTCTTGCTCCATCTTGTGGTAAAGTCACGAGTAACACGCGGCTGCCTCCTTGGTGCTGTTACACAACATGTTTAAACAGCAAATTAACAAACTCAAGACAAAGGACGTTGCAAATTGAAACTTAATTGAATAACTAAGTTAACAATTAAATTAAATCAACTCTCAGAATTTAGTAAAACCACAATGAATAAATGCAACAGTTCAATTCAATTCAACTTTATTTATATAGCACTTTTCATACAAAAGAAAAAAACAACAATAATGACAAAAACCCAGCCCTTCCAGCCACACACACACCCATGGACCCACACGCACACAAAGACACACACACACCCTCACTCACCCACACATACATACACACACACACACAACCGCACATAATGTGAGACATCACACCGAGACATTACATGAGGAAAGAGCTACCTTTAGGAAACACTGGAGGAGATAAAAATGGTAAAAAGAGTAAAACCTGCTGGACTAAAATAAGAAAATAATCATATTAAATGAACAAATAAGTAAAAAGGGTAAAAGAAGTAAAAACCTGTGACGCGAAATTAAGAGAAAGACTAAGAACAGAGAGAATAAATAGAATGACGTAAAATTAACAAGAAGAACTTTGATTAAAATGAACATTTGCAACAAGAGAAATCTAAAATGGCAGTTAGTAAAAAGCCTGGTTAAATAGGTGTGAAAATATGGAACAACTGTCCGGTAGAAATTAGAAAATGTAGTGCTCTGGTAAGCTTTAAGAGACTTTACAAGAATAATGTTATTTCTCAATATTGTAGAGAAAATAATGTATGCTCATTAATGTAAAGTGTAAAGCATGTTCATTACTCTATCTGATTTGAAGAGTTACATATTGAAGTGTTGATATTTGTATAAAGAGAGTGTATCTGTACAATGTACTCAATGTATGGTATAAGGGGTAGGTCTTTATAAGCACTGCTTCTGTCGACACCCTTTCAGTCATATTATACCGAAATAGATAAAATCATTCATTCATTCATTCATTACTGCAAAAGGTGATCTTGTGCTTAACTTCTTTTGTTATTAACATGACTTTGATTCTGCCATAAACACTAATTGATTCAGTGATTGCGGTTTTTGAGGAATTAAATTGTGGCAACATTAAAGATCAGTGTAATGGTCAGTGTTTTGATAAAAACCTGTTAAATGAACAATAAACCAACAGTCAGAGACATTCAAAGAATTTAAACAAACAAATACTGTTTTACAATTACTGGTTTATTCTACTTTTGTTAAAAAAAAATGTAAAGTTTCCAACTGTTGGTCTTTTCTTTGTTTAGTTCTCATTTAGTTAAAAGTGAAAAATTTCTCTAACATGTTCTAATTCTTGCCTTTTGTTTATCTTGTAAAAAAAAAAAGTAAATAGTATTTATTTATTTACCACCTAAATATATTTGTCCCCACACCCATTATTTGTCTCCATAAGAATTTTGAATGTTCCATTTAAGGATTCTCTTGTTTATTCAAAGGTTTGATCCGGTGAGGCGGCAGGATGGCGGGAGCAGAGGTGTTCACCCCTGCAAACCCCACCTGCAAGATCATGACGTTCAGGCCCACCATGGAAGAGTTTAAGGACTTCAACCAGTATCTGGTGTATATGGAGTCCCAGGGGGCACACCGTGCAGGCCTGGCTAAGGTGAGTTATTCAGAGAAAAACATGTCTGATTTTATAGAGTTTGAAAACTATTTTATAAAACTGAGTGATGTATTTTGCTCTAGCCACTGGGTTAAATTTTGTTGGCCTGACTTTTGCAAAGCCTAGTCACACAACAATTTTTTCACAAGAATATATATTACAGTTTTCTGTTCCTGTGTTAGGTTGACTGTCAGTTCCTCTTTTGTTTTTGTCTCAAAGGTGATTCCCCCTAAAGGCTGGAAGCCCCGCCGTACGTACGACGACATCGATGATCTGATGATTGACGCTCCCATACAGCAGATGGTAGCTGGACAGTCAGGGCTCTTCACTCAATACAACATCCAGAAGAAACCCCTCAGTGTGCAGGAGTTCAGGAGATTGGCTAACAGTGATATGTGAGTATTATGTCATACCTAAACTGTCTGTGGGGTTCTACTGATCTTGTTAGATGAAAGAGAAAGTACTTGGATTTGACATTCACAAATAAATGCTTTCAGAGAAAAGAGTTAGCTTTCGTCCTTAACACAATTATTCAGTCTGATATGATTACAGTGAAAAAATAATGAGTATGCTGTATCTAATAAAACTGTTTCAAAGAAATAGAGACATAAATGCCAACAACATCAAGTAAAGGTGGATGTCAAATAATTATTTTTACAGTCAACAATATTTATGTACTAGTTTTCACAGCTATAGTTTTGATTAATACTGGTTTGAAATCATTCATAAGGGTAAGAGTGGTTCATTTCACATTACCAAATGTATTGTCTCCCTTTTCCGCAGGTACTGTACGCCTCGCTACCTGAATTATGAAGACTTGGAGAGGAAATACTGGAAAAACCTCACCTTTGTCTCGCCTATATATGGTGCTGATGTCAGTGGCAGCCTTTATGATGAGGTGACAGACCTTTTGTTCGGTTGATACTTTCTTCTGTTTCTGTTCCAACATTGAAAAAATCAGGTTTTGAATGTTTATTTCTGCCTCAGTTTCTTCACTCCCAATACGATAGCTTAATAAAAGATATTGTCATAATTACTACTGGAAATCATTTGCTGACTTGGATATCTTCCTCCTGTCCCTAAATCTAATGCTATTTGTTATTAGCTGTTCATTTCAAAGTAGGGATGCTTAGAATGACTTGACTAAAAGCAACACATAAACACAAACAATAGGTATCAGAAATCAGTTCCATCTGGATCACAAAGAGATAATTGGATTTAGGGATGCATTGCCAGTCCCTGGTATTTATTGGTATTTAAAGCCATCTAACTGATACTTTTTTTAAAAGGATGTGGAGGAGTGGAATATTGGCCACCTGAACTCCATCTTGGATGTTATTGAGGAGGACTGTGGTGTATCCATCCAGGGGGTCAACACTCCATATCTATACTTTGGCATGTGGAAGACCACCTTTTCCTGGCACACTGAAGATATGGACCTGTACAGTATCAACTACCTGCACTTTGGAGAGCCCAAGTCTTGGTGAGTGAGGGGATGAAGCTCTGGGGATAAAGACCTCAACAAAACACTTTTAACCTCTACTAGACTTCCTGTTGTACTTGTTAGGCAGCCCTGATTATGTTGGTTATGCCCACTTTTATGTTTTTCTGGAAATGCTGCTGCAGATTTTTTCTGCATATAACATTTACTGTGGTAAACACTGCAAATCGAATAGGCTAAGTCAAGTCAACTGAAAACATTGAGGGTCCCAACCCTAAACCACCTTTTCTTCCTCTCTGTATGATGCTGAAATAGAAATAAGTCTTGTCACTGCTCATGTAGGTTATCCAGACAACAAACTTTCTCTCCAGTTTTAACTTTAAAACAGAGCTGTTGTTTTCAATAAGCTGTTGTAATATGACGCAAATGTAGGTTAATACTTTCCTATTTTCAATCTGTTCTTTTTATTTGCACAGAGTTGATACCAGTCAGGGCTGCGAAATCCATCTTGTGCATCCTCCATTCAGATGCTTTTCATGATTCATTTTTATGAAGTGTGTTTAAATGGGGAATCACAAACAATTTCATAGTTTTCATTTGATTGACTCTGCCATTCTGTTCCATATTACCCCAGGGTTTTGTTCTCCAAGTGCTGGTCAGGGTCTGAGGAGGTGGTTATCTGCAATAAGGGATGATACTCTGAAGCAGGCATGTCAAACTCAATATGGCCCGAAATATCATTATCTATGCCCACAAAAAGATTTTACTACTAAAGCACTCCCACCACTCATACTACAAGTCCCATAATGCACTGTAACAGCTGCTGCACCTGTTAGACCTGTGCATCACCCCCTCTTCCCGACACACAGGCCCAATCCCAAACTGCCCCCTACACACTCGCCCTTCACTACCGAGTGTCACTAGTAATGAAGTTACACTCACAGCTGTGGAGTGCGCCTCATTCGAAAATGGGAGGGTATAAACAAGACGGGCAGGTATGGGACGCCCTCCTCACTCCACCAGAAAACGGAACGATTCATCGCCATAACAACGTAAAGACGCGTCCTGTGCAAGGTAGCGTTTGTTTTCTTAGTAAATGGACATCATGTACAGTTGTGAGCCGCACCGGCTGCCTGGTTTCTTTATCCTCCCAGTAAAATCATAAATCCAGCAACCATCACAGTGACAGGAGCTAATTTATACTTCTGATCATTAGTGATTCCTCACATCTGTAAACCCCTTTACTATTTGACATGTGCATGCACAATCAAATCAAACCTCAGCACAGAGGAAGATTTCCGACATCCGTTTGGTCTTTCCAAACCACGTCTTTTGTGATTTTTTTTGTCAGGAAGACAAAGGTGGACACATACGGAACTTATTTTTGTGTGTTGTTTCCTCCTCCTCCATTTATGCCGGCGCACTACCTGCAAATCCTGTCGTGAGTGTGCATCGGTGCAGACTCGCTATTGAAGGGCTGAACGGTCCACTCGCCCTCCCCACTCTGTGGTTTGGGAAGGCCTTAAATATGGCGGAGCCTTTGTGAGGACGTGCAAATGGAGGGAGAGTGTATAGGGCGAGTGTGTAGGGGGCGGTTTGGGATTGGGCCACAGATAGTTAGTCACTTGATGAATACAATGTCCAGTGCTTTTATGGTGACTTTTAAGTAGACTCTGAGAACAGGGACTTTTAAAGTAGGTGGGGGCCAGAATACCTGCTCACTGACATCGGAGGTTAACCTGTTTGAGGAGCTATTGTGGCTTTAATTAAAGAATCCATCAGTAGATACCATCACCAGACAAAATATTGATTACGGACATGTATGACGCAGTGGAGGCTTTTCAGGTCAAGCTACAGGAGAGAACGGGAGTACCAGTTGAGAGTGGAAGTGATTTAGAATAGCTGTAAACTTACTGTCTCCACCCAAATATAAGACAACTATTGTTATAAGATGAATTCCCACTTTCAAAACTTTTTGCAAAAAGATTCGTTGAAGACCAAAAATGTATTTATCAGCAATGAGAAAAAAAGAAAAAAAAAAACAAGAAACAAATCCACTGAAATGACAGGTTATTGGTTTTTAAAAAGTCTTATTTTCAATGTTTTTAGAAATGAAAATAATCTGGAGTCTGTTTGTGGATGATAGGTCTGCTAATGGGGATACCATAACTGTTTTTGCTAACAGCCTTACTGTCGTGTCTAGTTCTAGTCAGCAGAGTCCGCCTGCTTCACAGATGATTGGTGCTGTACACTGTAATAATTATTGACAGTTTATTACTAAACCCCAAATATAATAGTATCCCTCTTTTCAGCTGTGTTTTGAGGAAAAGTCAAACAAGCACAAATAAATTATTGTGAGGTTATTATCCTGTTGTTGGAAATAATTGCCCTGATTTATAGTAGTTGATCAAATATAGATATGTTATTATTAGACTTGCCAAACGGTGTCATTCAGATTTCAGAGAAAATTCTCTGTTGGCAGGGAAAGATTGTACAAAAAAGGTGTAAAAGTTTTCACATTCTTGCCGTGAAGAGGAGCGGCATTTGAGGGAGTCTCAGGATTAAAATGATAAAAAGGAAGACAAGGTGGAGAATGCAGGTAGATCAGAATAGAGTTTGCTTTTTATTTCTTTGTCAGCTTGGTTTGCTCCGTTTTTCTCTACCTCTTGCCCTGGAGGGAGTTCTGCTTATTAGAGCAGTGAGCCCTGCAACCCCACAGGGATCAGTGTCACAGCCAGACAGTCACACACACACACATACACAGACACGCACATACTCAAAGAGAGCAGCCAAGTACCCACACACATGCATACCCTTATCATCAAGCACACACCCTCACGCACACACTGATATACACGCTTTCATCTCGCTGCTTTTTTGACATCTCGTCCCTGGAGGGGAGCAGCTTAAAGATGCACCTCTTCTCAATCCCCTCCAACTTCCCGTGTCACCTCTACCTGAGTTTGCCTCCCTCTGCCTCTCACCCTGTCTCTCACTGCTCTGCTAAGCTGACAGGTGATATGATGATAGAAACACCCCAAACCTGAGGGTGGATGGTGTGAGTCAGATGGAAAGCCTCTTCAAACCTTGAGGGAATTCTATCACTCTGTTTCAGTTTGTCGTCGGAAACTTTGGGAATAATTTTAGGGAATATGCATCGCGGATGTGGCATAAAAGAAAACAAAAGAATGTCAAAATGACATCTTCTAAACTCTCCAACATAAACATTGTTTTTTGTTCAAACCAAGGAAAGAAATATGCTCCATATAGTTATTATTTTTTGGCAGTTTTCAGAATTTCCTCTGAAGCAAAAATGTTGCATGAATCCTTTGATGCTCACAAGGATCATCAATTTTGAGAATATCTCCCAATAATGTATTGTAATTAATGTATTCTATTGAAACAAAATTTAACTTGCAGTCAAATAGAGGGGTAAAAGTATATATTCAGACAAGGTTACTGCACACACCTTCTTTGAACAGCTCTTAAAAACACAGTGATTTACACTTTTCCTTTTACAGTTCATCTAAGAAAACAAAAAATATGTGGTTCCAATTTCATCTTTTCTGTTTAACAGTTGGTGACTGTCAGCTAGGAAAAAAAGAGAGCTTAAGAAGTATTTCTCAAAACTACCACCAGTATTCAGAGAGGAAAGCTGACTGTTAAATCGTATAAATTGTATGAATTTTGACTTTACAAAACATTTGAAAGTCCAGCTTAGATAGAAAGTGAAAGTGGTGCAGAGTACCATAATATTCTGTCTCTGCCTCTCCTTTTATGTACAATAAGTTTAGATACGCTCTCTCCATGAGATATAAAAATGTTTGGTAACACTTTATTTGAGGCCTATGTCTGTAACGCATTATTAATATATCTCTAATGCATTATAATCCCGTTATAGCACTGTATAACAGTCATAACACATTATAATACCTGATCTTGTAACTCATGATAAAATGCTTTATAATGTGTTCTGATTATTGTTATAAAGCATTCTGATCATTTATGAGTGTTTATAACTATAGTTATACAGTGCTATAACGTGATTATAACGCATTATATGTATATTTATAATGTGTTATACAGATAGGCGTCAAAGAAAGTGTTACCAAATGTTTCTTTATTTTATTTTTCATCAGAAGTGCAGAGATCTACTACCCTGTCTATTATCATACATTTATCCACCACTTGATGGCAGTCTTGCAGTAGCAAAGATTGCTTTTCAAAACTTGTCTGCAACAGTCACTTCTTATTACAGTGTGTGTATAATGAACAATGCATCTTAAGGATTTCATTATCACTGTCAAAAAAAATCATTCCTTATACTCCGTTTCTATCTGTTGCCTCTAACAGGTATGCCATCCCCCCTGAGCACGGGAAGAGACTAGAGCGTCTGGCTACAGGTAAAGGAATAATTAATTTTCTGTTTGTGTTCTCTGTATAAAAGGAGGCAGGTAAGGCAATTGAAAAAATTATTGAGTTATGATTGCAGCATACAAACACAACCCTGCATTAAACAGCAAAGCACAGCACCATAGTCAATAATAAACCCAGCAATAAGAGGGCACAAGAGGCAAGGCTGCAGTCAGAGATGCAGAATATGAATGAGCTCTGACGGCTCCTTTGTGCTCAGGTAAACTGGAATAATGGGCAGGTGTGTAGACAAAACACTTTGGAGAAGTAGATTCAGTTCTGTGAATTACATATGGCACCAGATAAAACTGAATGATCGTCATAGTTAATAGCTTGAAGAGAGCCAAGTTTGAAAGAACCAGGAGATAACAAGGTCAGGAGAAAAATACATATTTCGGATAATGTTGGTGGCGGCTAAAAAGGCCATCACCAGACACTAGGCGAAAAACAGATGCACCAAAAATAGAGGATTAGACAGAGGTATGGAGAAGCTGACTTTCTCATCTAGACTAAAACAGATACTTTTAAGAACTACTGGGAAATCTGGGTTGATTTTTTTGTCTCAATCAAGAGCAGACTTTGTGCAGTAAGGGCATGGTGTATGGTAAATTATTGATCCCTCGGTTTAGGCTACAAACTTGTTCATGGTTTGTATGTTTATTATGTTTACACTCCAACAGGAGAAAAGGAACAATGCAAGAGAGGTTCTAAAAAAGGACATGAGTGAAAAGTGTTTCACTTTACTACACAGTTATTCTACTGTGACTTTACTTGAGAAATTTATGCCCAACTATGTCTCTGCTCCACAGTGGAGAAGTATGCAAATATTCTATACAGTTGGAAATTTGTTCAGTATGTGAAAAATGTTGATGTCACATAGATATGTGAAATCAATAAAAAAGAAAAGAAAAGAAAAGAAAGAAAAGAAAAGAGCAAGTTTGATTGATACAGCACTGATTACAGGATAAGGGCCACCACAGAGGCATTATGGACGGCAACCCAATTAACACAGTCAAGTGTTTAGAAAGTGATTTGTGACAAAGCTTGATTAATCACTTATTTTATTCACATTAAAAAAATGTTGACTTCCAAAAAGAAAAAAAATAGTCAGAAAAACATGCTGTGCTATGATAAAAAATGATGATGTTTTATTGTGTCTGTGTTTTTTTCTTGCATGACTTATACTCTGTGTTTGTGTTTTTTGCATGTTTGTCGTCAGGTTTCTTTCCTAACAGCTTCAAGGGCTGTGAAGCTTTTCTTCGTCACAAAATGACTCTAATCTCCCCTTCCATACTTAAGAAGTATGGCATTCCTTTTGATAAGGTAGGCACTCAGCCCCTCAAAAAAATGACTCTCAGTTCTCGTCTCCCTGACGTTTTTACTGTTTTTATTTACCAACTTTCAGAAAACGGCTTTTCTTGTCATGTTAATTAGCAATGCTTGTTTTTGACTGACTGCAGAAATGTCAAGTCATTTCTGGAAAAACCTAAGTGACACTTTAGCATTTTTGTTTTTCAAGTCTTCTAACACACCTACATCTGCTTGTCTTTTTCAATTGCCAGATTACTCAGGAAGCTGGAGAGTTTATGATCACCTTTCCTTATGGTTACCATGCTGGTTTCAATCATGGTTTCAACTGTGCTGAGTCCACCAACTTTGCCACTGTGCGCTGGATAGACTATGGCAAAGTAGCAACACAGGTAACAGTCAAGAGAACGTGAACATTTGGGTCGGGTTGTTTTTTGTCTTTTTAAGGGGAAACATTATTTATTCTCATCTTTTTTTTCCTAATCTAGTGCACATGTAGCAGGGACATGGTAAAGATCTCCATGGAGCCCTTTGTGAAGCGTTTTCAGCCCGACCGCTACGCCAACTGGATGCTGGGCAAAGACTCCACACCTATTGACCACACACATGCCACCCCCAGCACAACACCAGAGCTGCAGAGCTGGTTGCAGAGGCGGCGCAAGGCGAAGCCTACTAATAAAGGGTACTGTATTAACAGTCAGGCTGTGTTTCTTCTTCTTTTTCTCTTTATTTTTTAAAGCCAAGGTTTTTCAGAGAAAAGTTTACTGCAGCTCACAGAGCTAGTGGGGGGTTCTCGGGGGTGGGAAAATTGAGGTGAATCTGATAGCCATAATGAACTTCACTCTGTTGAATAGAGGTTGAATAGTTATGGTCAGGAATATTTGCTAGCTGTAAGAAGAAAAACATTCACCCTAAGTCAGAGGATTGCCCTTTCTTCCACTGCCTCAAGGTTGTAACTCGGAGTGATTGTGCGACCGTCTCCTTTGATCCATCTCTCTTCCTTACAGCAGCAGCCAGTCTCGTATGCGCTCTAAGCGTCTCAGAACCACCGAAGAGCCTGTTGGCTTGGATGGCGGCTCAGCTTTGACCAGCAGCAAGAGGAAAGGTCTGGGTGGTCCGCTTGGGCCCAAGGTTCGAAAATCTGTGTCAGGGGCAGATTGCAGAGAAGAGGAAAAAGAGAAGAAAAAAGATGCAGAGACAAAGCACAACAACAAACTCGGCTCTTTCCAGCTACCTGGTAAGAGACTGACTTATGGCACTTTTAGCATTTAGGTGAAGAGCTGGCGTTGTAATTAATATTTGTGTGCTGGGTTTTTCTGTGTTCCTTTTTGTGACTTTTAGAAATTTCTTTAACTGATACGTATGAAAATGTTCTGTTGTAGATTTCACATGTTTTTTAACCTTCTATTCCCAACAGGTCCTTGTAGGCAGATGTGTGTGGTCAAGGTGAATCGTGTGGAGAGTAATAGTTTGGGGTTTTCCACCAAGGGACCATCTCAGAACTCTCCTCGCAGCGTTTCTCCCTCCTCTGTTGCCGCAGTGAAGAATGACCTAAAGGTAGAGACTGACACTCATATTGACCCTCAACACCTCTCAGGGTCAGGGGTCACAAGCAGGACTCCTGATGGACTCAGACAATGCCCTGAGGCTACCCAGATGCATCCTGGCATTAATGAGTCAAGGTGTCAGTCTCCAGATCCACAAGACCTCACAACTCCTCAGGACTGCTCTATCGGGGTGCTTTCCCCAGAGACAAACAGACTCAGCTCACCCCCCCACACATCAAGCACTTCTGCTGAGACTGAGACGAGCTTGTGTCCCTCTTCCTGCGAAGCTCAGATGTCTGGTTCCTCGTTTAGAGAAGGCACTTTAAACCTAATGCCAAACACTGACAGCCGCTTGGGTATAGGTTCTGAGAATAACACTAACAGCGCTGCTAAAGCAGAGAAAATGGACACTGGTGTTGATCCAAAATGTATCAATCCACACTCCAGTACAGAAGCACTTTATGATGTAAAAGCTGAGCCAGTCGAGGGGAATGGTCACGTATCACACGGCTCCTATTCCAATTTCCGTTCAGAAAAAAGCAGCACTGAGGGAAATCTTTTCCCTCCTCTTCTACAGAGGAATGCAGTGGATATGCCACAACTCACACCAGAGCCAGCAGATAAGGTTGGAATTTGCCCTTTGCCACCCGTACTGACACAAGAGATGCCCTCCCTCACCCCTGCAGATGATGGGCTGTCTGACTCTGCAAAATGTAGACTGTGCAGCGACCAGGTTGCACCCGTGCTTGAACGGCAGACACCAACTGGCTCTCCGTCCTTGCATGTAGCCAAGCAGGATCCGAGAAAAACGGACTCAATGACGTCAAAAAAACCTCTCACTGTAAAACAAGCCAAAAACTGGCATCCAGATTCTCCATATGGCTGCGAAGCTGCATCAGTATCTGTTTCAGAGGGAAGCCCAGCTCATTTAACGACCAGTGCTATGCGCAAAATATCATCTGATGGCGTCCATGAAATGCTAATAGTAGCAGGAATTGCTGCAGAGAAGGATCATACCAAGCTGGAAAATGTAACTAATGGACAGACTGAGGCTTCCTCTTGCCAGCTAGTTCAAAGCACTTCATCAGGAACAGAGCAGCAATACAGCTTAGCAGAGTTAGCAAATAGAGACAACTCAAAGGACCCAGCACAAAGAGCCAGTGTGGTGAATCCGAGCAGTGCTGCTTCTCTTTTAACTGGTTCCTCCAACAATAATCCTCCAGCCCCTTCCCCTCTGTTATGCACTCAGAGTGACAGTCACTCAGCATCAGGACTGCACCACAACACTACATATTCCCTCTCACATTGTACTTCCCAGAACTCATACATAGAGCCCAAACCTTTCTCCAGCAGCATCTGGAAAAACTTCAACTCCCAGAGTCCCGCAGTGCTCATCCAAAGTCTGAACCCAGAGCTCCCCCCTGACTTCACCCACGATTCCCTGCCTTACACTATGTGGACTGAACCTCAATGCAAAGAGGTCACAGACCTGGATGACCCACAACAAGACCTCCGTGAGTCAGACAATCTAGAAGAGGAGGGTGGGACTCTCACCTGGGCCCAGCTGGAGCCTACCTCTCTAGTGTCTGTTGGTGCTGTTGAGCCCATGGGGATTTGTGGAGATTATGAAGTCCACAGAGGGGAGACAGACGGGTCAGAGGCGCTTTCCTTGTGCAGGGAGCTGGAGAGACAAAGAAATGCAGAGGAAGGTCTCCACTCGGATACCTCTGTGTCACCTCTGAGAGTGGGTACAGAAGGACAGGACGAGGTGTCTGATATGGAAGACGGGGGATCTGACGGGGAAGAGGTGGAGCAGCAAAGTAATACCAAAGGAGTCAGTAGTAGTGAGTCATCGGATGAGGAAGAGGAGGAAGAGGAAGAGGAAGAAAATGGTACAAGTAACTACGAGTGTGATGAATTAGGTCTGGAACCTGGAGAGGTCTGTGCTGTGAGTGCTCTTCTTCTCTATCTCGTCACACGTATTCAGTCTGAGACTCAAGTGTTTTTTTATAAATAGAGGTCTTTTGCTCTCTAATGCTTTTCATTGACGCCTGCTCAGCAGTACCAGGCGCTGTCAGTGAAGAGGACCACTAAGAGCTGGCGTCACCCACTCAGGAAACCTACAGCACGGGCTGTTCCCACCGCTGTCAAACAACAAGCCGCCAGTGACGACGGTAGGCACACAAACACGCATACACACGATATATTCACAGAGTTCATTTAAAGGTATCATGAAGTCCTAACCTTTAAAAGACTTTCAGAAAGCGTACATACTGTATAAGCCAACAGCATGCTCATTTTTAAAAAACCCGTGGGACATTTCCTGTTGTGGTCGGTGCTGCTTTGTGGATGGCACACGACCAGAAACAATATTTCATTGACTTTGCTTGTTGCATTGCAGCGAACATGAATACACAATCCATAACTCTTTGGCCCAACGACGATGACTTTCTACTTTTGGGACGGTAATGTAGCCAGGGGAAAAAAAAAAAATCTCAGAAGGAATGAAAATGAGGATTATAACTTGGCGATGGCGTTTACTCTAAACTTTTAACATTAAGTCAAGTCCAGTAAGGTTTTTGTTCCCCCGCTGGGTCGCTTTATAACAGCCGAACCATTCCACTTTGCGGTCCCCGCTTCCTCTCCCAATTTTTCACATTTTATGTCTTTCCCAAATGATTCATCTGACGTCAATGCGCCCATAAACCAAACAGCTTCAATTCTCAGGCCTACCACAGTAAAATGAGCTGGTGATAGATGCTCGGATTTGTTTTCATGATTTTTGACAGAGAGTGTGTGTGTGTGTGTGTGTGTGTGTGTGTGTGTGTGTATGTGGGTGGGGTGGGGGGGTCTATAATTAATAACAACTAATGCACACATACACATGCAGTCACATTTAACTCTCCATGGTTGTGAACAAAGGATGAATAATTCAGCAGCCATTCTGCTTGTTTTTTCCCTGAGTGAGAAATGACCATGAAATGTCCATGGCTGCCAGGAGCTTATTTTATAATGACGACAACCCTTTATTATTTTGGCTAATTCCCTAATCAGACAGGCTCCCATTCATTTCAAATGCTTTTGAAGACTCGGGAGGAAAATTTCCCCCACGTGAATAAAAAATACCTGACTTTACTATATCACTGTTAGCTTTAAAGTAAAGATGAATGCCACGTTACTCCTCGTATCCAAGTGGCAAAACTGCTTCAGAACATTAAAAGGCTTAACTTACAAATCACCAGGAGAAGATTTTGCACTCTGTATGGCATGAACCTTCATCTGGGCTTTAGCAGAGGAAGCACCAGCTGCACGGATTAGTGAGTTTTTGTTGTGTCTCTATTTAGAGCCCACTGAAGCAAACCTGGCTGAGGAAGAGGAGCAGGAAATGGAAGCGTGGGCGAGGCCCCTCGTACACCTGTGGCAGAATAGAAAGAGCTGCTTCACGGCGGAGAGGGAGTACAACGCTCATGCAGCGACAATGCAGCCATACTGTGCTGTGTGCACACTCTTCATGCCCTACTATCAGGTAAAAGGAAGCTCAGCTCAGGCTGTTAGCAGTGTCATTAGATGAATGTTTGATACTAAATCTATTTAAGTTTAATTAGTGACTTTATTTAGCTAAAGCACACTGAAAAAACATGACTGCACCTTGTTACAACAGGAATCAATACAAGCTGATCACTTACTGTTGAGTTCTGTTCTTTCACCCTTTAAGTGCCCTTTACATAGACCTTGTAATGTCTTGTTTGCCCTTCTGGTCAGTGTTTACAAAGTCATTTTTTACCCTTAACCTTGGCAATATTTCCAGAGACACTAAACGCCTGTTCTTGGACAAACAGGAGAAACTGTTTGAATTTTTTTAAATTATCTTGTCATCTTTTTTTCCTTGTTTATTTTATCAGTTTGTAACCTCTGATGAAATGACTTGATGAAAAAGGTTTTTCTTTTGTCTATGGTCGTTCTGGTTTGATGTGTTTTTTTATACAACAATGCTGCATTAGTCTCTTCTTTATCATGAGATCAGGGCCTCATTGAGAGGAGAAGTAGTTTGCAAATGTTTGCGTAAAGATCTAAGTATGGGTTTATTAAGCTTAAAATGAATGAAGGTTGCCAGTAAGAAAAGGTCTCATGGTTTCCCCAAAGCTTTTAACTGAACTTTTTTCCCTGTTAATCTCACGTAAGTCGTCCCCTAAAACACTCTAAAGGGGTTTCATATTTCTATTACCTGCCTTCTTCTAACATTATTTTTATCATATCTCATTCTTTTAGTTTTCAGTTTTAACTCCAGTGTTTCCTTAGGGGGGTCCTCCACACTGGGAGTTGTGTCTCAGCTACTGCTGGGGGCGCTGTCCCCGGGTCCCTTCAGCCCAGCTGGCTGTTGTCTGCCGGGTCGAGGGGCCTGGGCGCTAGTGCCCCCTGTGGCACAGCCTGCGACTCCTCCCAGTGTGGATGGCCCCAAAGATGGTGCTTCCTCAATCCTCAGTGTCACGCCATGTCTTCCTATTGTCAGCAGTGAGAGTGTCCAAGTGCGTGTGTGTATGTGTGCGTGTGTCTGTGTGGTGTGGAGGATGGGGCTTTGTTTGTAATTGTTTTTTCTATGTTTCTATTTTTCTGTGTGTGTAGAGCACTTTGTGTTGCTTTTCCATGCATGAAAAGTGCTCTATAAATAAAGTTTGACTTGATTTGATTTGATTTGAACATTGAGGTGTTCTCAAGGAGAACATGGAAATCACCCAAATGTTTCTTTTTTTAGGTTGAGGACAAAGTTGAGGACAATTCCCCTCTCTTTTCCACGGAGAACTCCAAATCTTCACCTCCAATGGAGGGCTCTACACATCCCTGTCGAGATCTGAAACGGACCAAACCCCTGGTTCCTGAGATCTGCTTTTCTTTTCGGGAGCAGAACTGCCCTCCGACACCCACAAACCATCTTTTGCAGGAAGATGGGACCTCCCCTTTGCTGTACTGTCAGGGCTGCAGCCTTCAAGTCCATGCAAGTATGTACGCAGATGGGGGTGGAGTGTGAACATGACAGTGTGTGTGTTGAGAGAGAGTCTAGTTCATCCTGAGGTGAATGGTAGTTTTGTACATACAGAAGTAGTTTATATTACTTAAACTTTCATCACCTACCTCACCAACCTCATTGTTTGTTTCGACATGTTGTGCTTGTCTCTCTGATGTCACTACGAGAGGTTCAGCGGGTTTATGTCCTGACTCACTCCAATTCAATGTTCCAGCCCCCCTCTCTTTGTGGTTTAGAGTATTTTATTTCTCTTTTCAGCCCAATGAGGGTGAATCCTCTGTCTCCACCACATATACTTCCTGTCCAAAAGCCCCAAGCATGTGTATCAAGCCTTCACACACACTCTTTAAAATCCCCGGAGCCTCTCAGCTCCATGAGACACAATACAGCGTGTTTATTCTCAAACCCTCATTCACACACTGTAACAACCCCCAGATCTCTTTCTCAATCCAAACCTTTTCTTCTTTTTTTGCCAGTATTTCAGGGTTTCGGCCAGCTCTCCACAAACTCAAACACAATTTTTTTTTACAGTCTCACACACCAAACCAAGATCCACAGCTTTGAAATAACTTCTCCCGGAGTCACTTTCCATCCCTTATACTTTCTTACCACTAGTGTTGATCCCACCTTATTTTTTACTCTGAAGTGTTATCGTGTCGTGTAGGAACTACACATGTACTTGATTCGTGTGAGTGTGTGGAGGTACCGTAGTGGGGGAGTCAATGATGAAGTTTCTGTCATTCGACACTGATGGAAAAGCCACAAGTTTAGTTCTGAGACCCAACAATAAGAAGAAGTTAATGTTGCTTTCCCTCTGAGCTGTTATTTGAACTTGGGAACGGAAAGAGAGGTGAGCTTGGATTTTATCTTGGGTTTTTGATGGATTGTGGAGAAAGAGAATAAAGACGTGCATACATATACAGATTTCGAGTGTTTCTTTCAGATAAATTCCCTACAGCTTGTGTTTCTTAAAACCTCTATCCATTGGAAGTTAACCAGCTGCCTGCTTTGAAAAGATTCACATTTATTTTACTTTTAAATTCAAAATTTGTTTTCTCGCAGAGGCCACCAGGATTTGTTTTTCTTTGAGGAAACATTTACGCTCTCCTGCCACACCAAGGACACAGAAGAACTATTCATAACAGCATTTACACAAAGTGCCTGTTGTTTTTCACACAATGTCTTGTTTTTCTGCGACCGTCAGCAGTGTCAGCTGGGTTACGAAGGGCTGAAACGAAAGCACCATGTCACACCAGCACAAGTCTGACTGTCATGCGAGTCGTTCTTTAATACATAGCTGAACACATAAACAGATGTTATCAAAAACACATATGCATGAATGTACCTCTTCCTCTCGTCTGCATTTCTCGCTCAGCCACAACCATTCTCCTACACACAGACGCACACAGACACGATTACCACAGAGGGCTCCATTTCCACTTAGTCTGCAACACTGCAGTTCTGCATGGAACAGTACCATCGCTCTGTTTAAATCTGTGGAAACAATGTGGATGTAGCAGTTTACTCCGTCTCTTTGTAAGTGATGATGGAATTACTGTTTGTTGTCAAGTCTGCTGTTTTCGGTCAATGGTTCACTGATACTCGTGCCACGAAGCAGCTCAGCAGTATTTGAGTGAGAGTGAGGATCTCAACTTTCACAAAGCTGGTCATTCTTGGATCATTGTCTGACAATCTCTTCCTCCTTCAGGTTGTTACGGCGTTGCTGCAGATGACATCAGCAATCAGTGGTCATGTGATCGTTGTGCAGAAGGAAGCTTTACAGCAGTAAGACCCTTTTTCTTCCAGTTCAATATCAGTATTCGTAGATTATTTACAGGAGTACCAGTATCTGCAGATTCGTGCCCCGCTGGTCGATGACAGCTGTGTAAATTCTGAAAATGGAGTTTGTCCAAGTCTGTGTTTGTAAAACACGCTATGGAGGCTTTATGAGGTGGATACATTTAAAGGTTGTTTTGAAATTTTAAAATTGAATTTGTGGTTTCTCCAGCGGAGTGTAATGAAGACCTAATTGGCTATTAACGGTGTTTTCTCTTTTTGGGTCCCTAGCACAGATGGGGGAAGTGATTACAACAAAAATAGGACAAGCAACAACAGTTAGTTGTTTGCCATCATCATAGCTATATTATATTTGATAAGATCAGAACTCAAAAAAAAATAAAAAATAAAAAATAAAAGAGCATCCCTTGCACTCCCATTTGGAAAAAAAAAAGAGATAAGACATGATTCCTGTCAGACATATACCAATGTCAACACTGTGGGAGAGAGTGGGGTAAGATGAGCCATTTTTCGGATCACTACATCAAGGCAATCAGAGTTTTGTCTCTAACTAGTGTATCTGTATATATTTTAAGATGTTGTGCATTCCTGCAAACCAACAGAATGAGTGTAAACAGAACTGTCTTGATAATATAGCATGCCAAAAAAAGTGGTCTCCTAAGTAAGTTGAGCTGTATCCCTTCTACCCCCCACTCTCCTCCCAACCTCCACCCCAGCCCTCCCTCACCTTCTCTCTCTCTATATAACAGTCACTTCTTTGTGTTTTAATATCTATTATATGCTATTCAACTGGTACAATAACTTTTTGTATTATTATTGCTAAAAAGCTATCTTGTATAAATCCATTTTAACATGAGAATGTCTTTAAGTGATTCAGAACATTCACAGCTGTATTTTTGAAAAGAAAAAGTAAAACATTTCAACAATCTGAACTGAAACTCTGGCTTATGACTTTATTAGTCCTCTAAACTAAAATGGTGGACTTTTTTTTGACCCCATCTTGTAGCTCATAGATACCACAACTGATGTATAAAACAAATTTAAAATGATCTTCTCTGGTCTGAAAACAATTCTAATAAAACTAATGACAGACCAAATTCACTTTCAAGAGTGAAAAATGTTTTTTGTTTTTTTTGTAAATAAATGTCTAACCTCTTCACCCATGAGCTTCTAACCTTCACAGACTCCATGAATTGATGCCCATCTCCTCAATATTTGGTCACATGATCAATTTCTTTTACCATTTCCAAACAACAGGGGTTGGCTCAACTTACCCTTTGGTTCATCTTACTCCACTCTCCCCTGCATGTTTTTAGCCCGTTAGGAATCTAATACTGCTATTTAGCTAACTCCAAAGATTTCCATGAATTGGACCAGGTGTTGGACACTCATTAAATGAGAATGTTTTATACAACGATTTTCTTATGAAAGTCATTTTTCTCTCTTCACGACCTGTTTGTTTTGTTGTTTTTTTTCTCAGGAATGCTGTCTGTGTAACCTCAGAGGTGGAGCTCTGAAAAAAACCCAAAATAACAAGTGAGACATTCTTTTGTTCAGTGATTATCTCTGCACACTCATCTCTGATCTCCAGAGCTCAGACAAATGAACTATCTCTGCATCATCTTCTTCATCATCATCATCTTCATCATCACCGGTTTGTATTAATTTGTTTTTTTGTGTGTGTGTTTGTACAAAGATGGGCCCACATCATGTGTGCAGTAGCTCTCCCAGAGGCCAGGTTCAGCAACGAAACCAAGAGAGGTCCCATTGACACCAGTAGGATCCCTATGCAGCGTTATAAACTGGTGAGGACACACACACACACACACACACACACACACACACACACACACACACACACACACACACACACACACACACACACACACACACACACACATGCAGTGCTGGAATTCCCCAGGTCCTCGAGGACTGGCTTGGTCTAATTAATGAAGTGTTCATAGTTCTAATTAACAATGTGAGATGAACATGCCTGCAATCAAAGCTAGATAATTAACCACTGGTGGGTGGGAGTGGGAGTGGGGGTGGGAGTGGGGGTTTGGGTGTATGAAGGGATGTCTGTGAGTGTGTGTTAGTCTCCACATGTGTGATTTTGTGTCTGTCTGTGTGTGTGTTTTTGCATGCATTAGTGCCTCAGTTGTGTGTGTGTGTGTGTGAGAGAGTATGTTTGCTTAATGAGTGAGCTCGAGTATGTCTCAGCAGACCTGACATGTTTCCAATACAGCCAGCTCTTTGCTTCAGGCGCCGTGATAGCTCAGCAGAAGTGAAGAGAGTGCCGGAGAGGTGCATCCGAACACAGGATGAGTAACAGAGATTAATACGGTTTCTGCTCAGCTCAAATTGTCGTTGCAGCAATAAGTTTTACATGTTCCTGAAAGGTCCACATGTGACTTTGAATTTAAGATTAGTTAAAGCTCTTGGAAAAACACCCTCACAAATAATGAACAGAAGGGTCCGTTTCATATCACAGCCAGATGTTTAAAGACCCACTCTGATGAAAATCATGTTTTTCTTGTTGTCTACATGTTCATATGGCATTTTTCTGATGCTACAGGACATGTCATGCGAAAAATAGGTGCGAAATTGCATTTCTGATTATTTCTGCATTCAAATCGCTGTGAATCTCTGGCAGACCCAAACGGCAGGTTCTGAAACAGTTAGATTTCTTATATAGCAAATCCAAGCTCCGCCCCTGGAGCAATGCTTGTCAGAAAGCTAATTATGATATTAGCTTTCTTTATGTCCCTAATGACATTTGTGTTCAAGAGCTGAATAGCTCATATATATATAGCTCATACCTGCCACTTCTACTACACCGGCAATGTTAGGCTGCAAGCTGACGCAAAGAAAGTGTGCAGAGCAGCGCTGTCTCCGCCCACGACTCAGAGGCGAATTGCTAATGAGCTACTGGAGCTCTGCAGAAGAAAAGCCCTTGAAAATGACACAGGTAACGTGATTTTGGCTGAAAACTTCATAATCACAATTTAAAGACCACTGAGAACATTTTAAGTAGTAAAAAAAATGATCGAAGTACTTGATGACACTAGTATTTGATGTATTTTATTGGCAGTGTTGTACACACAGTATTGAAAGTCCCGCTAACTCCTTGATTCCACAACAAGTCTAAGCACTCTGAAGTTGATCTGCGCTGACTCCAGTCAATGCCTGTTTTCCCACAGGGAGCCCTGCAGCTGATCTACGTCCATCCTGAAAGCATCAGCTTTGGAAAAGCGTAGCAGTTGTCTGTTGTCAGGATGGTTCAGCTTCATTCTTAGTAATAATCATGGTTACACGATCATCATAATTGTTACATATTCATTAATCTTTCATAATATCTAGTGTGAAAAATCACACGTTAGTGTATTACTTATTGCTCCCTATTAAAATAGAACCAGAACAGCAATAAAAAAAGAACAAAATGATAAATAAAAACAAAGAACTCAAAACTTCCTATCAGGAGTAAAAAACTTGTAAGAGAAAAACTTGTTTGCTTTTTGACTGAACAGTATCTACTCTTTGAAGCATAAATGATACTGTAAATCTGAAAATAGACAAGGTTCAGGTTTATATTAGAGTTGGGCCTGTAACTCAAAATCTCCCTATCTATGAAGTTGAGAGTTCATATTTTACGACAGAGTGAAGGCCTTAAGTGATTCACTTAAGGAAACGTTGTCCATTTGATAATACAGTGAAATAAAAAGACATGTATGTATTTAGACAAAAAAAAAAACGGGGGTTAAAGACCTCTGTCTGCATGGCTCTTTCAAGCAGTAACACAAAATTGCTCGGTGGTTTTAGTTTGTGTATTTTTCTGCGAGACTAGAGTAGAGAACATGGGAATATGGTTAATAAAAACAAATCTCATCTCTGCTGTCTTTTAACTGGAGCAGTAGAGCTGCCTTGAAAAATAAATAAATGGAAAGAATGAAGTTGATTGTAACTAAAATGTACAGTATATGTATATTTAATTCCCTGCCAACTCAGTGTTATATCAAGTAACTTGCTGCCCACATAAAATCCCTCATTTTTTATGGGTTACCTCCACTTGAGTGTGTATTACTCAGTGGTAATCCTCCAGTTCAGTGTGTTCTGCCCTGTAGCTGCAAGTTTATTCGCAGCACATTTTGCAGTCTGGTGATCAGCAGTCGTTAATTACTTCTTGGTCTTTCTCTGTGTTCCTAAAATGCTCCCACTCTGTTTGGCCCCTGTGGCATTGCCTCCATGTACCTTGATTAACACGTCACTGTAAGCTGCAGCCTCTACCATGAAGCAGGAAAGGTTTTCAGAGGTTCTCCTTTTGCCAGGGTGGATCACTGTGGTAACTTATGCTGAACTTCTAACCCGCTCAGGGGCAGGCTATGTTCAGCTTAGGAGATCAGGTTGTGAAAAACTCCACCAACTGAGCAATCAATTTTCTGGATCACGGAGCATTGTACTTCCCTGACACTGTTCGTCAGCGGGGACTGAATAGATTAACATCAGAGAGGTGAGATATAAAATTAGATGTATACTTATTGCTTTGAATTACTTTCATTTTCCATTTTCATCTGTATTATCTCTAGGTTGCTCCCTTGAATACTGTCAGGACTGCTGCTGCTAAAATATTACATCTGAAACTGTCAAACCCACTACAGGAATAAATCAGAGCAACAAAACTGTTAAAGCGAAGAAATAGGAGTTATTGTTGTCGCTGCTTTTGTGCGCTATTGATGGGAAAGGGATATCTGAAGTCTTAAATTGTGCGTTTTTACTCTTGAGATTTTTCTTTCATCTGCCAGCCCTTTATTTATTTTACAAATGCAGCGGTGTCGATTGTAGAGATTCTAGAGATCATGCGTTTAAATTTGTTGTATTCGATCGCTATCATTTGCTCTGGGTTTGAAAATTTTGATGATGCGCTGATGGCAAATTCAAGCATGTCGCTGTGAATGTATTCTTAGTAACTCTGCGTTGACTTTTCAGTTTGATAGCCAGCTTTGTGCAACTTTATAGCATGATCTGTTTTGTCAGAGTGAGTGAAACCTGACAAGTAAAAGCTGCTGGAGGTTCGTTAAACTGCCAAACGTAACTTATGCTGCGTTCCAGTTACCTCGGAAGTCGGAGCCGGGAATGACATCACACCTGAGTTACCAGAGTTCCAGTTTCAGTTTCAGTTTCTGGACTGCATATTTGTCCAGAAGTTCCTTATATTCGGACAAGGCAATCAGTAAAATAACTTTTGTAGATGTAGCCATCGCGTGTCCGCCTCCGACTTTTTTTTCCGACTTGGTTACTAAAATGCTGGTAACTCGGTTGTGACAACATTCCCAGCTCGGACATCTGACTTCTGAGGTATCTTGAACGCAGCACTAGTTGTTGTTATGCTGCGTTCGAGTTACCTCGGAAGTCAGATGTCAGAGCTGAAAATGACGTCACACCTGAGTTCAGAGCGTTTGAGTTACCAAGTCGGAAAAAAGCTAAATCAGAGGCCTGGAACAAGATGGCTACATCCACGAAAGTTATTTTAGCGCTTGCCTTATATTTGGACAAGGCAAGCGCAAAAAAGAAAGGACTGCAGCGCTAAAATAACTTTATTGGATGTAGCCATCTTGTTTCCGCCTCCGATTTTACTTTTTTCTGACTTGATAACTGAAACACTGGTAACTCGGGTGTGATGTAATTTTCAGCTCAGACCTAGCTATACCAGTTATGAACAACGCATAAAACAGTCGCACTTTTAGATGGTGACAACAGAAACCCTTTGTGTAGTGGAGCCTTCATTATTAAATATCATGACGTTTTAAAGCGTGTTTAATGGTGAAACCAGTTAATTGCTCATCTTTATTTTCTAGTATGCTGGTCACAACTCACAAGTCCGTCAGATTTTAATAGCATCCCTCTTTAGAAGTAGTTCCAGTGGGGTATGGCGCTCGGTCAGACAGCAGAACTGTGGCGCAGATGGCACACATGCTTGTTGTAGAATCAAGGAGAAAGTCCAAACCTTTTCAGGGAAACAAGAGAGCTCTAACTTCATCCCAACTTCATGATAGTAATTTGGAATCAACTTCATGGTCTAGTTAGAGGCATTTGTAGCTTTTACTCGACAAGGTTAAGCCAACAAAAAAGTCCCACGTTTCAGCTGAGGATTTTTGGTTCATGCTGATTCTTCCTTTACACGTATCTCCCAAACATCATGAAGAACATAATCTCAGAACTCCTCATGCAGAGTTTACTATATTTCTTTTAGATACAATAAACAGATGAAATCATAATTTAATCAGAACATGACTCTTTAGTTTCAGCTGAAATTTTACACCGAGCCACAATGGAACTGACCAATCAAGGCTCCGACATTGGCATCCATTCCCAAATAGCTGAACGAATGTTAGTACGCTGACACTGCATGTGGCCGCTATGTTGATATCCACAATGTATTTAAGTGGCTGTGGTTCATATCTGTGTGTATAATGTTGAAAGTACGCTTCTTTGGATAATGATTCATAAGCCACAAAATTACTGTCCATATTCATGAGCCAAAAATCATATAACAAAAACATTGTATGCAAGAGGTCATAAAAGTGTCTGATAACCTCAAAAAGGCCAAAATGTTCCATATTTCACAACCAGCTACAGGCTTTTTATGGGACCGAGTTCTTCCATCCCAATCACAGAGCCAAGTTGAGGCCTCATACCACAGATTATGTGGAAAACAATCCAGTTTATGTTATTAGTTGATCATGTGGGGTTTGATATAGAGCGCCATGTTTTTGGAGGATGTACCAGATCAATCAACGACTGCAGTCATTTCAGTCAGTCTACATGACAACACAAAATCTCTATTTCCCTTTGCAACCTTTTCTCCAGTCAGCAGCACTCTTTGGTTTCAGTTCATGACAAAAAATAAAACAGATATTTCTAAAAAAAAAAAAAATCCTTGTTATATAAAGAAAATCTATTTTAAAAAGTCTCTTATATGTGTAGTTATTCCAAAAAATCTGTTTCAGGGCTCGACAGTGTGACTGTTTCACTCACATTTGTGACGAAAAATAGATGTGTGCGAATTGTAGAATGTATTTAGGGACACATGTGCTCATAGAAAAAATCAGCCATAGCAACAAATGTTTTTTCATGTAAATACCGCTGTGAAGTTAGTTTTAGGTTTGATATTCAACGAACATTTACTGCGGATCTACCGCTGACTTCTCACTCTCCATAACTGGGAATAGCAACAGCAGCGCGGTTAAATCTACTCTGCACCCTCGCTGTCAACGATGGGCGTTGAATAAGGGACCATCAATAAATTACCTGTTGATGTTCTCAAAAAAGGCTGTTTTCCTTCGATAGCTTTCATGTCATGCGACCAATTGACCTAAAATTGATTTCAAATAATAGCACTAATGTCGGTCAATGAGACACACCTCTTTATTTCCCTAATTAAATTCAAAGACAAATTTTGAGCATTTCCGTCAAAAGCTTCCATGTCATGTGACCAAAAGACCGAAAATTGATTTCCAAAAGACACACATTATTTGATCAATTTTCATTGTGCCTCTAAAGTTCTTTTTGTGCTCCTTACTTTTTCTAACATAGGAGCACATGTGTTTCTTATGAAAAAAGTTAGTGTCAACCCCTGTGTTTCATAAACCAGACAACTCTGACGGTGTTCAAAGTGGTGCAAAGAGGCGCACAGTGTCGCGCAAGCATCATGGCTGGTGGTGACCAAAAAAAACTTTGACACATTATCACGACACTGATTAGCTCTTTACATTTACCGCTGCAAACACATCTCTTATTAAAGAAGAGGTTTTATGTAAGCCCCTTTGTACACTGTGCCTGGCTTTGCCTTGATTATGCATTATTTGACACAGCAAAGAGCCGCTCCCTTCGTGTGCTCACACCATGATGTAAAGATCCTTTGCTATAGATCTTTGAAACAGAGTTGCTGCTTACCTGACGTGTCATCTGAGCGCGATCATGGATGTTGTACCCCTCTCTGTTATGTTCACTTCATCATTTGTTAGTTTGCTTCATGAGCCACGTGTTTTCCAAGCTCGCATTGGACCCGTTGCCCCTGCAGCAGCCCAGTCCATTTATAATTTACTATCACACAGTGCACACGCACACATCTGTGCACACGTACGCATTCATTATTTACTGTGAGAATGTTCTTAACGCATGGCTCAACACAGGCACCCAAATACACCTCTGAGGAGGCACTGGAGAGGGGAAAGTGGGTTAGGCTCTCACACACACCAATTCAAGCGCATTTAAACAAAATAAACATATATTGGCATACTTTCTTCACTTTATGTCTCCATAAAATGCTTTTTTCAGAAAAGAACTCACATCACTGCCCGGTTTCACACACACAAACACACACATACACATGCACGCAATTCTCCCTGCACACTCTGGGTGTGTTGCATGCCAGTCACAATCTTGTCAAGCTGGCCTCAATAGGTGGACCAGACACTGTCGTCCATAATGGAGGAGGTATGGGAAAAAGCTTTCTGGAATGTAGGCCAAGTTAGTCACTGAGAAAAGCGCTGAGTAGAAAAGTCCTCTCAGTTCAGAGTTAGAGGACCTGCGCCGGGATAACTGGGTTTATTCATTTAAAAAAAAAAAAAAAAAACACAGTGACAAAGTTACAGAGTTTCTTGAGCCATTTTAAATGAAGGATTTCCTTTGGCTTAGTCCGCTTAAAGGAAAAGATGAGAAGACTTTTCTCTGAGTCTCTCTGTACACAATCCTCCCTGATCCTCACCTGATATCAGCTTAGCCGTCTTAATTCAGATGGCTGTAAAGGTAAAGCAAGACCCGCCTCACAGGTCAGAGCATTTTGGTTATAAGGGAAGAAAGTTCAAAAAGAAAATAAAAAGGTTTTGCATTTGTGTCGTTTCACCTTTTATCCAGCATCCATCAAATGCTCAGCTATTCTTCCTTGGAGACTACAGACATAATTTCTCTTTATATAATCAGGGAGTTAAAATACCTGAGGGTTTTTTCTCTAATATTGTCGCTGCTCCATACTCCCACGTGTGCCATTTCGATGCATCATGTTCCCCTATGCATATGATAAGATATTAATGTAACAGTCTGTGTGTCTTCAAAGCCTTTATAAGCCAGAATCCACATCTACAGCTAATTCCCAGTTGAGCTTTCACACCGCTGAGGCACATGCTCTAAAGACTCTGTCTATATATAGGTGTATTATCTGTCAACATATAGATATATTAGTACGGATTCCCAGGAATTAGACTGATGAATAAATTGCCTTTGGAGAGATGTGAAAAGGAAGAGAGAGGAGGACGGGGACAGGTGTTTTTCTAGGGGGGATAGTGGAGGAAATGGAGTGAGATGGCAGGCGGGTGAAACCGGTGAAAAAAGAAAAGGGAGCGGGTGGAGTCATAATGGGAGGATGTCGTCATTCTTTTCCCTTTAGTGGGATAGGGAAACAGAGGAAATGGACTTGATGGGCCGTTTGGTTCCAGGAAACGGAGGGGTGTTTGTGTCTGCATGGATGACGGCGTGCGTGTGCGGATCACATCCTCCAGTCTGCAGCGAAGAGAGCGCAGCGCTGGGTTTGTAGTGGAAACCTCAAGTGATGTCATCTGATTGGTTTTATATGAGGCTTTCCTTGTTTTGTGCTCAGAGGAAACATGTTATTTCATCACCGCCACAACTGCTCTCTCCCCCTTCTCAGTTATTCTCTTCTCTGTTTCACCAACTCCATCTCACATATTTGGAGCACATGAGGCTTTCAAACCGAGCAATGATTCACTTAGCGGTCCTTTGTTTTTTAATTGCTGTCATTTTCCTTGAACCCGTTTTGCACAAATTCCTCACATGGAATTAAAATTTCTCAATTTTTCAAGATTGCAAAGTTTACACTGTTGTTACATAACCTAAACTAGACTAGATAAGGCAGACCAGATAACAGATGGTCTAATATAGTTTGCAATAAAAAATAAAAAGTCAACAAAGCTTTAATAACTGCTCTGTACCTTGTTCTGCATTTGCTGCTCTTGTTGTGTAAATGTATTTTTTTTAACTTATTTACCAGTATTTTAGTTTTGAGGAGTTATTACCCCTGTTAAATGATTTTTTTTAATCATAGTTTGTAAGGGGATTTTAAAAGTTAATAAAAATTGGTCACATTATTAATCACCTATTAAAAATTCCATTATTTCTAAAATGAAAATGAACAGTTTAAAGTAAGTAGAAATGTTATTTCTGAGGCACCTTTTTGTTGATTTACAGCTGAAAATAGGACCCAAAATGGAAATATTGTGAAATCTTCATCATGGAATATTGTATGTGTGACCTGATTTTAAAGATAGGTGTCTTCAGTACTAAAAAATGGATGTCGTCTGTCAGTCAGTGTTGAATTTTGACTCCTCTCTCCTTCCTGTGTGTTCACAGAGGTGCATCTATTGCCGTAAGCGCTGTGCGGGGAAGCGGCAGGCCGGTGCTTGTATTCAGTGCTCATATGGCCGGTGTCCCACCTCCTTTCATGTGACCTGTGCACATGCTGCAGGTGTGACAATGGAGCCTGATGATTGGCCGTATGTGGTGTCAATCACCTGCCATAGACACCAATCACGGAGTTCATCAGCTGTAAGTCCAAAGACAGATGTCTGTTGATCCAGGTCGTGCTCATTTTCTCTGCAAACTAATGGTCAGACTTTCATGTCATTGCTCGACGATACACTGGGATAATTGGTCTATTACTCCAGATTATTACCCTAGATAAATCGTGTCACAGGGTGAGCTCATAGGGGATCTTAAAAAGTCTAAAAATGCCTTAAATCCAATCATTTGAAATTAAGGCCTTAAAGTGTCTAAAATTCTCTTCAAATCTCATAAAATGTCTTGAGTATTATTTTAAAAATCTTAACTCTACTTACAAATAAATAACACGCCATAGGAATAAAGATTGATTTGAAGTAAATTTCCCTTCATGTCTTAAATTGGGTCTTAAAATCGGGTCTTAAATTGGATTCATTACAGTCTTTAAAAAGTCTTTAATTTGACCTGTTGAAACTGGCAGAGACCCTGTGTCAGCTGATACTCTTGTCTCGTGTTGTAGAAGTGTTTTTATGAATGTTCCTCTACGTTGTTCTACAGTTTTGAGTGGTTATATGGTTTATTTTACACTGTAAATATCAGTCTTCATGTAAAATTTAAGAATGAAGAATAAGCACAATGAAAGTGTTAGTTTGAAATGATACCACGGTGGTCTTAATTGTGCTCTCCGTTTGCACTAGAAGCAGCGAGCATGCCAAGCGTCCATCTCACTGGGCCAGACGGTGATCTCCAAACACAAGAACCTGCGCTACTACAGCTCAAAGGTCACCCAGATCAGCTCCCAGATGTTCTACGAGGTCATGTTCGATGACGGCTCCTTCTCTAATGATACCTACCCCGAGGATATAGTGGTGAGAAGATGTTTGATTAGAGCCACGCTCAAGAGGTCATCTCCCAGTTGCAAGAGGTCATATCGGCTGTAAAACCCTGTTATTTTTTTTTAAAAAAAGCCCCACCTTCTTCTAGAGTAAGATTATCAGCTCGTAAATGATTCTTTTTCATCTCCAGCCCTGTTTAAATATCTGATGGCGTGTTTCCTCAAAACCCATTTGATTAAGCCGTCTCTTTTACTTCAAACCTTTATGCAAACACTTTGAATCTTAAAGGCCGTTCAATAGAAAGAGAACATCAAGACGACTGCTGAGTTTCATGGAAACAGTAATTTATCAGTGACATGACCATTCTTAAACCCGTCCACTCTTATCCATTATACATTTAATGGTTATAATCTTTTGTTCGTGTAATTATGGTAATGAATGAGTCTCACTTAGTGACATAGAGAGAAAGAGGTGTGACAGACACATCAACTGCTACAATCCACTCATTTATATTCAGTACTGAACCGCAGCCTTAATAGACTGAACTGTTAACCGCTTTAATACATCAAAGAAGTGACTCCACTGATATTGATGTAAAAACAAACATCCAGTTATACGATTTTGTTCATCGGGGCTTCACACAACTAACAACAAGTGTTTGTTTTTACTCGTTTCAAAGCGTAATTTTTGCTTTGAATTTGAATATTATTCAAATTAAAAATAAAAAAGCCATTGTGCTGTTATATGAGAGATTTAAAAAGATGCCAAATGCCAAATTATGCCCCTTAAATGTGGAAATAATGTGTTTTAGTCTGTCTGTTTTTCTTGAAGTTTCCACTGATATCGTAAATATATACCATATACACTCAGAAAAAAGAGTTACTGACATTATGATTAGTTTGAAAATGATCGGGAGAACTTTATAAAAAATGTCCATTTTATTGCTTTAGGTGAATTGAAAAAAAGCAAAGGTCTATGGTTTTATCAGGGTTACTACGCAAGTATGGAAAGTACGAAAAAGTATGGAAGCAGTTTGATCAATTTCCAGGTCTTAAAAGGTAAAGTATGGAAAAATATCTCTGTTTCCAGGCTATTACCACAGTTCCAAAATACAGTTTTCTAAAAATAAAAAAGTAGGTATTTCCAATTAAAATAATTCTAAAAAGTAGGGTATGGAAAAGTATGGAAATTCCAACTGTGTAGGAACCGTGCTTTATTGAGCAAAAGGGTAAAAATCACATGTTCATTTTCAAGAAACTGAAAGAGGCTCTTCTCAACATCCGAGCGCTCACCTTGAATTTATTTTTTTAAACCTTTTTCAAGACATTTTCACACATTCAGCACGTAACAAGACCAACTTGTATTCTCGTGTATTTTAGAGCAGAGACTGCGTGAACCTTGGTCCTCCTGAAGTTGGGGAAGCTGTTAAAGTCAAATGGCCTGATGGGTTGTTTTATGGTGCCAAATACCTGGGATCCAACGTCTCCTACATGTACCAGGTACACACAAATATACATTTATTGTTGTTTACCACAGGATCTTATAGTCTTGACAAATGGTGAAAGTAAAAGAGAGGCGTATGACCCACATTTGCAGATTACATCTTCAGTTGTAGGTCAAACAGAAGCAAACTTGTTGAAAAGAACATCCGAATCATCGTGACTTCTCTGACGTAGATAGGGTCCCCAGGTGTATCTGTACAGGGGAACTGGAGAGTGAGAAAAACGGAAGAAGATACTGGAGACAGATTTAGAGAGGTGCTAAAGTTCTGGTGACTAAAAAGGTGGAGCGGGAGCTGAGATGGAGGATGAAGGGAGACTGAAAAGAGACAGATACAGGAAGCGAAAGCTATTTAGATACAGAGGGAAGGCAAATGGAGGAGGGGAAAGAGAGAGAGAGAGAGAGAGAGTGAGAGAGAGTGAGAGCCAGAAAAGAAGGATGAGATGGAGGTGACAATCTGCATTATTCAAACTCACTGAAATATTCACTAAGCCAAGAGTCTTGCAGTTTCCACTTAAAGCTTTATTTAGTAGAGCGGGGCGTCAACCATTAGTTATGCACAAATGCTTCTGTGACGCACACACTGGGTTTAAGAGAGGTCACAATTTAAAAAATAGGCCAAACAAGAACTTTCCATCGTCAAGGTACGTCCTGACAGAAGATGATTCCAGGTCGTGTTTTAGTTCAGGGTCTATTTGCTGCTTGAAAACGGACATTTTGTTCAAAGAAACTTGTTCTTAAGGACAGAAAGGAAACATGAATTTGATTTTTTTTTTCATCCACGCTTAAAGTGAGAGACGTTTTTTTTTTGTTCCGTTTCACCTTGTTAACTTTGCTAAAAAAATTAAGATCACTGTCCTAAATTGTGTTTTTTTTTTTCCCTTGATTAGATTAGAGAAGATTGAAAACTGCAAATGTTTTATTTATTTATTTATTTATTATAATGTTTATTTAACAGGAACAATACATACAACATTGCCACAAGAAGTGGAAAACATGGTGCATACAAGACGTCTAGCTTCAGCTAATTTACAGTCTTTGTCCCTGGTCAGGCTTTAGTGTAGGATAAAATATATTAAATACTATAAATGCTATACTATTTACTATAAATATGTCTAACCTTACATTAGAAGTATTTAAAGTATGGTTTTGCAAGAAGCAGAAATAACTACCTGATGTGCTCCTCTTCTCTCAGGTGGAGTTCGAGGACGGGTCCCAGGTTCTGGCAAAAAGAGAAGATGTCTACACGCTCGATGAAGACCTGCCCAAAAAGGTGAAACGTAGACTTGTAAGTATTAGACTTACTGGTAAACACTAAACTTCAAACCATAACTTTGTTACTTTGACAGCAATACTTCAGTGAAAGTGTCATTTTCCATCTGGAACATTTTATTTTTTAAACTTATTGCCGTTTTCTCGTGTTTTATTTTTCCAGTCCACGGCCTCAAGCATGCGTTTCCAGGATGCCTTCTTTACCACACAAGGAGAGAGGAAACGCCAAAGGACACCCAACTCACGCTTCCAGAAAGACTATGTGGCCCTGCCAGGCCTCCGTACAACTGCCAAAAGCACATGGGAGCAACGCAGCCACAAAGGGAAATGAAGTCATGGGAGGAGGATCGATGACAACTGAATGCACTGAATGAACAGTTGATGATGTGGGGGGTTTGTGTGTGTGTGTGTTTGTGTGTGTGAAAGAGTGGTAGTATGAGTGTGAAATTGAGTGTGACTGTACGCGGGGATCTTCTTCCACTTCAACTTTAAAAACACAACTTCCCTGTGAATAAGTCGGAGAAAAGATTGGGGGGTTAATGGATGTAAACATGCGTGTGCTTGTAATTTAAAGATCAGTGACTGAATGATGTAACCGGCTGGACAGATATTCTGGTTGAACAAATGGACTCCCATCGAACGGGTAAACAACGGGCATTGTTGCCTCAGTTGCCTCTCGCTTTCACATCCGTCAGGGAAAATAAAGTGTGACTTACATTTGTCACGTCACCCTTTTTCAAACATACAAGAACTTTTTTCTTTGTACAAATAATTCACAGGTGGGATTTTTCTAAAATAGCTCGCCTCTGGCGGCTCTTTTCGGGGGTGGGGTGGGGCGGCTGTTATTCCCAGTTTTGATTTGGAGTATTTATGCACTTTGCTTGTAGTATTTCCCTCATGTCTTACTGCTTTTCCCTGCATGTTTAACACTGTCCTCTAACTGCTTCTGCTGGGCCAAGTCCAAGTACACTCCAATGGCTTCCCCTCTGCACTGCTTTTGAATCTTCATTGACAAATCATGAGTGTATTTTTATTATAATTGACACTGAAGAAGAAATCACTGTTAAAACAAAGAAGAAATACCAAATGGTTAGCATTTCCTAAGATTGAACAAAGCTTCAGACCGGAAACCATGCCTGTGTGTTGGATTCTGTGCCCTCTTAATGTGAAATGCTACTGTTGTTCAGTTTAATGAAACACATTGTTGAAATTATTTAAAATTTGTATTTATTTTTGGCTTGCCATAGTTGGAATATCGCTAACTGCTGTAAGAAAAACAATAAAAAATTACATATGTTTTTTTTTTCAGTAAAATTGTCAGTCATTTGGAGTTAATAGATGTGTCAAATTAACAGTTTTAGCATTGATTGCAAACACACTGTACAGGCAGCTCGGTCCAGAAAGCCGAAGGGAAGCGCTGGTCTCTTAGTGACTCCCCACACAGTCTTACAGAGGACACAGTTGATTCAAGTGTAAATTCAGCAGAGCTTAGTGTCTGCAACAACAACAGAAAAAAGACTGCTCTGCTTTAAGAGCAGAGTAAGGCAGTCGCTCTACACCCTGGAAGCAGCTTTAGAAGATCATTTGCCGTGTTTTGACAATAACTAGTCAGCCATGAATGAGCGAGTCCATTACAGTCCATTACAGCCTCCATCCGTGTCCTCTGTGTGGATTTGACAAAAGCTCAAAGTTTACAGGAATGTAATTTATCACTCAGTACATGACTAACATTTTTTATGATGCTGGAGTCAAATAAAAGGTGGAGTTACTGTGTCAGACAACCACAGAAAGAGAGTGGGAACCTACAAAGCCAATGTGACCGAGGGTCACGACCACAGGGGGAGAGAGGAAAGGACAGGGCTGTCTCTAGAGGTCGAATTTTGTTTGCAGATTGGGACTGCTGAGAGAAGACAGTTTTTGAAATGCTACAGAAGAAAAAAAAGATATATTCTGATGTATTCTGTATACTTACAAAGCCAAAAGAGGAAGTGTTTGTCTCTTAAAAACAACCCCACACAGTCTAACAGAGGACTTGGAAAAATCAAGTGCAAATTCAAACTTGAAATCTTCAACAACAGAAAAAAAGACTGCCTTTTCCCAAAACACCTACTGGGTGTGAATTTCAGTTGCTGTGAAATGTTTTGGTGGACAAAAATGTCCACAAGGCTCACGATGTCTGTGAAAGTGTTGAAGTTTACAGCCAAAATCTGCCATTTTTAAAAAACTCAGCTAAACCAAAGACAGCTCAAACCCCAAGACAGAGAGGCGTACTGTGAGTTCACTGAGAATATTTTTCACTTATTTTGAGATAAAATGTGAACCCTTAGGGTTTTATTTCACAAGGATATTTGTATGTGTATTTTCAGTGGTTTGAATATCTCAGTTGTCAACATTCAAAAATACCCTTACAACTCCCTCTCCTCATAACCACCTTGTGGATGTTTAGCCCTGTTACCATTGTAGAAATATGAATATATACAAATAAATGAAAAAAATAAAAGCCTGTTTACTCAGAACAGAGTTTAGCAGAGGTGAGCTCCTCTAGCCTTGTCCTGTCTCTGCCTCTCCTCTTTTAAACATTTCTCTACAAACTCCTGTTTTTTCCTCTCTGCTGAAACCCTTTCCTTTTTGAAGGGGGGGTGTGGGCAGATTGTACCGTTTAAAGACCTACTCTGATGAAAATCATGTTTTTCTTGTTTTTTTACATGTTCATATGGCATTTTTCTGATGCTAGCAGACATATCATGAGAAAACGAAGTGCAAATTTGCATTTCTGAGTATTTCTACATTCAAATTGCTGTGAACCTCTGGAAGACCCAAATGGCAGGTTCAGCTCAGACACAGAGAGATTTCTTACATCACAACTCCAAGCTCCGCCCCCGGAAAGCCGTTCTACAGGCCAGTCTCCGAGAAGTAAAGAGGATGGCCGCAGAACAAGTGTGAGCAGTAGCAGAATGAAATGCTCGTAAGAAATTTAATTATAATATCAGCTTTCATCACGCCTCCAAAAACTTGAGTTTTTGGGAGCTGAATAGCTACTATGTTACCTGCCACTTCTGCTGCACCTGCAATGTTAGGCTGCAAGCTAGCATGAAGATGAGTGTGCAGAGCAGCGCTGTCTCCACCCACGACTCAGAGGCGATTACTAGTGAGCTACCGGAGCTCTGCAGAAGGAAAGCCCTTGAAAATGCCACAGGTAACGTGATTCAGTCTAAAACCTAATAATCACAATTTGAAGACCACTGAGAACACTTCAAATAATTTACAAAAAAAAAAAAAAAAAAAAGCGATCGGAGTGGGACTTTAACCTGGCCGATGTGAGCTTCTGTCTTTTTTAAATAACTCCCAACAGACTGTGACAAAAGTGTCACTGAATGAGGATAGGACATAGTGAGGAACTCATACCGGCTCAGCTGCACACAGATTAATAATAAGGATGTGCTTAATTAGAGCTAATTGTCATACTCCACAGTTGGTTGGTCTAGAGGGAGGGGCTGAGCGGATAAAAGCCTCTGGCCATCATGATTCGTGAGCTACATTTCCAGTCTGAGAGCGGCTGTGAAACAAAGATGTGCAGCAAATGAAGAGATCTTCGTGTGTTAATAACCTTTTGATTTATTGATTTTTTTATGCCACAGATATTAAAGTTGTTTGTTTTCTCGTAGTTTTTGTAAATAATCTTTGTTACCTAAACCGCTGAATTATTGTTTTTTTATGTACCCTTTTTGTAACATAGACTTTTCCCAGATGGTTCTGGGACTCTGGTGCTGTTAAGCAGAAAAGGGAGACACCCACTCCATGAACTGACAAAGGCTGTCTAACCACAGTGGCTCTCAAGTCCAGTCCTCGAGGTCCACTGTCCTGCATGTTTTGGATGTTTCCCTGCTCCAACACACCTGATTCAAATGGTCAGTTCGTTATTAAGCCATTACAGAGCTTGATAACGAGCTGATCATTTGAATCAGGTGTGTTGGAGCAGGGAAACATCCAAAACATGCAGGACAGTGGGCCTCGAGGACTGGACTGGAGAACCGCTGGTCTATCCCCTTGAGTATTTGGTGACCATAGACTGTAGATAGAATGGACGCCGTCTGCCTCCTCGCTGGGTGAAGACACTGCGAGAACAGCACCCTCTGGTGACGGGCTGCAGTATAGGTCATAAATCCCGCCTCCTCCAGCAAAGCTTATGGGGTTGTGGACAAACTTCAGAAATTTATTACATAGAATATAACATTTTACCCCCCTGTTTGCGATGTCGACTTGTAGTTATTGTAAGACTGGTTTGTGCTCAAGCTCCATTTTTAAAAGTTATTAGGGCGTTCATGTTTTCTATGATTGACACCTGATACAGCCTATGGGCGTACGAAGATTGCGCAGCTCACCCAGAGGATACACTGTTTAAGTCGAGCATCATCACAGCGACTCTCGGCGACTCTCCCGCCGTATGCGCACAACGCTACTGCGCAATGTTGGTTTCAGGAAATGGAGAAAAAACGTAAAATTACAGAGAGCTTTTCAGCTTCAAATCCCTATACTGGCGGAAGGCGGAACCAAGTTGTCCATAGTATATACAGTCTATGTTGGGGACATAAGAGCACATACTGTATAGTTGTTGAAATCACTCACTGGTATCCTCTTCGAGCCAACCGACCCTCAGTCAAATCGAGTGTTTCAACTGCAAATCCAAAAAAGTATCTTCAAACTTTGATACGGTTGTAGTTTTGTGTCTGTGTGTGTATCACCGCTAAGTCCTGATACAAAGAGCCACAGCAGAAGCAGTTATTTTACTTGAGTTTATTTGTAACAAATGAAACTTGTGTCGACAGAGAACAGAAATCCATACAGACCTGTTTTTCGGTTTTCACACGCTCCGAGGACCAATGTAAGAAAATAAAAAGCACTTGTTGACTCGGAGCAGAAAACAAAACAAAACAAAAAAAAGTTTACATTTACAGACCAATTGGAGGTAACTGATCCCAGTAACATATTTTTGATTTTATACAATTTATAAACTCCAGTTTTATCCATCTACATGATACACTGGGGGTAAAATAGAACACCTTTTTGTGAAACTTCTCTTGTGGTACAACAATTCCACAATGTGATGTATTGCACATACGGTTGTGCCATTAACTGTGATTTCAGGTGCATCCTTTTTGTTATATCACTCTTTTTATCTCATAGACTTTAATTCACTCATTACTTTAAAACTTTTTATTTATGCATTTCAATTACTCTCTGTGTCTTGTGTTATTTACATATACACAACCATGTGAGCATTACAGGGTCCATCTTTACTGAGTTCAAGTAAAACTCCTTTTTGGGGGGGGGGTGGGGGCTATCAGCCATAATAGGATACTAGTATTAGTGCATAGTACAATGAGAGAAAGTGCAAGTCTTCCCATAACAGGTGCGACCAAAGGGGCATCTCAAAAGTGGTACCATGCATACAAAAACGACAACAGGGTTACTGTAAGATAGTGGAAAACTGTCAATGATCCCTTATATGGTCAAGCTTGAATGGAGATACAAAAACGAAACAAAAAAAAAAGTCATAGGTTCTGTGTTGTTGGAAACATAGCACCTGAATTCTCAGCCTTTGTCATCGAGGAAAAAAAAATCACTGTAGACATCAGAATGAGGAACACAGATGATCAGTTTGATTTGAAATGAAGGGCTTCAGGTGGGATTCGTGAGTTTAGCCCTGTTTGAAGTTTCTTTCACTGTCGTTTCTCTCCACACTGGCGAAGTTAGCCACCGCTATTCAGCTATATATAGATTCCTACATAGCTGAGTGAGTATGGCTTCACTGAGCCAGCTCACAGCCGGTGCCAAAGTTGTGACTGTGGCCAAAATCTCATGGCAGACACACCGAAGTCTGAATAACAGACTCTGTACACAAAGCTTGTGCGAGTGTCCCAGCAGGAAAAGTCGGAAAGCTGTCAACAAACTAACCTCTCATCTACTGCTGACCATCTTTTTGTTTTTTTTTGTCTGTAGTTAAGTCTCATACATAAGAATTGTTTTGATTAAAAGAGATATGATAATGTTGTAGCGATGAGTACAACTATCCAGCCTACACAGAGCCGTCCGTACAAAAAAATTCACAGCCAAGAACGTAACACACAATACAGTAACATAACAAAATCATATATACGGACATTCAGTTCTCTTACACACGAGCACACACACATAAAATACACAAAAACCCTTTAAAGTAACTTTATCAAAATAGGCGTGTTATATAAGGCACTAGAAATCTAAAATCAAAATACTTAGATGCTGTTTGAAGTATGAGTTTGATCATTCGTTGG